ATATTTCAAGCAGGAAATATTTATTCTAGTTAAAAATTCCAGATTCATAAGAAATTCATCACTGTTGCTCTCGTGGGATTGGTAAGGAGGAGTTTCGATGACAATGAGAGTGAAGAGGAGTGTCACAGTTAGAATAATGCTTATATCTAATTCTAGTATGTTTTCAGTTAACTGCTGATTGTTAGGAGAAACTACTAATAAAATATTGTAGGAACAAAATATATGTTATCGATTATAAAGTGTATATACGGGTTCAGTTTCAAGTTGAAAATATGCAGGAGTGTCTCGAGCGAGAGATCAAGGTTGTAACCTTCTCCCAAACAAAATCCGACTAGCTTTAGCAAAAATTTTCCATTCGATCTTGAAAAATCTCTAAAAATAAGTCAACTGAATAACGCCGAAAGTAAAAAATGTCAAAAAAAAACAATATGTCCTACGATTTGAAATTACGAAAGCTAGACACTGATATGAAATATTTAAAACATATGAAGGGAGATAACAGTAACAATTTAACTCACATAGAACTGAACAAACATATATTATATACATAAACTATAACACATCATTAATCACTGAAATTTATAGAAGTGTAGGATGTGGGGCGTAGTTGTGGTTCCGCTCTTAATCCACACCCACATACTAAAACAGGATTTTTCTTTTACTATTCTGATACATCGGCTTTCGACCAAATGCACGTCTATCTTGAAAATATTATACTTTAGGCTTAGATCTTTGTGAATTGATAAAAAGTTTTCGATGAAGAACTCAATGACACGATACTTTCATTAATTTCTACTTCTGCTAATTATGTAGAGTTGTAGGAGATTCAGAAGAAAACCTCAATGTCAAAAGTTTCTTGCTTATCAAAAAAAAATAAATTATTCAATATTTGAAATAAAATCTTATCTTGTATGTATTTCTATTTTTAGTTATTATTTTTCAAACAATCACTATCATTAAATATGATAACCAAGAAAAACTTTGGACGTCAATAAGTCCTGTACGTACCTTTATAAATAATTAATTAAAATAAAAAAAGAAATTTCTTTTTCTTTTATTAAAGGGTTGGAAATATCATTTCGGTAGTTCTTTATCTACATGGATTCTAACAAGTTGTCTTCTTATTTATATTTCAACATTAATTATTGATTTTCGTCGTATTAAAATAATCTCACCAAAAATCTATCTAACTACTGATATTATTGATGATCAAATGAATCATAGATTATCATTCTCAATATAAAGATAACAGTAATTTCTCGTTAATTTTTTATTTCCTACTAGTCTTCATCATTTTTAATGTATATTAACAGTTGCAATGACTCAATGTTAGAACAAAAAGAAAAAGAAAAGAAAATTAGGAGCATAATTTTTTTTTTCTGTCACATTTAATTTAGTCTCATTTCGAACGTCAAATAAATTGGAAGAATGTATTTTTATCAAGATTGTTTTTGTGCAATATACATAAAAATTTTCATGTTATGAAATAAATTTTATATTAATCAAGATTTTATAGAAAAGTCTTTTTTCTTTGAAAAAATATTTATGTAACAATTAGTAAACCTATTATTATTGTCCATTCATAGATGTACTCAAGATTTTCAAAAAATAATCAGGTAAAATTGACACATTATTGAATCGTCAACAAGCTATAATCTCAGTGGGTTACAAACTCATTTGTGTGAACACTTGAAAAACATGATTTTTCTTATTCATTGGATACTTTTAGTTAATTTTAGAAAAAAGTTTTTTCTCGCATTAGAATTATTATATAAATCTTTGATTTATCTAAAAAAAATTGTTTTTTTACTGTTACTTCATGACAAACTCTATGTCCACTCATTCTTTATAAAAAAAATCATGGTTTTCTAGCTTACAACGCTTCTTTAAACAATGAAATTCATAAAATCGTACTTAAATATAATTACTCTATTTGCCGCTATATTATCTGATACATGAATGAAAAGATCAACTTCTTATATCATCGTTTATAATCAACAACGAAATGTTTCTTTTTTGTTGTGTTATCTATATATATATATACATACAGATAGTATCAAACAATTATTAATCAGTAGTCTCATTTTGTTTTCAAAGAAAACTAGTTGAAGTCAAAATTATCTAAGTACTAATCTTGAACTTGTCAAAAAAAAAGGATATATTTATATTGACAAAAAAAATTAACAAACATAATGATGTTTTCAATGAAATAATGATAACATGATTATCTACATTTTTTTACTTCTTCATTGAGTTAATTAAGAAAGAACAAATTCCAAGTCAAAAGAAAATATTGGCTAAAAAAAAGAAAAAAAAGAAGAAGAAATGGTTGTTTTAATATTGCGTGTTGATGAATAGAAACGATTTTTCTTTGTTCTTGGCATTTCTTGTGGTTCTCTAGAATAAGTACGATCATTCGTAAGGAAAAACTACTAGTGCCTAAGTCGTAAGTATTAGCTATAGGGCTCTAATACAACAGTGATCTTTTTTCCTTTTGTTCCGCTGATAATTTCCGTCGAACGAACACATGCCGCTGACTCCCTATTTCTCAAGAGACAAAAAAAACAGATAAAGAGTGATATAGCGAACATGCTTGCCAAAGTGGTCTGGGGGCGTAATAAGATCAGTGTTTTGCATGTCTATATGTCTGAGTATTATGTGTCATGTTTATTTGATGGACGCGGTCCAATTGACATTCAATATAATATATATATATATATGTCTATGTATCTGTTGTTAGAATTATTTTATAGAATTTAGCATATTATTGGTTGAGTTAATAATGGTGATAAAATGTTTGTTGATTTTCAAAATAGCATCATTAGTAAATGATGATCATTTAATCAATTGTGAAAATAACAAGGAACTAATAAAGACTTTGTTTATTTGCTGAGAAACATATGTGTTAGCACTCAGCAGTCGAGTGACAAAAGAAATACAAACATGTTTGTTTGTCTTGATCAACAATGACATAAGAAACGGATTAAGTATATTCGAATTGTTACATTTTGTTAGATCTGAAGATTATATTAAATAATATTTATTAATGATTTCTTAGTCATGGAATGTCAGATTGAGTTGAATTTTCTTTTATTTGATAGAGAAGAAAGTTATTTTTTTTTTGTGCCGAGAAGTGCTTTAGCTTGTAAGATTATTTCATGTAAAAATATGAACCATGACTGATAATTATGTTGTTTTGATAGATAACAAGAATCTATATTATAATCGTATTGTGTTTATTTTCTAAAGCATGAAAATTCAATTTAAAAAAAAAAAAAAAAAGAATTTGACAGAAAAAAAAAGTTGCGCTTTACTCATCATTCTTTGCCGATCTAAATCAACTCGACATTTTCTTCTGAAAAATAAGCTTCGACATTTTTCATAGACTTTTACATCACATGTTATATTTTTTTTTTTTGCCATAAGCTACTCAAATGTGTTCGTCGTAATTCAGCTTCAAAAACTTTGTGATAATTAGGCTATATCATTCATCATTCAATTTTGTTTTGACTTGATTAGAAATGCAGGAACTACTTTTCTAAGTTTAGAATATAAGAGCCATCATTATATATTTTATTAACAATATTAAGACTTGAGATAGAGAAGTATTGCAATTTTTCTAGGAACTTTTATTATGATTTACAAAAGAGATTATTTCGCTTTTGAAATCGCTTTAGTAATGCATATTTTTGTCTACAAAAATATAAACTCGATTTTTAAATAGCATCAATTATTGAATAGAACGAACGTATAAAATCAGTCATATAGTAAGAATGAAAGACAACCCTCGTTTATGTTTATATTTGATTTCCTGCATATATCTTCTAATGTTTTCTACAGTAAGTCTTTCTTTTTTTCTCTTGGTTTTATATTCTGTAAAGATGCAAAACAGATGTTGATGCTTTTTCATTACTGTCCTTACAATTTTCATAGGACAACGAAGAATAATCATGATTTCATCAACATTTCCTACTAACTACCGTCATCATTAAAAACAGCATGAATTCATCTTATAGTTTAATAATTGACTTTTTGTTATAATCGCAAATGACTTTTTTTTATTTTTGATGCATAATAGAACGCGTTAAGTTATTCTCTCAAGGTCCTTTTTTTTCGTATGCTCGTTTATTTTGTTTCTTCAAAAAACAAAAAGAAAGAAATACGTTAAGTATTCATTATAATAACTTTGATCGTGATTGTCCCTTTTTTTTTATCGTTTTTTATATATTATATAGATAGAAAAGAAAAGCAACGACTTCTTTCTATTGATTCGGGGCTTTTTTTATTTTATACACTAAAATATCGACCATACACAGAGAGCGCAAAAGAACAATGAAAAAGCATTGACACTAATCTGTGTGTCGACATAGATGTACATACTGCTTGTCAAAATCATTCTTTGCGCGAATGAGAAAAAGGAAATTAGATTTTTCTATAATTTCTGTTGTTCTATTCCTATACATAAACACATAACGACAAATTGTGATTATTAGTCAACAAAACAAGCTCCATTACATTACAAAACAAAACTTTTACGTCGAGTATGTAATCGGCTTATCATTAAAATCCATCATCGCTCCTATTCGCTCGACTTCCGTCTATTTCATTAGATTTTCTTCGTTATTCTATGTTTATACTAAAAAAAGGAAAAGAAAAAAGAAGAACATCTTTTTTCTTATTTTCTTTTTTTTTCTGATGAGTATCAAATAACATCCGATAATAATAAGAGCAGTAGAAAAACAAAAATCATCAGTATGTAAGTTAGACTTGACGATTATTAATGGGATCATGTATTCGTTAATTCTGATACATATAGATAAAACATTTCATAAATTCATCATTAATCTCTATGTTCTCTAACTGTTTTAATATTTTGACGATATAGAGAAGAAAAGAACAAATATTGGTTTTGTCTATTAAAGGCTTTTATGAGCCAATGAACTGTCTAATTCTAATATTATTCATGTTTCAATAGATATTAAATCAAATATTCTTTAAACATGAATGGTGATACTGATGAAACAAATAATAATGAGCATTGTTCATCGTCAAATAACACAACATCACCATCATCTAATACTCCGCAAAATCAACAAATAATCACTCTAACTTCATCATTTTTTAATGAGGATACTATTGTGACACAAAATAACATGAATACAACAATTAATAATACAAGTGAAGAAAATTTATTGACAATTCCAAATCATAATGAAGAAAATCCAATAAATAAATCATTTAAGAGAAAAGTAGTGTCATTTAGTGCAATGCCATTTGAAAAAAAAGTTGCTGATGGTAATATAGAACACATTTATGTATTTATTTATTTATTCTTAATTATAAAAATAATTTAGTTTATGATTGTCTTCGTTATATGCAAGAAGGAAGTGATTTTCTTAAAGTTCGTTCATATGTTCGACAATTTCGTCGTTTATATAAATTAAATGATGGTTTAACTGCAATAAGTTGGTATCCAACATCGAAAAAACCATCAAAAGCAATTAGTAAATAATTTTAAAATATTTCGAATTTGTTTTTTCTTTTAAAAACTATTCTATTTAGTTACAATTGATTCAATAAAAGAAGTACGTTTAGGAAAAACAACTGAACGACTTCGTGAACATGCACAACAATTTGAAAATGAATCAATGTTTTCTATTATTTATACAGATGGAAATAATGATTATGTTTCATTAGATCTTGTTGCAAGTAGTGCTGATGAAGCAAATATTTGGGTAACAGGTTTATCGTGTCTAATTTCAGGACATGGAAGTCCTCTGACATCAGCAGGTAGAAATCTATATTTAACTATATTGATGAGATTCAAATGATATTTTCAATGTAGCTTATTTCCTTCTTTTTTTCCACAAATGAAGCTAAATTTCGAAAATGTATTTTAATTAAGAACAACTTCAACAAGTCTGACAAGATCACGAGATTCAGAATGTATGAATGACATTCAAGAAAAACAGTAAAAACTTTCGTGATCGACTACAATGAATAGTTTCTTTTAAAATACCAAAAGTACAGAATATCTATATAAAAATAGTAACAAGTAAATGCTTTTATTTCTAAGAATTAATGATACCAATATGTTATTATTATGCATGTACTAACACATGAAATAATTCGCTTATCTTACTTCTTCATCTCTTCTAATCTAAAGATAGAAAGTTGATAGAACTGGAAAATATTTGTCTCATTATGATAAGATATTCTTGCTAAATACAAAGTTTTTCTTTCTTTAAAGTACATTTAATCTTGAACTTTTATCGTTAATTATAATTCAATTTGAGATTTAATGTAAAATTAGTTTACTTTAAAACTGTAACAATATATATGATGATATCAATTCATTTTAAAGAAAGGATATGTTTAATAGATCGTAGAATAAATATTATATTGAAGTTAAAACCATAATAAGATGATAAAGAATTTCTTTTGATAATACTAATGAAATCTTGTATTCTGTTGAAAAACTTTTTTTTGAATTATATTGATAAATTCTCTTTGTAAACAAAGGCTAATAGCACCTTCAGAAAGAATACATTGAATCGTAATGAAAAAATATGCTGCAATTAGCACAGGGTAGAATTTCCGAAGAAATTCAATAATTTACTATTGACTCTATGAGCGATGCTTAAAGAAAAACTGCATTAATTCAATAAGAGAAGCTCTATTACAACTTAATTTAGTTGTTGTCAGCTGATATATAGTTGTAATAATATCCTAGACATATGTGTTGCTTTGATGCCAATTCTCTCTCTACATACTTTAGCAAGTGTTTTCCATATTGAGAAATATTTTTAATCTTGTTATAAGAATCCACGAATTGAGTAGTATATGATCAAATTTCTTCGGAAATTGTAGACATGTTAATTTTGACATTTTTTTTCAATACAACTCATTGTTTTTTTTCTATAGAAGCTATTAGTTTTGGTTTACAAAAGCAATCTATATTTATATTTTAAAAGAAATTTTCAACAAAATATAAGGATTTAGTAATATTATCAAAAGAAATCCTTTATAATTTTTGTTTTGGCTTTCATTTAAATTTCAATACTTATTTCAAGATTTATTAAACATTTCCTTTTGTTGAAAATGATTGGACATTATTTTATATGTTCAGAATGTTCAGTTAATTAATGTTATATCAAATCGCATTTCAATTTATAATTAACGATAAAAGTTCAAGATTGAATATAATTACTTCAAAGAAAGGAAACATTTACATTTAGACAGAGTATCCTATAATTATGAGACAGATATGTTCGAGTTTTATTGACTGTTTTTCTTTATATAGAAAGAAACGAATAAGCAAGATAAGCGCATTATTTAGTGTGTTATTACTTGCATATTAATAGCATCATGGTATCATTATTTATAAGAAAAAAAGCATTCACTCGTTTTTATTTATGTAGACATGTCATATACTTTTAGCATATTCTGTATCTTGGTTCCGGAAGCGTGGAAAGTCTCTTTCTTCTAATGGTTAAATCATTTAACATGAATAGAAAACTACAAGATAAATATTGCTTTTAATAGAATAATATTTTTTTTCTAAAACAACTAATCAAAAGTTAAAGTATAAGAAGATCACGTCATCTTATCTTGATCAATATAATATATGACTTGATTATCCCATAAATCAAATGTTAGTCTAATCTACTTTTCTAATAATTGAATTCTTATCTGGCATCAAATTTGTGTTTGAATATGTTTTCGTATTGGTTAGATTGAGTTCAACATAATCTGATGTGTAATGTTTCATACAATCATTACAATATAAAATTTAGAAAAAAAGAAAAATTTTAAAGAAAGTCTATTAATAGATCTTGAAGATCGTCAAAAAATGCGTGATAAATGGTTACGTGATGCATTTGCTGTTGGATTATCATCAACAAGTGAATCTGAACAAGTGAATCATAATGAATATCAAACACTTAGTGGAAAAAATTCTATTGATGAAGAAGAAGCTGTAAGATTACTTGGAGATTATGGAATTTCTGGAGATAAAGCTAAACTAAGATTACAAGTAAAATTCATTTTTGTTTTTGTTATTTTTATGATTTAGAATCTAAGAATATTTATTCTTAAAGGAAATTCAAACAAGAAAACCTGATGATGTACGTGGACTTTTTTCTCCTGAAGATCTTGTTGATGTTTTTAAAAAACTTTCAACTCGACCAGAAATTTATCATCTTTTAGTCAGGTTATTTTAATTTTAATATATACATATGAAGTAGTTTTGTTAAAAACATATTTCTTTTAGATATTCTCGTAATCAAGATTTTCTTTCAACAGAAGATTTTACATTATTTCTTGAAGCTGAACAAGGCGTAATTTGTTTATTTTTATAAAATAATATTAATTCTTCTTTCTTATTTTTCTAGATGTCAAAAGTAACGCATGAAAAATGTTTAGAAATTATACAAAAATTTGAGCCATCAACTGAAGCGAGACTTTTAGGACATTTAGGTATAGATGGTAAGTTATGAAATATTGAAATAAATAAATAATTTATACTTAATTATTATTATATTTGTAGGTTTTACTAATTATCTTCTATCATCTGAATGTGATATATTTAATGAAAATAATAGATCAATATGTCATGAAATGGATCATCCACTGAGTCATTATTTTATAGCTACATCTCATAATACGTAAATAAAAGTTTATCAATTCATGTTTCATGTCAATTTATATTGTTTTATATAATGAACAATTTTATTGTTCATTAAAATCGAGTATACAATTTACTATCTGTTGATTATTTGGATGAAGAGAAATAAGTTTTGGAAGTGAGTGTGAGAATGTCGAGTAGAACTCGTCAGATGCAAAATTTTCGAACCTGAATTCGGCTTAATGAACGTTTTTGAAATTTGGATCCGGTTGGTAGAGCTGCACTTCGATACTCTCAATGAAATTTTCTCATCGGCACTGGATAGACGCCTCCGGTAATATTAGACATTTTTTTCCGGGGTTTTTTATTCAGTCACTAACGTATTCTACACATTTCTCAGACGACTAGAGCCCGCTGGCTCTCCCTAACATACTCTCACCTCACTCTTAGTACTCGTTGGCTCATTTCTTTTTGTCCGAATAATCGACGGAAAATCCCTATAGAAAAAAACAAACCGATTAATTGAAATGCATTTTCTGCAATTAGCGAACAGTAAATCATGTAAGTCCATTTAGATAGATTATGTGATCAAAGAATTTATCGATATGAGACTAAATATAAATATTGAATGATCGAGAATCTATCAGTTTATTATTCAATGTCAAAGAAAACGTCTCCTACATGTAGATCGTATAGTATAACCAATTTTTAAGAAAATATTTAAAATTATTCATCCGGTATTTTCCGATGAATGTTATAAAAGAAAATTCTTATTGTTAAATATTTGTTTTCGTTCAACTTTCACTATATTTCGTATTTTTTCATAAATTCTAGTTTATTATTGTCAAAATGTATACATATATGATCAGTCTTGCTTCATTTAAACAAATACTCTTTTGTCATCTATATTGAGAAACAAATATATTCGATGCAGAGCTTAGAAAAAAAAATAAAATTAAAAAAAAAAGGAAAAATTTAGTCTATAATAATCCTCTCCTTGTCGCATTAGAAGACTCCGATTGTATTGTTTTGTCTTATTTTCAGGGTTTTCAAAATCCAGAAGCAATTTTGCAAGCTAGGCATATTTCGATGTAAATATTTAGAGTGCCACGTTCATGTTCCATTTCTAGGAACCCAGAACGCGTAACAGTTTTACATAAAAAGATTGACAGAAAATGTCTAAACATCTTGATATATACATAAAAAATACTAGAAAAACTAAGTCAGAAGGTATTATCGTTCCTTGAGAACGGAATGTAAAACAATGAGAATTTCGAAACCCAAGTAAGTATACTAAATAAAATTCTAGCTTTCGAGATATATTTTTTCATTTGCTTACATGAGGTAAATTTAATCTTGTGCAGATATCTTTCAGCACAAATATAATATATAACGAATCAATGAAGATATCTGTTCGCATTCTTGCGAGGATCGGAACGATAAGCAAGGAAATTTGAGTGCTAGTCTTCGCTAGACACGAGAAGGGTGTTTGCTTGTAATGACCAAATAGAGAACGATCCAATGAACCGTTTGGTTTAGTAAGAGCTTGAAAAGGAACTGAAAAAACAACCCAAACCCCCGTTAGATTTGGGTTCTTTTTGATTGACTCTAGCACATAGTCTAATAACGTTGTGTCGAAAATCTCTCTTTTGAGATTCTCAGATATCATTCTTCTAGCTCAACATATAAGAGCATTTTTCTTCATTTACGCAAAAACGACTCAAATGATTTATGTGTATCTTTAGTCTCCTTTTCATTTTTTTATGCGTGCTGAACTACTTAACGGAATTAGACTCGATTTTGTAATTTGATCATCTGTAGTCTTCATTGTGTTAACTATTATATTTTCAAAAGATCTTATTTTTCATTAAACAATTCGATTGAATATCAAATTGGTTTTTATTCTACGCCCTTAGATTTCTTTTGGCTGATCAATTGAAAGGTCCATCGAGTGCTGATGGATTTATTCATGCTTTAAGACGTGGTTGTCGTTGCTTGGAGCTTCATTGTTTTGATGGATCAGATGGTCAACCATTAATACATAATGGAACATTAACATCTCGTATACCTTTAAGTGAAGCACTTCAAGTTATTAGTAATTATGGTTTTGAAAAAACAAAGTAAAATTTTTTCAATTAATTTATTAATTATTTCAAATAATTTCCGTTTTTTTAATAGTTATCCATTAATTTTATGTATGGAAATACAATGTAGTATTAGTCAACAAGAACGTATAGCTCAGTTATTAATGGAAATATTTGGTGAAAAACTTTTTCTTAATCATCTTTCATTATCAGTTAATACGGATATGAATTCAAGCAAATATCGACCTCTTCCATCACCAAATGCGTTACGTGGAAAGATTATTATTAAAGTAAAATAATAAATTACAAAAACAAAAATAATAATAATTAATAAAATATAAATAAATTTTTAGAGTAAAAAATTACCTCCTGGCTTTTCTAATGAATTTAATAGAGAGTATGGTGAAATAATAGATGATGAAGATTGTTATGAAGATAATAAAAGACGATCTAAAAAGGTTAGAAAACAAAGTAGTCTTCATATAAAATTGATTAGTTTTTTTTTCTTATTTTTTTTTATTCAATAGGAATTAAGTAATAAAAAACATCGGAAATTATCTCGTGCTTTTTCTGATCTTGTTTGTGTACTTCGTTCCGCACCATTTGAAGATTTTAATACTGCATTTAATGAGCGTAAGAAACAATCCTCTTTCTTTTTTTTTTTTTTGAAAAATGTTTGTTTTATTTATTATTAAAAATAGAACAATCTGATCAAGTATGTACATTCAGTGAAAATGCTGCTCTTCGTTTAGCAACAAGTGATGCAGAAGAATTTATTAATTATAATAAACTTTTTATATCACGTGTTACTCCTGGAACATGGCGTGTCGATTCATCAAATCTTAATCCACAAGATTTTTGGAATGTTGGTTGTCAAATGGGTTAGTTATACATGAAGTTTTCATATAAGTTCAATCGGTCTGATATTTTTTAAACGAATTTTACATAATAGATAGATAAAAATAAAGTCTATTACTATCTTGTCGAGACCAAAAAAACTAATTAACAGTTCAAAGAAGATCTTCATTGGAGTTCATTGCGTTGCTTCCGAACTCGATGGACTCTAGTCATCTGAGAAATGTGTAAAATGCACGAGTAATAGAATACTAAAAATCAGAAACAAAGTATCTTTTATCTTCAAAATGACTATTCAATTCCGATTAAAAGATTTCATTGCAAGTATCAAAGTAGGCTCTGACAGACGGTTTCCTGAATTGCCAAATATAAGTAATCGAAAAAATAAACACATTGTATCTTCGGAGCAACTATCAGATTCAAATTAGAATATTTTATTAAGACCCTTAAGAGTACGGTTTGAATCCAGAACCGAAAATCTTTGCATTTGATGAGCGTTGATTTTCGTACTCTTGAATGAAATCAACTAGGATTAAGGATCATGCATGTATTTTTCTTTTTGATCTCATCATCTCTAAACAATGATACAAACTTTATCTTATATTGCTATTGGAAAGGAAAAAGAAGCATCTCACTGTGCGTGCAAGTCTATATCAAAAAACGGTTCGATCGGGCAGAAGCGTAACTCACCGATGAATACAAGAGGATTGCAGCATAAGCAAGTATCAAAAATTGACGTCGCTACGTCCCACATGTCCCCCATTAGTTACGACTCTATGACCTGGTCCAGCTTCGAAAGTTTTGAATCCGGCAGGCTCTAGTGATCATTGATCGATCACTCATAGATGTTTATTACCAGTTTTAAGTTCTCAATGCGATTTATAGGATATAGAATGATGTAAATTTCTACCTTTCTTTGTAATCTTAACAATTTATTCTTCAAAACTTATCTCATTTGATTGACGATAAACTCGATTTGAGTTTATTTCTTGGTTTCGATCGTCAATTTTATAAGAATTTATAAATAAAAAATTTTTTTTTGTATAATAAATTTGTTCGTCATCGATCTTTTTCTGTGATTGAACAACAACTTAAACGATAATCAAAATATTTGTCTCATTTAGTGGCAATGAATTATCAAACTGCTGGAAAATTTATGGATGTATATTTCGGTCGTTTTCTATCAAATGGTGGTTGTGGATATGTTCTTAAACCGAATTATTTAAGACCTGATAATACAGTGATAAATGCAACATCATCATCAGCTACAGCTGGTAGATTATCTACTAATGTTTATTCATCTAATACACCTCAAATACTTCATATAAAAGTATTTAGAATTTTTTTCGAAATTTTATTATCTATTGTTTTTTGAAAAGATAATAAGTGCTCTTCATCTTCCACGGCCTGAACAAGCTGAATTAAAAGCCAATTCTATTGATCCATATGTTGTTGTACAAATATTTGGTGTACCAAGAGATACAGATGAAGTACGAACAAAAACTATTTATCATAATTGTAAGTTGATATATTATTATTTTCTTTTTTTCGTTCATATGATATAAATTCTTTAGCGGAAAATCCACAATTTAATGAAGCATTTGAATTTGAAATAGCTTTTCCAGAATTAGCACTTGTCAGATTTGTTGTACTTGATGATGATTCACTTGATTATGATTTTATTGGACAATATACCGTACCGTTCGAATGTATTCAAACAGGTTAATAAAATCATAAATTCGTCTTTTATCTTCTTAATTCTTTTTGTTTTTCTGCTAGGCTATCGACATGTTCATCTTCATACTATGAGTGGAGACCTCATAGCTAACGCCTATCTATTTGTTCACATTGTTATTAATAGTAAATCATTGGCTATTGTATGTTTTTCTATAATCTACATTTCAATTTTTTCTATCTAAATGTATATTGTTTTTGTTAAACAGAAGCCTCGTCGATCAGTATCACGTTATCATCGTTCATTAATGCGCCGTAAATTACGTATTGCTTCGTTTCGATCAGTATATAATAAACAAATTGATGACCTATTTAAAGTAAAGAAAAAAAAAAGCCTTTTCCTTTCTTTCTTTTTTCTAATTAATATTTTATTTAAAAATATGTAGTCAGTTATTCAACCATTAGAAACAGCATTTGAATATCGTCATTCTGTTGAACAAAGTCTTTATGGATTAAATGAAATGTGTGGTTTACCTGATATATCAAATGTAAAGCAATGTGTTAGAAAAATTGCTAGTCGATTACAAAAAGCAAATCTTATTGGTGATGTTACTATACGAAATCAATCTGATGTAAATTTTATTATAAATATTTTTATTTTTCTAAATTTGTAAATATTTTACAAATTTTTAAGATACCAATCTTTGAATACTCTACTATATTACCGGAATTATCTCGTCAAAGTGTTGTAGCTTTAGAAGAAGTATATTAAAATTTCAATAATTATCGTTTTTTTTTTAAAGAAAAATAAATAAACAAATTTTAGGTAATTAATCAATGTCGAGCGTTAATAGATAATGGTACTATTATACATAAGAAGGTAAAATAGATGTGCATGAGTGAATTGCAACATTTTAGTACGATTTCTTTTCACATGTTATTTCTTTTTAATTGTTTCACACCAAATTTCAGCTCTCTACTTCACACAGTTGCTGAATTATGAAAGACATATTAGAAAAAAACATCATTTTTTATCAGCATGTGCAAAGAAAAAGAAATCTTTTGACTATAATAGAAACAAGAGACAAGGGATATATGTATAGCGTAGGTTATACAGCGTTCAATGCTCTTTCATAAAATATAATTCATTTGAATTTTATTCCTTTCTTATTTTCTCATCAAATGTCTATATTGTTTGACAGACACTTGTATATGTTTGTGTAGAATGACACAAACTCAATTGTAGCCCTCCTGGTGATAGAGCTTGCGACATATAGAGTACATAAGAACAAAGTGGACTCTTGGAGTAACAGACTGGCATGAAAAAATTTCTCGCTTATCAGTTTTATTTCAGAGCAAAAAAGAAAACAATAGAACTCGCTAAAAATAGATCATTATACTCACTTGGTACGACGATATTTTCAAAAGTTACCTGCTTCATAACTTCCCAGTGGATGGTTCGGTTTGGCTCCAATTTTTACAGTAGACGTAAAACAAAAAGTTATACAAATGATAAAAATTTTAGTCTTTGATGTTTTACTATAAAGAAGTTGTTTACATTATCCTGTTCTATTTCTCTTAATATTAAGCGAAATGTTGTTCGTATCCAAAAAAGTTGCAATTTAGTCACATATATTTTCATTATTTATTTGTTTCTTTCATATTTTTAGTTAGTTAGTGTGCAAACAGATATATCTGACTTAAGTAAAGATATTCCGAGATTACTTGAAACAAGTGGTTTACGTGGAAAAAAATTTACTAAAGCTATTGATAATTTTTCATATAATCTTGCACTATTACATGGTCAAACTGATTTATTAAATAAAGCTAAACAAGATGCAAATATAACTATTCAACAGGTAAAAATACATCAATTATTTCCAAAAATATTTTATTCTTTTTTTGCCTTTTCCTTTTATCAAGATTTTTGAAGCTGCTGAAACAACTCATTTACTTGTATAATCTAATCAATGATGAGAATAAAAACAACCAAATATCATATTTCAGTGTTCCATTTCTTTTAAATTAAGAAAATGTTACATATCTCCAATTTATATATTTTTTTTACCTGTAATTACATATGTGTGTGCATATATTTTTTTAATAATCTAAAAAAAATTATCCTTCAATTTGGTGATTGAAAAAATATTGAATAAATCAAGCGTCTTACATATTTATTATTTTATCGATATATAATAAAGCATAAAGATAATTGAGCGTTTGGTATGAGTGCAGGATGTCGGTTTGACCCTGAATGTAAGTGTATGTGGATTTCTAGCGAGAGATTAAGCATCAAGATATGACCTACCCCCGTCTGCTTATCTCAATCTCCTAAACTCTATAGATATATGTGGATATCGAATTACATATCCATTTCATTACACTAAATTCATTCAAAATAGTGAATTTAGCGACATATGAGTACTGCGAATTCATTAAGTCAATATTCTAATAGTTCTCTTTATAATTGATATTCCTCATGAGAGAACTCATTTGTTTTTCTCTGTAATCAATATTGTTTTATTGAAGACAACGATTTTTTTTTTCATAAATGTGTTAGACTGCAGTACTAATAATTCCTTCTTGTGAAAAAGAATGAATTATTTCACAAACAAATTAAATGAATATTTGCTTTGAGTAAGAACATTTTTTAATAAAATAAAAATCTTCTCACATACAGACAAACATTTCATAATATCACACTTAAAAATAAATCCCTTACGTGAGCATGTTCTCCATGTAAACATATGGCTATTACACCGCAGAATGTATTTAAATATTAAGAAAAAAATACATAGCTACACTACAAATGCAACAAGCACAAGTCACAGTAAAATTGATCATATTTCGAAAAATCTCTTGAGTAAATGGAAAATGTTATAGATAACATAATACTTAGATGAGAAATCGGTTGAATTTTTTCCATGCAACGAATAATCATGCACTACTTTTTTAAATTCTCAACAGAATTTCCAATGACTCATAGTTAGAACATTATATTTATCGCCGTCAAATTATTTTATTCAAATATTAGTTTAGCTTCTAGTTTTTTCGCTAGTAACTTCTCGCAAAGGCTGTCGAGGGATGTTATTTGCTTTGTTTTCAATAAAATTTCGAATATTCTTATAATCTCGGCAAACATTGCTTTATACTGTGCATATTATTTTTCTCTATATCTATAACTATGTTCTGTTCTTGCAAAAGCCAAAGTGATGATCCGTAAAAATATTCATCTATTTTTCTTTTTCTTTTTATGTCTCCTATCTCTAATCGACGAACAGTAACTGATTTAGTGGTGGGCGAGACGCGGAAGACAATTGCCTTCCATCGAAAGTTGGTTCATGGAGAAAAAAAACGATGTTTTTGTGTTTAACAGTACTAATGATCATGTAAATATAATAATTGGACTGGCCACTTATTATATCTTCATATTGCAGAATGCAGGTGTCAGATGTCAATAAAAAGGAGAACCTCACATTCATACCCAAACGAATCCTTATTGTTGAATTGATCCTTCAAATCCATTCAGGAGTTTTTCTCACTTTTTGACGGATATTAATTGATTGAAACAACATAATAAAGTATCTTTTTCAGATGCTCGGCCGTGAATCAAATGTCATAATAATCGATTTGTTTTGTCATTTCAAAAATTCAGCCAACTGGAGACAGGGACAGAAAAACGTATCTGACGTCAATAAATACTTTGATAGATAATTCTTTGTCGAAGCTATTAGCTAATTCCGTGTCGAAAAGCTTATGTAAGATAAGAAAGGCAAATAAAAGAGAAAGTCTACTGGATGAGTTTGCAGAGTTCATAAAAAAAAACTAGTACACAACGACATTTGATTCAATGGCGATGAGTGGAAACGATCAAGTGTCACAATTAATAAATGAAACAAGGCCATATATCCTCCGGTTAATAGCCGGATATGTTTCTGCACACGTCACAAGCACACAATGAAATGCTATCTGTCTGTTCGTATGATTCTTGTAAACCTTGGGATCTTTTGAGTATAAGTACTCATGGACATCAAATATCAAAATGATTTCAGGACATTCCGAAAAGTAAATTTAATAAATTTGATTTGCAAGTCAAATGATAAAACAAAACAATATGAGTATTTGTTTCAGTAAGTAAATTTCACATAAATCAATTTTTATCTCTGTTTTATCATTATCATGAAATTCTTTTTTTGATTTTTCCAACAGCTGTGGATATTGTTTCTCTCTTAACCTATGTCTATGAGTTTTTCTTACTTTTTGTTCCATATAAACCAATTGAAACGACATGACAAACTATCTTCTTCAAACACTCGACCTTGAATCTAATGGCATCATAATTGTTTTTATTCAATTATTTCTAAAATTTTTATTATTATTATCAGGAAGAGCTTTATTTGAGTGGATTGACCTGATCGGTCTTGACCAAATACATTTCGTAAAATTATTCTAGCACATATTTTACAGAACAAAAAAAAAGAAAAGGGAAAGGATACATTTAAAAGGTTAGAGGAAAATTACAATTAGAAGCTACCGGAAAAATACATCAAGATGAATAAAAAGAAAGATAATAATATCTTCTGATAGGGTTGATTGACTGTATGAACCTTGATTAACATATTGCAATAGTTTGTCAAAAAGGGTAGGAGAATCTTGATAGACTTTGGTCATGCGAGTGCTAGATCGTCCCCTCGAAAATGATTAAATACAAGTTTTTTCTATAGAGTGTTGACGTGTTTGGTTGATAATGACTTTTATGTATTATGTTACAAGCAATTAATACTTGTTCATATCGTTTAATATTTTTAAGTCATTTTTACTAAACTCTTCTCATAATGCGTTTCTTGGATATGGACGTAGGTGAAGATATGATATATAAACCCACACCTATACCGACACTAACAATCCAAGTCATTTACTATGCGCCTACACTAATCGATATTCTTTGACCTATTGTGTCTAGATTTTTATTTTTCTTGGTCGACTAGACAAGGTTCTTCTTAATGTTAAAAGCCAGACAAGTTTCTTGTAACAGAAAAGGAAAAAAGACTTTCGTCTGACCTTCGAGACAAGCGTAGTGTGATGTATTTGTATACATCTATCTATATAAACATTAGTATTTTGTATACTATTTTTTACACTACGACTATTTATAGTTATTGTGTTCAAATAAATGAATAAAAGTTATTCTTTTCAAATAACATATGAACTATCTGTCAATATCATGCATCAGGAAAAATATTTTGATAGGAATTTGTCAGTCAAATTTTTGGAGTTTAAAAAACAATCTCTTAGTGATAGATCAATCATAATCAACTTCAGCTGATAAATATACTGAAGATGACTGATAGTAATAAATTTGTATTTTTATCATTTATTGTTTTCTCTAATACATATATGTGAGATTCAAAAAGCAAAAAAATAACTGGATAAGAATTCAAGAATTTTATCTAAAGAAAATATCTTGCCTTATCACCAAAGTTTTACTCTACATGAATCCTGATAGAAAATCAAGATATGCTTTTGCAGACAAGAATATCGATTACTGTAGTAATAAATCAATTTCTTATCTTATTATAAAGCTACAAAAACAATTCAGGCAATAAAAAATAAAGGATTAAGACTAATTAAAGAAGCTATAATTGTTAACAATTTGACACTATGAACTTCATTTCTAATGTTCGTTTGATTAAAAACTCATGTTTCACTAAAGAAATATATTTTGAAATGAAAACTCATTTTTTATCGGACTTTTTCATATCGTTCTTATTTTTAATTAACTTACATTCTCATTACTATCACATTAGAGAAAAAGTTTGATAAGAAATGTATATATAATTAAACAAGAAAAACGAAATTTGTTGGTTGTCTCTGCATATTAAACGCCTGTTACATAGAATAACAAGATAAATATTAGTGTTGAGTAATGGATTGATATTATTACTTTCTCTTATATTTCCTTTTGACACTGGTTTCAATGAAATATTATGGTATATAGATGTCTGGGAAATAAATGTCAGCCAATGAATTGAAAGAAATGTATACATAGACTTTTAGAAAGATAAAAAAAAACAATATCTAATTTTCATCTGTAAACAGTAATTTAATAAGAGTATTCGTTGTTTTTTTTTCCTAAGATTATCCATATAATTTATCCTAATTTTCAATTCTTTTGATGTATTTCTCATATAAACGGTGAAAATGTTTCAATTAATACAATACATATCCGAAGAAAAACATTCATATCTATTTACTTATCTAATTCTAGTACGAATATCCTTGATAGAGTGTTGACAATAAATATATCAACATCATTATAGTCCAACGTTTATCGAACCATTACATTCCCAAGATGTATATGTTGGTTCAGTAGTTATATTTCAAGATATAAATGCCATCTGTTATTTAAGAACTCCATGATACTGAATTATATGAAGGTAACAGCTATGCCGTTTGACACTTGGATCTGTACGACCGAAGGAAATATTTTTTTTTTGTAATAATGCTATATACGTAAATGATTTTGACATCACATCTAATCAATACCAATATGATAAAAAGTATTGAGAAAAGAGAAAAACATGCATTATACGGTTCTTTTTTCGCTATGGTATATGAGGCAGTAAGAGAAGAAGAAAAGAAAACAGAAGAATATAAGAGACACCCAATGGTTTTCTATAATGATAACGTCTCCTTTTGTATATGTAAGATCTAATACTGTGGTATTGTCTTTTCTATTCTCTGCTCTCCTTCTTAAGATCTCCTTGAGATTTGATGATGGAGAAACTAGTTATTAGTTTAGAAGACAAATAGTTAGCGTGTTTCTATTAGTCTCGGCTACTTAAAAGAAGCAGAACCTAAAAACTTAATTGAACAAAACTATTTCCTTGATAACTTTACCTTCTTCTTCTTAGACGCTACGATGTCCTCGGAATGCAAGCCACGTCTTACTGAATCCTTAAAAGCATCATATTTAATACGTGAAGGTCAACCAGTTAAACTTTCATGTCGGTTTGATGCTTCTCCTACAGTTGATATTCAATGGCTCAAAGATGGAATTCCGATTGATTTTGAAGCACTTGGTATTTCAAGAGATTTTAAGGTTTCATATTTTTCTATTTAAAAAAAAAACAAAAGACAAACAAAATAATTATTTCTTTTTGTTCTTTTATTTAAAAACTCTAGGTTGTAAAAGAAGTCGATTATACCGCATTATTAATTAAAGAAGCATTTCCAGAAGATACAGGTTCATATACGGTTATAATTCGTAATTCATTAGGTGAAGCACGTTCAGTTACACAATTGAATGTTGAAGAATTTTTCTGTCGAACACCGTAAGTTTATTAAAAGTAAAACAAATAAAATTAAAATTTTTTTGAATTTTTATAGAGAATCAGAAATGTCTGATACACCATGTAAACCAGTTTTTGTACAACCACTTCTTGATATAACAATAAATGATGGAGAAAAATTAAAATTACATGCTGCAATAAATGCTTATCCTGAACCTGAAGTAAAAATTAATATTCTTTTATATTTCTTTTTTTCTTGTAAAATCTCATTTTTATTTTTAAGATCATTTGGTATCGTAATAATATTCCATTAAAAAATTCTCGTGATTTAACATTAACATTTGATGGACAATTATGTAAATTAATAAAAGATCGATGTGAAAAAGAAAATGATGCTGGAGTCTATCGTATAACAGCTGTTAATTCAATGGGACAAGTTGAATCTGTTTGTCAAGTTATTGTGCAATCAAATGAAACGAAAACACTTCGTGAACGTCTTCAATCAACACGTTCATTACCAATTTTCATTCAATCATTACAAGATAAAACATTTCAGGAAGGTGAAAAACTTCTTTTTCGAATACAAATTAATGGACAACCAAAACCACAAGTTATCTGGTATAAAGATAAACAACCATTAAGAAATACACATGATCATAAAGTATGTTTTAATAAACGATAGATTGACGAATAAAAAGAAGAAAATTTTTCTTTTCTTTCTCTACTGTAGATTCGAACTGAAGATGATACTTATATACTTGAAATACCAAAATTATCAATTAATGATGCTGGCCTTTATGAAGTTAAAGCAATTAATACAGAAGGCGAAGCTAAATGTTCAGCAATAGTAAATATTTTACCAATAAATATTATTCCCGAACCTATGATTATTGAATCAAATGGTTCTGCACCTGAATTTCTTCAACTATTTAAAGATCAAAAACCATCTATTGGTTCAACAACTAAACTTGAAGCTCGAGTTATTGGTACAAAACCACTCAATGTAAACTATCAATAATTCTAAAACAAATTATTTAATCTTGTTCTTTTCAAGGTTTATTGGCTATTCAATGGATCACCATTAGTTCTTTCAGGAAATAATCGACGTTATCAACTAAATGTTTTTAATGATACTTATACATTAATTATACATAATGTGCATTATGATGATGTTGGCAAATATACTTTAAATGCAGAAAATTCTTGGGGAAAAGCAACTTGTACTGCTGAACTTTTTATACCTCCAATTGTTTCAAAATTTGGTAGGAAATTATCATATGAAATTTATTATTTCTAACCAATACACAAATGCTCTACCTATTGCACGGCAATGCTTTCTTTTTGTTGACAGACAGTATTCATTTATATTTTGAAAAAAGAAAGAGTACATCGTCGTTTTCTATTTTTTTTTTTTTGCTTTATATATTTATTATTTTGAATGCTTTGCTTCGCATCTGCTTTGTGCATGATCTTTTATCATCAATGAAAAGCATACAAGAAAGAAGATAAGTACTTCATTGTAAGTATTTATGGTCATGATCTTCTTTCGTTAGCTTATTAACAATAGGATAGACCTATAATAGAGAGCCCTTGAGATCAATAAAAAGAAACATATCTTTCCCCTTTTTTTTTTTTTGTCTTTATGTTGTCAACAAATGTTGTTTGTCCGCCTACAGACTCGTACTTATACGATTGTCGGCCGCCATTTTTCTTTCTCTTCTTCTTTTGTATTAGTATCAAGCAAGAAAGGAAAAAAGATAACAGAACATTTTCTCTATATCCGTCTTGATCCTGTTGTCGCCGTCGTCATCTGTGCCAAGATTTATACTTGTTTGTATAACGATCTAGCAAAGAAAACGAACGACTGATGGAAGAAAATAAGACGATAAAACAGAAAAGAGGTTGCTCGATGTCTATCCTTTCCATCTTTTTGCCATTTATTCTCTGTACATAAGCATGATAAAAAATGGTTGGGAATGTGTATATAAAGTACACATCGTCTCATGGAGAATGATTGATTCTAGAAAATAACATAACATATTTAGGAAAAGAGGAAGAACAAAAAAAGATAGAAAAGGAATGGAATAAATCAAAAATTACATAGACCATAAAGAATAATACAACATCACTGATTCAATAGGATATAAAGTAAGAATCAATCGAAGATATCAAAACAATCAACATGGAACATGAACGAATAATATTTTTATATGATTGAAAGACAAAAAAAATTATATTGTTCTATAATTTTTCAATTGAGTTTATTTTGATTAAAATATTAAGAAAGTAAAAAACTTAATCTAATGAAGAATATAGTATAAAATAATTCTATATTGAATAAATAATGCGACATATTAATAATGATGTTATGAAATGATTATATTTCTTTGAATAATTCATGTGAGCAAAAGTATTCGTTAGCAATATGATTTCGCAAAATTAAAACATAGGTATCTCGGGATAATAAACATTTCTAAAGCTAATTATTTTTATGCTAAGTTACTCTAGATACCCTGAAAAAATCAGCACTAGAGACCTTTGTTCAGAGGAGTTGTCAGTAAAAACATAGCGTTCGAGGACGTTTAGAGTTTGACTTCATACATTTTGGGTTTTAAAAAAATCAATTTGCTTTTCATTAGCGACATGACGAAGTAGAAAAAACAATGCTCTTATAACTGAATGAGAAGTTCGAAACTAATTCCAAATAGTACAAAACCTTGTTCACTGCCTCTAGATGATGGTAAGACAGAAAAGAAAAATTCAGCATCGATGTAGTTTGCTCGGTAGAGTCTATCCTGAAGCTTTCGCAGTTTTTTCCTCATACAGTTAGAGAGATATTTGTGAATTAGTTTTTAATTAACAATCAGCTGAAAGAGTCAATATTTTTACATAGGTCTATGGTAAAAGAACTTAAATCAGAAAAATAATCCTGGTAAAGAATCAAAGTTCCGTAGAGGACGGATGTGTCTCATTTTGCCTGAAATGGCTCATATAGAATATTATTTCAATATTTTTATTTTTACTAATTGTCTTGTAGTAACTGTCGTGTTAGTAACTAGTCAAATGCGATCATCAAAAAGACTTATTAGATATCAAAATAAATTAAACTATTCAAAGAAAGTTATCTGTGAGAGTAACAATGATTTAATCGTATAGAATAATTTGAACGAATTGTTTTTTATTTAGCATCGTTTTTTGTGAAATATCAGCAAAAAATATGTGTTAAAATATAGAGTGAGATGTTTGAATACTTCCTTCTCAAGATCAGAACGGACATGTTGACTACAAATCACTATTATATTGTGACAAGATTACAAAACCCTAGGATATTTATTTTTTTATCAGATAAATCCAACTATAATCTGATGATGATTGTTCAAAGTTGTTAAAAACAATACTTGATATAGTTTTGGATTGTAATGCATTTTTATGTGTATTATTATGATCTTCATAAAAAAAAAAAGTATATACTATAGTTAAATATAAACAAGATAGTCCCGGTTCCACTTAGACCAAAAACGACTAGTCCTGCTCATGTTCTGTTATAGTAGTTTTGTTTTCTAAAAGTTTGTGAATTTTCTAAGATATAAAATATGCTATTTACTCGTTAAATTTATCTTAATACGAACTATTCTTTGAAGTAATTTCGTCTAGTTTTCTATGACATGCTACTATCTTAATAACGAAATCGATTACATTATATTCGATCAATATCAAATATATTCTCATTGGAAAGAAGAAAAAAGGAAAAAAAAAGAAGTGAAAGAATATATCCTAGCTGTACAACATCATATCAGTCGATTTTGGTTCTTTGTCTCTGCAAGAAGTGGTCATTATTTTTTTCATGTCGCTATTATACAAATTATGCATCTAGGATCTCCTTCTACACCGGCATCACGTGTTCAAATGAGAGCAGTTACAAGTCGAATTACAAGTAGTGGTACTGGCGATACCAGTAGAGGTAGGCAGTTTCTTTTTAATATAAACATATCAACTAATGTCATCAATTTTGTCCATTCGTCGCCCCTTTTTTTTTTCTTATTTGTTTTGTGTGCCTTTATGGTAGTATATAGGTTACTGTAATAGGCCTAAACCTGGTTTTTATCCTAAATGTACATGCATTTGTCTTTGTCTGTTGCTTGATGCTCGCTTTCAGCGCTACTGATGATGTACTCTCTTGTCCATGGTATATAAGTGATATAACAAAGAAAAACTTTTCTATTCAACAAATATTATTGAATACTGTCTTATCGCAATGTCATACATGTATATAAATATATCCCAACACTAGACTAGTAAATAATAACAATATATACGTCTCTGTATATCTTCATAAAAAGGCACCGACAATAATAGGAACATATTGTCCAATTTACTGGTTAAAATGTCCCCGTCTCCACCTCCATCAAATAAAAGACAAAGCGAAACAAAACAACAACAATCATTCGTCAATACACAGTCATTCGAACAACAATCAACATTGACTTCTGCAAATAATACTAATAAGCAATATCGTCCTTCACAACAAAGTCAATCATTAACTCGTACAAATGATTTTCATCATGTTCGACAATATCCACAGAAATTAGAAATTTTTAAACCTTCAAATACAATTAATCAAGAACGTGAAAAACAAACTACTATAATACGAAATTATGACTATGAAATTGAAAAACAACAACGTTCATTATCAGAAAATACAAAACAACAACATAGAAATGATTTCAATATTGAACGTGAATATGTACGTTGTTTAAATGATGTAAAAAATGAATATGAAAATTTAAAACGAGAAAAAAAACCTTGTGATAATCGAAAAACCAAAACTACATATGAAACAACAAAGCAATATGAAGATGTTGAAAGAACTTATCAACGTCAACCAAGATCTATAAATAAAATTCAAAATAATATTTCAAATCAAACACAAATTAATGATACTTATCAACGTTCATTATCAGAAACTTTATTTCATAAAAATTTAAAACCAATTATAAAAACAGATTTAACATTAAGCGACGAAAATTTAAAAACAATGGAATATTCTCTTCAATATCAACAACGTTTAATAAAACCTATTCATATTCATTCATCAAAAAATTTTATTCCAGGTGAAACAAGTATTAAATATGTTCGTACTGATCGTTCACCTGTTGAAGTTATTCTACCAAAACCTCAAATCACAAATATGCACGAAGAACATACATCAGCAATAGTTAAAGATGTTCGACGTACAAATCGTGGAACAATGACAACTATTCGTCAACAACCACGACCACGATCCATTGAAGGTGAACGTGAATTACATATTTTTCAAAAACCAATTGAAACATTACCTAATAAACATTCATCAACAAATGTTATTAAATCAAAATCAAGTGATCGTTTTCATATACTTGATACTCATAATACAGTAACACATGAACGTACACTTTCTGGTGAATATGAATTTCGTAGAATACCTGAATCAATCCAATCAAATTTGTATAATAAATCAGTTGATTCATTATTTCCTAAATCAACACATCATTCATCGACAATAATTAAACAAAATCGTATACCTAAATCAAGTCTTATTCTTGGTAATATACAAACAAAATTAAAAGGTGAACATGAATTACGTTTAGTTGATAAACCAATTCAATCAGGTTCAATTAATAGTGTAGAATTAGTTGTACCAAAATCTATAACAAAAATACCTGAACATACAACAACAATTGTTACTGAAAAACAACCACATAGACGTGTTTTAGAAATAACTGGTAGTGGAAAAAAACAAAAAAGTGAACATGAAACAAAATATTTTCATGATGCTGTTCGTATTGAAGAAGAAATTGAAGTTAAATTACCAAAAACAAAACTTGAACAAGTTGAACATTCAGCAACAATTATTAAACATAATCGTGGTAAAGCACCTATTATTGAAATTGATACAACACAAAAAAAAATTGAAGGTGAACATTTAATAAAAATTTTAAACGAACCTATTGAAACGACAGGTGATACAATGCAATTATTAATTGAAAAACCTAAATTATCAGCTGACCATAGTAGGACAATGATTAACGAACAGTATAAAAAACAACAAATATTTACTACTGATCGAACACAAGCAATGCCTGGTAAAATGCTTTTTTTCCATAAATGAACTTTCTCTTTCTAACCATTGTTTTATTAATTAGCTGACCATGAAACAAAGTATTATGATCGACCTATTGAATCACATGAGAATATGGAAGTTTCATTATCTCAACAACAACCTATTCATGAAAAACCGTTTGTTTATGATGATCATCTTCATAAAATACCTAATCAACATTCTTTAACTCATATTGATAGTTCAAATTATAAAACTGATCAAGAACTTGAATTAATATCATCAAAACAACCAAAAAGAGGGTTCGTTGATTATTATAAATCAGCTAATGACCATAATGAAATATTAGTTTCATCAACTATCAATGAAGAAACAACAATTGGTGAACATAAAACAACATATCTTAAACAAACACGTCCTAAATACGGACCCGTGGAATTAGTTGTCGATCGACCAACAATATTACCAAGTATATCAAAATTAATAACTGATATTCCAGCATTACCACAAATAACATCAATAAAATCAACAGAAACTCATTTCTCCGAAGATAATTCAATAGAATTTAATAACAATCAAAAATCTTATGAACAATATGATGAAAAGAACATTACTAATGAAAAATCATCTATACACGATAGGTCAAAAACATTATTAACTAATATTCAACCATCAAAACCTACTCCTTATCTACAACAACCAATTGAAGATTCAAGTACAAGTTTAACAATGGAATTAAATCGAAATCAACAAATAGAACCATTTGAATTAATTATACCACGTATTGATATGGAATCTTCAACAAGTACAATTCTAGCTGATGTATCACCAATAATAGCTGGTTTACTTGCTAAAATAGATATACCATCAAATATTGAAAAAATAACATCAAGTTATTCATTTGAACAAACAACACCTTTAACTAATGAAATTGAATTAATTATGCCCAAGCCAAGACATATTGAAACAAGTACATCAACAATAATAGCTGATGTACAAGCTAAACTTGAAACAAAACATATACGTCCAAATGAAATTCAACCTGAAACATCAACAACAACATATTATTTTGATAAAACAAATGATACAATTATGCCAGAACCGGTTGAATTACGTATGAAACAACCAATTATTGATGATAGTTCAGCAGTAGTTATTGCTAAAGTTACACCAACATTAGATACAAAATCAATTAAACTACATACGAATTTAAATGAATTATTAAGACATATTTTATTAGAAACAAATTTTCAACAAAATCAATTAAGTGATATTGAGTCTATTCTTTCTCGTTTGCAAACCCAAGAGAGTACATCTATCACATTAGCTGATATTCAACCAATATATAATACATCACAAAAACATATTATTATTGCACCACCCCTTGAAAACCCTTTAGAATCGAGTAGTCAATTTATTTTAGAAGAAAATAATCGAGAAACAGAAGCAGTAGAATTAAATTCACATCAACAACCGAGTTCACATACACCTTTGGCTAAATTAGATGATACACCTAGAGAAAACGAAGTAATGTATGTTTTAGGTTTTGATAATCAACAACAACAACAACAATATGCTCCATCAACAATTCTTGCTAATTTAAATAAACCAGTTGAATTTGTATTTAATATTGAAAATGGTAATGCACCAGGAATATCTCAACAATATCGACAAGATTATACTACAAGAATGGTAACAAATACTATGGATGGAATTAGTAATGGTTCAACATCAACGACAGGTAAATAAAAAAAATTCTAAACAGAGGAGATTAGTATTTGAATAGTTCATTGTTTTCATGTTGTCTTCGAATTATGATTGAACGAACACAAAAAACAATGTAAACTCTAATGAAATATTTAATCAATTAGTAGATAGAAGACAAAGATAAATAAACTACTATTCATTTCAAAATTGATGTGCTCCACTTTTATTTTTAAATAACTTGTGATAGGAATATCATAGAAATCTGCGGTTTTCACCATTTAAAAGAGAAGACTCATGGCCATCGAAATTTGATCAGTTAATAATCGATCAATCAAGTGCGTTCTTGGTGGAGATATTCAAAGATTATATTCTAAAGCTATTTCTCTTTTGATCTATACATGGCAGACATTCCTGGTTTATTCCGTTCGAGAGTTATAAGACTTTCTATGATATCTCCTATTTCACCTAACTGAATTATGATCTTTGACACTGTTATCTCAATATTTCTGAAACTCAACAATCAGTCTCCATGTAAAGACGGCGACAACATTTCGGAAATATTGAGATGAGAGTCTCAGATTAGTGCAAATCTAAAGCCAAGTATCACCATTTCTGAAAAAATCTTATAAATCTTGAAGGGAACAAGTTAGGAGTGTCAGATTTGCGTAGATCAAAAGAGAAATAGCTACGGAATATTGTTGTTGAAAAAAATCTTTATTGAAAATTTGCTTGATTAGCCAAGTGTTGACTAATCAAATTTCGACAACTAAGGGTTTTTTTCTCTCTTGAGTGGTGAAAACCGTAGGTCTCTTTGATATTTCTATTAAAAGCTATTGAAACAACAATGGAATACATTATATTCGGAAAAGAGTAGTAGACAGGCACTTGCAATGAATTTGTCTAATAGACACACATACATTATATGTTGATTTATTCTCTACAAGTTATTATAGGGCACATTACCATGGTATTTTCCCTTCTATATTCTTGCACATTATATATTAATTTATTTGTTTCTTTTGCATGCCATACATATATATATATAAATATACAGTGGGTATTGATATTATTCAACAAGGTTTATTTTTAGTTTTTTCCGTTGACGTAAACGATAGCAAGAAAGCAAATATAGCGATTCAAATAGAGAAGATTGTATCCAAAAGGAATATAAGCAAATAAGAATTAATATAAAATTCCCAAAAATAGATATTATAGAAAACTAAAAGGCTAGTTTTTCAACACCTAGAGTGGGTAAATATAATTTTGTTTAGACTAAATAGAACAATAGAGCAAATAATTCCTCACAAAATGAAACGCCTTCAAGTTCATTGTTGAGATATACCAATCTTACGACAGCTTCTTAAGTCGTTTTCTACTCGATTTCCTATAGACAATCACTTTCTTGGTCTTCAATCAAATTGCTATATCTCAGTGAAAAAGTATCGTAGAACTCGGCGATTTTTCATTTTATTGAGAGATGTTTACTCTAGCTGTTGAAAAACTAGAATTTTGTTCGAATCACTATTTGGATTCTTTCTAACGCTTATGTCAGCAGAATAAAATTGAAAATAAATCTTGTTGAATAATTTTGGTTTGATACTCACTGTATATAGATTTATGTGTTCTTGACATTATTCGTCTCTTCATATGCTTTGTGATTAGTATTATTGAATAAAACTGAACTCGTATTCACAAAACTGCAACAATGTATAGAACTCATTAAAGAATGACTTCAAAGTTCTAGTTAGAGATGTGTGGGACAAAATGTTTTTGATCTCATGTCATTTATAACATACTTTTCTTAAACCCATAGAAAATGTAACTATAATCTGTAGTTACGGTTCGATCACTTTTTTTTCTCGTAGTCCTAGTCCTGATCTTAATAACTTTTCTTTTCCATGACCCCGCTGCTGGTTCATGCATTTTTTTTCTTGTGGTCACAGTGACCCGAAACAAAACATTAAAGTTGATTCTCTATATATCCAGGCCTAACTTAATTCGTATAATAACTGTTCTTATCAAATTGTCGTCTAAGAGAAAACTTACAGTAAAACATGTTGTTCAAAATAAATGTTAATTGATCTATCTAGCTCATTTAGTAATTAAGCTATTAGTATAGAAATGTTCATTATATTTAAAAATAATAATGAACTCTTCATATTTTACTTATTAAAAAAATGAAATAGTCGACTAAGTATTATTTAACTAATTCATTCGCATTGTGAAACCACATTGAAATTATTTTATGATCAATTGGATATCTAATACATGAAATTAATTCTGTCTTTAAAATGGACGAATCCTATTTAGAAAATAGCTAATATTATTGATGAATTATAACACCTTTATATAAAGTCAGTTCTTGAGTTGTAGGTTCAAAGATGACATTTCTTAGCATTGAGAACACATGATTCTGTCAACTATTTATAATAGTTGTACTCAATTTTGATTGCTCTATCCCAAGAACAAGTATTATACTCCATTAACTACTGGCATAAATCATTGACGGGAACTTGTAGTTCTGGATATCAAAAATGTATGAGCTTTGGATATGAATGCACCCAATTCCTAGAACTTCAACTCAACAATAACGTATCTTTAGTATTGACAATCCACAGTTGTATGTCAATTGTTCATATTAATCATAATCAACTTTAAATGCTTTTGTTAGATTTTTATCTTTGATCGATTCCAAAACTGTTATATATCCTTGAGTTGATACCATCTAATAATAGCTTTTAATAGAGCACTCAACACACAGTACAACTGTTACAAAACTTTGGCAGGTTAGTTGGTTCTCAATGGTAATACTGACATCCTTAAAACTATCATCCAGTAACTGTTACATCTCTATAATTGATTAATATGTGATGCTTTAGCAACTGTTAGAACAGAACGGTCGACGAAAGAAGTCAAAAGAACGATAATATTTAAACTAGGTGAAGGTCAACAAAAACTGATTTTTTCGTTGCAATCATAAAATAAGTCAAATGCAAGGAGAAAAAAAGTTAGTTTCGTGATTCTAAAACTGACTCTGACTACTGGAATAGAAGAGGGAAATGATCGTTACATTATCAAGTAGTAGATAACGGGCGAATTGATGAATTGACTTTTTTTGTCAAAAAATAGCTATTCAAGAAAAATCATGATTTCTTATAAAATATGAATAAAAGTTTGCGGAATCGATGAATTCAAATCTGTAATCAGTATCGCAAAACTCTGTACTTGATTTTTCAGTCAAATATTGTAAAATGACTTTTGCCCTACCCAGAGCTAAAGCATAAAATTTTAAGAAACCATTTACAGATTCGAATTTCTCAACTACAAAAAACCTTCGATAAAACTTTATAAACAATCTTTTTTTTTGAAAAAAATAGCTTTATAACTCAAGAAGAAAGTACTAATGGAACAAATCCTTTTAAAACTTTTATCTGTACCATAGGCTATAACAACTATCAAAGTATGAGCTTGAACGGGAGATTATCAATTGGAAGAATTTTCTTACTAGTCGACTAGTTCCTTTTTAACGAGTAAAATATTAACAGTTAACTTGTTTTTAAATATGATGAATTAGAGATGTGCCGAGTCAGACAGGGACCAAAAAAGCTTAGACCTGTAGATTTCTATTCTACAAAAATCATTTTCTTACTAAATGAACTCGAAGGATTAATTTATATGCATTTTGATGAACACGTTTTTACTATAAATTTTCTCTATACAGACAATTCGATGAGAATATCTATTAGTATAAAAATATTTATCATACAAAATGAATCAGGACTTTTACACCATCTTTTATAGTATATTCCTTATACAGATATGTTTAATATCGTACTTCCCATAGCGGTTCCAGAAAAGTCACTGATAAAGTAACTTTATAAATAGATTATTAGCTTGTCTAATATGTTAATGATATGTTTTAACACATCCACTGTTCATATCTTCATGTAGGACTGTTTGATTGATCCCATCATCACGTAGTAAAGAAAAGGGATTTAATAATATATTAAGCGTTAATTTTTGTATGGCTCGATGATCCATCGTATGTCTTAATATGTGAAATTTGCCTATTCGTCGTGAAACTTTCGAAACATATCTAGCTCACTAGTAAACTTATTCATTGATTTATATCACTTCAAAAATTCTGAAAAATATCTATTAAATATAGTTAGCAAACATTTTATTCTGAAAAATTCGATTTTGTAGGTCTGATATTTCAAAGGTGAAATAATGAAAACAAAATATTCTTTTTACCAGTTAATATCTCACGAAGTTCACTATCTATTTAATTATCATTTCTTTATCTACAAATATTAGAATAAAAAAATAAATATAAAAATTTTTCATGCAGATATCAATTTATCTATATACGTATATATCTGATACTCTGAATATTTGACATGATTTAAATATTTATTTTAGAAATTGTACCAACTCAATTTAAACCATTTGAATTTGTTATACCAGGCGGTTTAACTGGATATAATAATACAGTTGAACAATATACAACTGGTGGTGATGGTAGTTATACAACAACAACAACAACAACAAAACGAATAATTACATCAGCAGATAAACCTGGATATGAAACAATAAATCGATCAGTTGTACGTGGTATAAGACCATTTGATCAAGTTGATTTAGTTTTACAACCTGATGCTTCAACATCATCAACATCATCAAAAATTTTAACAACAAGTGTTGGTTTAGATTCAAATCATGCACCATATTTTGTTCTTTCATTACATGATCAAACAGCAAAAGAAGGTGAATCGGTTCTTTTTGAAGTTATTGTCTCTGGTAAATATTAACGAAGAGTTTTTCATTCGTTTATTTTCTTAATAAAATTTTATTTTAATTTTAAGCTCAACCATCAGCTGAACTTGTTTGGGATAAAGATGGTACATTAATCGGAGATGATTCAGCATTTCGTATTGATTATTATGGTGATGGTCGTGCAACACTTTATATTCCTGAAGCATTTTTTGATGATCAAGGTTATTATACATGTACTGCAACAAATTCATTCGGTACATGTCGTACAACAGCACATCTTACAATGGATTGTAAGTATAATTGAAAGTTTTTTTTTATTTTTCTTCTATTTATAATAAATCATTTTTATTTTGTTTTAGCAAATAATGATGGTTCACCACCAAAACGTCGTCCTATAAATGATTCATCAATTGTTTATTATGAACAAGGACCAACACAAGTATTAAGATCATATCAAGTTTATTCACAACCATCAACAACAATAACAGAAGTTACAGAACAAACACAAGTTTATGAAGTACCAGGTCAACAACAACAAAGTCAAATAACATATACAATTGAAGGTACACAACCAAAATTTCAACCAGTTTCATTTCTAGTTTCAAGTAATCAAGAAAATCAACAACCAACAACAACAACAACAAGAATTACAACTGATGAAGAAAATCAATCAATGATGATTAGTCCATATCAAAATTTTAGTAGTCAATTACGTACTCGACCTAATCAAAGTGTTTTATCACCGTATGGAGATGAAACTAGAACAACAACAACAACTACTACGACTAGATATTCTCAACAACAAAAACAACAACAACCGCGTAGTACAGGTCTTATTGCAACTATGGCTAAACAACCAGGTCCAACAATTTCTCATTATCAACAATCTTATTTTCAAGAACCTGAGGATATGCAAACAGAATCAGAAACATCAACAGTACATGTTATGCGTTCAGCACAACAACAACCTACTACAACTTCATATTTTACTTCACGACCTACGTTTACAAAGGTATGTTAAGAAAATGTATAAAATTAAAAATTGAATAATTTTTATTTTGTGGAACTCACATTGAGTTTATAGGGAGTTTAAGACTTAGATCGAAATTTTGCGGCTACCCTTCATAGCAACCAGGGACAACAGATCTCAGACTCATTTTTCAGAGTTCCGTAGCAACGATAAAAATGCATTGAACGACATTAATAAAAAGACTTACTAGGAAATGTTTCTGAGTGTCACACCACTTTTGAGTCGGATTTATATGCATCATATAAGTTCTAATAGACTACGAATACTCTGAAAAGAGCTTGCCATCTTCAGGAATACCAGGGAAAACTGAGTTTCGAACTCCGACTTGAAACTTTGCCTAGAGATAGGCATTAACGAGAAATTCTTATTGTGAATCTCTCGAATTTTTTGATTGTGTCTATTCTGAAATAAGAACATTAGAAGTTGCCATTGTATATGAGCTGCACGAAAAAACGTGCTTTTACTATAGCCGTATGTTGGGATAGAAGCAATCAATAGATGATATGAAAGTTTAACAATGAACTATTTTCATTAAGACCTGTCTCTATGCAAAGTTTCAAGTCAAAATTCAAAACTTTGTTTTTCTGGTGTTCCTAGAGCGGACCACAGCATTCTACTAAAAAACATAGTATATCAGCAATACTAAACTATTCGCCAGAATTCTTTTCAGAATATTCATAGCTCATTAGAATCCATTTGCTGCAAATAATTCCGACTCAAAAATGATTTGACACTTAGAAACGTTCTCTCGTTAGATTATTCTAGAAGCTTCCTCGAAATTTGAATGACTGAAATATATTTGTGAATGTTCTAATAATGTAGTTTTTAAGTTTTGCTCGGATAAAACTTTACACTAGAGATGTTAATGATGATGGGTAGTGATGCATTGCTTTGTCACGGTCGGAATACGAAAACAAAAACAACAAGTTAGACAAAAAAATACTTTCTGTTCGACATACAGATATGGATAAACTAGATCATTTTCCTAGCGATCTATTATCCTTGAAAAGCAATTATTATCTGCTAGGGAATTTTCACTTAATGTATCTTATGAAAGTATAATGAGGTTAAACAACACATGTGAGTTCCAAATTCAAGTCTCAAACGGACTGCACTAAAAGAATTCTTCATTCTCTTTAATTTAGCCTTTGGAACCTATTGATGCACTTGAAGGTGGAACCATCCAAATAACAGTGCATTTAAGTTCTGCTGGTCCTCATCAAACTCGACCACAGATTCAATGGTATCATCATGCTCAACCAATTGTATCAGATGATATACATTATCGTATAATCGAAGGATATGAAACATCAACATTAGAAATAATTAATATTACACGTGGTGATAGTGGTCAAGTATGGTGTGTTGCTAATACTCCAGCTGGATCAGCAACTACAACATGTACTATTAATGTTGAAGGTAAAAAAAAGAAACATATAGGAAATTATTCGATATTTTAAATTTTTCTATGATAGAGATAAGCTTGCTCAATGTTAGTTTATGACTAGCTAGTATCAAGATTTCAATATAGTGCTATTACAGTAAAGATCAAAAATAGAATGAAACAGATAATCAAGATCAGTCATGATTATTAGGAATAATCTTTTATAGATTCATACTAAAAATTGAATATTAATCTTGATTTTGACAATTGATTTTTTTTGTTTATTTTTAACAAAATAGAAAATCCTGTTCGAACTTATCATCATATAGTACCCTCACAACACGTAGTACCACAAGAAACAACTTATGGAGTTCAATCGACTCATTTAACTCATGCTCAAATTCCTCTTCATCATCAACAACAAGAACAAAAAGTACCAACTCAATATTATAGCACACAAACAATAACTCAACAACAAATTTCTCCCCAATCGTTTACAACACAATCACATATTACTTTTCCATCTCAACAAATACCTTCTGAATCATATGTTACAAAACAATCTTCTATTCAATTACAACAAGTACCATCTCATACTGTAACGCCTCAACAACAACAACCAGTATCACCTCAACCAACAGTTCCTCAACCTCCACCACTCTTACCTAATTTTAGTATTCGACCAGCTTATTCAGATCAACAAATTAAAATATTAAATAATGGTTTACAAGATCAACCATTATATTCAGGAGGTGAAACTATTTTCGAATGTCAATTTACTGGACAACCTGAAAAAATACAATGGTTTCATAATGAAATTGAAATTATTTATAATCCTCAACAAGTATATAATAGGTAAGATAATATATTTCATTTAATTTTAAAATTCATCAAAAAATCTCATTGAAATTATTTTTTTTTTCTGATATAAAAATAAAAACAATCATGTCTTATTTTAGAGTTTATCATATAACTAATACAACTAATGGAACAACTCGACTGATTATAAGATCGACATTAGAGGAAGATATTGGAACATATTCAGTTAAACTTACTGGACCAAATGGACAAGAAATATCAACTGCAAAGCTTATACCAGCTTGTAAAATTCTATTTATTTTATTTGTAAAATAAAATTAGATTAATACTTTTTTTTGTTTTATTTTTTTAATAGTACAATTTCAAAATTTACAAAAGAAAAAAGTTGAACAAACACAACGAAAAGCACTTGTTCAAGAACTTGAAGAAAAACAAGTAAAACGTATGCGACCATCACAACCAATATTACAGCGTGGTAATTTTCCATCATATGGCACAAGTGATGATGATGTTTTCATGGAAACAGTAAGGAAAAACAAGCTATTAGTACAATCTCTACGGGATTACATTATGAATCACAATTATTGATATTAAGACATTCTGTGACATATGTTTCAGTTTAAGACGTCCAACATACATATATGTTCATGATGAGAGATGTTATTGTTAATATGTTATAGTGAGTTTGGAAAGGGCACTAAAGACATCTGTCATTAATTCAATCTTCTTTCATAATAATCCTATGCAGGCCTTTAGTTTTGAGGATAACGCCGAAACAAACCGAACTGTAGTGCGTCGTTTGAATCCACAAGAAAGTCTTGATAAGACTTAAAAACAGCTTAAAAGATATTCGTGTCTATGGCCTTCTGGAGTTGAGTTATGAGCGTTTTACTGAAAGTTAGCCCTGCAGTTTTGTCCGTATATGAGTCTAATGACTCTTTGGATATTCTGAAAGTTCCAGTTAAAAAGACAGTTTCTTTGCCGAGGTACTGAATTTTCAAGTAAGCTCGATTTTTGTGACATGTCTGTGCCAAGCGATTATTTCTTGAAATTTTAATATCTCAACCAATAAACATTCTTGTTGGTTGAAACTTTCATCATATTCTAAAGTTCATTAGACCTATTTATAGGCTGAGTTTCAGTTCGAAATTTCAGCAAAACAGTCATCATTCGGCTCGAGTGGCTAATAGGCACGAACCTGTTGAGATTTCTTTTATAGTCATGCCGAGATCACCTGATGAGTCCTATATGAATTAAAATGATGGATTAAAATTAAGGTAGTTCTATCATCAGTCTATCACACGCTATAATGGACAAGAACATTGTTAATAAGTGAAAAGATTCAACTGATAAATCGATTTTGAGTCAAGGTTATGTAGCAGTAAATGAGCTATGAATATTATGAAAAAAGTTCGTGTTTGTAGCTTATTATTGCGGAGATACTACCCTTTCATGGTAATTTTTAAATGAATGTCGGGACTCAGATAAACTGATTTTCGAATTTCGATTTGAAATTTTGCATGAGAACATTGAGATCTGCTGGTTTATATGAATGATGTAAAAAACACACTGTCAGCTTAGTTGTATTTTAGAATAGACACAGTGGCAAAAATCTAAGATGTTCACAAAAAAAAAAGATTCTCGTTAAGACCTTTGTCTATACAGAGGTTCAAGCCGAAATTCGAAAAACAGTTTTTCTGAACCGCGACATTTATTTAAACAGTGCACGATCTTCACAGCAATAAACTTAGAACGCAAGCTCTCTTCAGAATATTCATAGCTTATTTGGGTTTACATAGTGCATATAATTTCGACTCTAAAGCAACTTATCGATTGGAGTATTTTCTTTGTAAGATATCTTTCACGGTTGCTAAGAGTAAGGTATCCACATTTCTACCTTTATATTTCAACACTCTTTTCAAATCGTGTTTCATGAACGACAACAAATTGCTTCGTACTTATGATTAAAAACTTTTTCAAAGAATTTCTCTAAAAAATCTGTCATATTTTCTCTTTGTTAAATAATTTATGAAAATGAATAAATTTCACAAATTTTGTATTTAAAAATATAAATTTTCTTTTGCTATTAAGACTCAACGCACTTCTGCTCTACATCGACAACCAACAGCACCAACAATTAAAACTCCTTTAAAAGATTCAATTGTAAAAGAAGGTCAACCAATTCAAATAACATGTCAAATTCAAGGTTTTCCGAAATCTGAGGTTTGATTATCAAATATCTTTTTTTTTCTTCTAAACTTTAAAATCAATTTATTATCTAATCTAGCTTTTCTGGTTTAAAAATAATGTTCCATTACCACTATCAGCACGACATAAAATTGCTTACGATGCTGGCAGTGGTACAATTACATTACGTATTAATGAATCACGACCAGAAGATAGTGGCGTTTATACAGTCGTATGTTTTTCATTTGATTTAATATTTATTTGTTTTATTTATTGGTAAATTTTTAAAATTTAGATTGCAAAAAATCCTCAAGGTCATGTGCAAACAACTGCTCATATTGATGTTCAAGAAACACCAACTGTTGATGAAACATCTTATGTTGGACCCGATGCATTTAAATATATTGAAAAACAACCCGTAACATCTCGTCCACAAAAACCACGACGAGAATCGGATACATCAAATTTACAACAAAAACCAGCAAAAATTCTTCGAACACCAATGAGTACATCGGTTTTTGAAGGTGCTGTTGCACAATTTACTTGTCAAGTTGAAGGCAGTCCTAAACCAAAAGTAAGAATAAAAATAAAAATTTTTATATATTGATTTTGTTTTTTGTCTTTAAGGTTTCTTGGTTAAAAGATAATAAACCATTAATGGCTGGAACACGTTTTACAACATATTTTGATCAAACAACTAAAACAGCTGTCTTACGTATAAATGATGTTTGCAAAGAAGATCAAGGATATTATACATGTATTGTTGATAATCCATTAAATTCGGATCGTAGTACAGCTACATTACAAGTTGTTCCAGAAGTAAAAGTCGATCAAAGATCATATGTGGAAACAGATGCATTCAAATATTTATCACAAGAAAATAAACAACGTCTTACATCTACGAAAGATGTTGATCGAAGCACAAGTGGTGTTGAAACGTAATGTTCTTTTTTTAAATCTTTTGTTTTGTCATTGAAAACAAAGAATATGTCCTTGATATTTCCTAGTCGAGACAATACGATTATCTGATGAGAGAATTTCTGCTTGTTTGTCTTTCTTTTCTTATATATACAACTTATGATTTCTATATTAGCATTAAACAGATAGTGGACTTCGTTATGCATCATCGTTCAATGCCAATAAAGTAAAGCCGATGTAGTAGAAGAAAAGATTGTGAAATACATAATATCTTTTTCTATTAAACTTTTCCACGCTCTCTTATGAAATTTTTAAATGAAAAACAAAACAATTTTTAAGATGCTTTTTTTTTTCGTAAAATATTCAGACGACAGATTCAATCTCAGTCGCACACTGATATCTGTATAAAACTTACGGTTAATAAGAAGAAAAAAAACTGTTAGTGCATTCTCTGCGAGATTAAAATGTGAAATACGATGTAACTGCTATTGCTAATCACAAGAAGATTATTTTATTCTCTCTATAATGTTATTAATGTACGATCTGTGATGGAAGTATAGGGAGTGAGTCTAAGTTTTCCCCCGATATATCAACACTTCTTGTAGAGTACGTTTCACAAAATGTTCGTAAATAGGTTATGTAAGAAACTGAATTTTTCAACACATAACTGTTATGTGAAACTTATCTGAATAGAAACATTTTCAAATAGATGAAAGTTTTTAGCATAGTTTTTCAGACTTTTATATAAATGACGATTTCAAAAAAAAAACAGTTAGTTATTTCTGTGAACAAACGATACGTTCATTAGAATGATTGTTAGAAATTTTTCACGATTATTTTTTTTATAGCGAAGAAATAAATATTTTCGATTCCAAAAGTAGTCGACTTTATTCATACCTATCTCTGAGAGACGACCTTTCAATCTTTTACATTCTATGACAAAAATAGTCGAAGGGCTTGTTGCGAAACTCCCATATATTTTCCAAGTAGATAGTGAGTTAAATTTTCAAGGGCCTCTTCATTATCATACATCGACGATCAGAGTCAAAACGGCATTAAGTGCACATATTCTTCAAGTAAGCCAAAACAACAAGCTCTAGACTCCCATTCTATAGTTTCTTGGCAATAGAAGAAAAGTACTGAACAGCATTAACATAATCAATGCTTTTGTAAGATGATTATCGTTTATTAGAAAATCTTTACTTCACATGTTTTGTATTAGTATAATCAAGCTAAACAAGACATATGAATTCCATATTTTAGTCTCGATGCATATATTCTTTTTTACTGTGACATTGAAAATATTTTTGTTTTCGATTATTTCTTAATTCGAATTTACTTTTCTGTCATATTTGAATCCAAAACATATGTTCTATCTAATAAATTATTTTCTTTATCTTTTAGTGAATCATTTGTCAATCCAGAATCATTTCGTTACTTGGAAGCTAAAAGACCTATAAAAGAAGTTGATGATAATATAGCAATTGATGATCGACCAATTGTTGATCTTGAAGCAATTCGTTATTTAGAAGCTCGGCAAGCTTCAAAAGTAAAAAAAGATACTGATGTTCGAGCATCTATTGATGATACACCAATCATAGCACCAGATGCATTTCGATATCTAGAACGAAAAGTTGACGCAGCTAAAGTAAAAAAAGATCAAGATATAGGTCCATTAATTGATGAAACACCACAAGTTGATTTAACAGCATTTCAATATTTGGAACGAAAAGCAATACCAAAAAAAGTTGAAGAATCAGGACCTAAAATTGATGAATCATCTATTGTTAATCCTGAAGCATTTAAATATTTAGGTAAATTTAAATAAATTGATATTTGTTTTGTTTTTCATTTATAAAATATTGTTTTTTTAGAACGTAAACCACTAAAAAAAGTTGAAGATGTTGGTCCATTAATTGATGAAACACCAATTGTTAATCCGGATGCATTTCGTTATTTAGAACGACAAGCTATACCACAAGTACGTGATACAGCACCAGCAGTTGATACAACACCATTAGTTAATCCTGAAGTATTCAAATATTTGGAAAGACCGGAACCTCATCGAGTTGATGAAGGTCCATCAATTGATACTCGACCAATTGTACCACAAGAAGCATTTCGTTGGCTTGATCGTCCAAAACCTGTTGAACGTATGCCAGAAGGACCAGTCGTTGATGAAAGTTCATATGTTAATCTACAAGCATTTCGTTATGTTGAAGCAAAACCAAAACAAAAAGTTGTTGATGAAGGACCAAAAGTTGATGAAAGTTCATATGTTAGTCCACAAGCTTTTCGATATTTAGAAGCACCAGCAACAAAAAAAACTGTTGATGTAGGACCTGTTATTGATACATCAACATATGTTAATCCAGAATTATTCGTACAGTTTGACCTCAAACCTGCTCCTCAAAAACCATCCGATGATCGAGAAATCAAACGAGCACCAAGAGTTATTCAGTCATTAAGAAATACACAAGCTAATGAAGGAAAACCTATTGCATTAGTTGCTATTGTTGATGGTTATCCTGTACCACAGGTATAAAGACAAACAAATAAGACTGAATTCATTTTATTAGATAGTACAAATACTAAGGAAAAAAAACGAAATTATATCTAATGAATCTCTCAATGATTTATTAAATAATATGTTAATTGATGAGATTAATTTCTTAAATTTGAAAGTGATTTATCTGTTTTAAAATAATACAAAGTACATCTCAACAAAAAACACACACTGAAAGGAAAACATCAATAAAATAATGAGAGTATGTCTGATATCTAATCTAGAATACGTTTCAATAAGTCAAAATGAATTATAAATTAAGATTTTCTTTTGTTCTCAAGCATTGTTTTTTTGACACAAATGATCTGAATTCAACTAATACTTGAGGTGTCACTTTCGTGTTTCATTCCTATAGGAACATGGAATGGCTCAAAGTCTCTCATAAAAAGATAGATGGTGCTAAGACAATTCGTCGAAGGGCATAGTTAGTCTTAGAGTATCCTAAAGTAGTAGCATCGAAGGTGGATGTCTGGATGAGGGTACACAAAAGATCATCATTTACATCAACACTCTTGAGAATGGAACGTTGCCCGGACAAAGAATCCTGACATTCCTACTTGAAATTCTATGTGCAAACATATATTCGCTTCTTTTACAAACTCAATTATTTATATTAGAATTTTTTCGAATTCGAAATAAAATTATGGATTCATATGCATGATGACGTGTATCAACATTGCTGAAAAACATGTCTTCGCAAGTTCTTCCTTGATTAAATTTAAGATTTCGAAAGACAACTCTAAGTTCTCAAGAGTGGAGTACATCATGAGCTTCCTTTCCTAGAAACTCGGAGTCCATAATAGCTTCACAAAAAAAGATAGGCAAAGTTATGTGAACACATCAAAATATATACAGCGGCATCCAAAATTATTCGTTCAAGTTTATTTTAAAATTAAAACTCACACGCTAAAAAATGATTGCGAGCTTTCTACAGACAGTCTTTGAAAAGCAAAAAAAAAATAACAAGTATTTCAACTCTTAGAAATTGCAAATAAAATTCTATTTGAATTACTCAGAACAATAGCACGAACAATTTTCTACAAAATGGTGTGTCTTTCAGTGCTCTATGAAGTTTTAGTTTTTGATCAAGATAGATCAACTTTATGGAAAGCAAGAAAGTCATTTTTTCTGTTATTTCATTTAGAAACATCATTTTTATGCCTTCAATTAGATTGATATATCTCGGTTAAGAAAAGTGATAGAGTGCTGAAAGACATTTCTTTTGTAGGGAATCGTTTTCTCTATCATTCTGTGTAATTGAAAAAAAAATTCTAGGAACTAAAAGATTTAGTTTTTGGTTTTTCAATGATTTTATCCTTAGAAAGCTAATTCTTTTGGAAATATAATTCTCTACACAATTCACCATTTGAATTCTTATTCACGGTTACATCAGTAGAAAATAAACTAAGATAAACCTAGGTGAATAATATATCCACAATGTTCAGACATGAAAAATCTGTAACCTCGCTAACTAATATCAATTTTACAATTTTATCTTATTTTCAGTTAACATGGCTTAAAGATAGTGCTGAATTACCGGCATCAACTCGTGTAACAACAAATTATGATATTCCATCAAAAACTGCATGGATTCGTATTGATAGTGCTCGACCGGATGACACTGCTGTCTATACATTAATAGCTCATAATCCAGCTGGTGAAGTACGAAGTGATGCTCGTCTTAATGTTGTTCCTAGTATGACACCAATTGATGATACAGCATTTGTACCAGCTGAAGCATTTGCAAAAATTGAACGAGCAACAGCACAACGTCCGAAGATTCCTGAAACAACAGGTGTTGATGATACATCATTTGTTAATGCAGAATTATTTCAACAATTTGAAGTATCTCTTAAACGACCTGCAGAAAAATTTACTGATGAAGTTGTTATTCAAATACCAGCACGTATAGTAGCACCATTAAAATCTATTCAAGCACCGGATAGTGTTACCGTCGTCTTAGAAGCTATTGTTGAAGGTAGTCCAATACCAACATTTACATGGTTAAAAGATCAATTACCATTAAGTGAAAGTAATCGTTTCGTAACAAATTATGATTTACCTAGTAAACGTGTTACATTAACAATAAAAGATGTACGTGAAAGTGACACAGGTATATATACATTATTAGTATCAAATGGTCCACAAGTGAGTTTTTTTTGATTTTGAATAGAAAAGAAAAATAAAATAAAATAATTTTTATTTTTTATTTTTACAAGCTTCATCATTCATCAGCTACATTACATATTATTGGTGCACCTTCAATCGATCAATCATCATTTATACCAATGGATGTTTTTAAACAATTAGAACATCCACAAACTCAACAAAGACAAATAATTGTTCAGGCTGGTGTTGATCTAACATCATATGTTTCTCAACCAGATCGTTTTGCTGTATTTGATCAAATACAACCACATAAACGACCATTAAATGAATTTGGTGGTGTTGATGAAACACCACTTATTAATATGGAAAAAATACGTTTATTAGAAATTCCATCAAATCAAGCAAAACAACCATATGATATTGAGGAAAAAGTACAAGCACCAAATGTCTTAACACCACTTCAACCAATTAATGCTCAAGAAGGTAGTCCTGTTGTTTTAACAGCAAAAATTAATGGTACTCCAATGCCAAATGTGAGTAAAATTAATAATAAACTATATCAATATTATTTCTCTGAGATTTAAAACAATTCATCTATAGCTAATGATACATATCATTATCTTGTATGGATTTATTATTCTAATCTATTATGATTGTTCGAATAGCTGAAGAGAGACACTATACGACACGCACAATCAAATCTAACCGTATACATACATTTGATATTAGTATTGATTAGGCTAACATAGTAATATATTATATAGTAATTGAACATTCAGTCGAGGATCAAGTAAGTCTCAATGACAAGCGTTGCTTGTCCTCTAGGACGAAACTGTGACAATTTTTGATAGAAGAAGCGCTAGTGCGAATGGAATTATACTTCATTCAACTTCCTCACATCATCAACGGCATTGCTTACATACAGAACACACGTTTATATGTGCAATCAGCAGAAAAAAAGACATATTCGTTTTCGTTGAAACTTTCAGAACTACCCAATGCCTATCAAACGTACCTATGAACGTAATGTCAGCTCGAAACTTTTTTTTGAATTTTTCTAAAATGTCTTGCTCTCAGTAGCAATTTCATCAAAATGATCGTAACTCTTCAATAGTAGACTATGTACTCAGAACCCATAAAGTTGGTCTTAGTCTCGTCGACACCTATTCATAGCCATAATGTGAATTCGAACAGCATCCAACAACTAAATATATTCGCTCGTTAGTTATCTTTCTATAATGCTAATAAGACGTCTTTTTGAACGATAAGGTTATTTAGCATTGAAACTAATTGTTATATACCCAATCAGAGCTATCGATCTGACTTGTCGTCTGCTAGACCAAAGTTATTAACTTGGCTCCTACATATTGAAAATCAAGTATTAATGCATTGTTTTATTCCTCGAGATTAATTCGATTCTAGCAACAAATGTTTGAACCGAATCTCAACTTAGTATTGCAGAATTTCCATTGACTGAAAGAAAAATAATACATAAATGTAGAGTTATACAATTAAATATGTTCGAAAAACCCAAAACATCTTATTGCATGTCCTATAAACATTTGTTTTTCTCCTAAACTTATTTTTTTGATTTTTCTAGTTTACATGGTTTAAAGATGATGCACCATTAGTTGCTTCATCTCGTTTTACAACTTATTATGATATTCCATCAAAATTAATTATATTACAAATAAATGATGCTCGTCCAAATGATACAGGTATTTATACCGTACGAGCTGATAATAAATCCGGTACTGTTACAACATCAGCTACGCTTCATATATCAATTTTACCATCAGTACGTGATCAATCATTTATTTCAACTGATGTATTTCAACGTCTTGAACAAGGAAATCAACCACGTTTTATTGAAGAAATTAGTGGTGTTGATGAACGTCCACTTGTTGATTTAACTAGATTACAAAAATTAGAAATTAAACCAAGTAAATTTATTGAAGAAGAACAACCAACTGAACAATTTAGACCAAGTATTCTTATACCATTACGTAATGTTCATGCTGTTGAAAATCAACCAGTTGTTTTATCCGCACAAATACAAGGTAAACCACAACCACAATTCGTATGGTTTAAAAATAATCAACCATTATCCGAAGGAAATCGTTTTCGTACACATTATGATATACCATCAAAAACAATATTTCTTACAATTGCTGGTGCACGTGAAGATGATTCTGGTATATATCGTTTAATAGCACAAAATCCATCTGGACAAGATGAAACATCATGTGAAGTTCATGTTGATATAAATCAACCAATTATTGATCAACGTTCATTTGTACCACAAACAGCATTTGATAAATTAGAAAAACCTATATTAAAAACAGATACTATAATAAGTGGTGTTGATCAAACAAGTTTTTTTAATCAAGAATTATTTCGTCCATTTGATGAACAACCAATTAAACATCCATCAGCTATTGTTGGAGGTGAAGATAGTGATGCTGTTATGCCAATATCAGCACCTAAAATATGTACACCACTTCGTCCAATAACAACAACTGAAGGTAATACAGTTTTATTAACAACACAAGTTGAAGGTTATCCATTACCACAATTTACTTGGTTTCTTAATAATCAACCATTAATGGCATCAAATCGTGTTACATCACATTATGATATGTTAACAAAACGTTGTTTTCTACAAATATTTGATAGTCGTCCAAATGATACTGGTATATATGAATTAATTGCTGAAAATCCAGCTGGTCAAGATCGTACGAGAACAGAATTAACAATTGTACCTGTATCTAAAATTGATCAAACAGGTTATGTACCATATGATAAATTTTCAACATTAGAATTTAAACCACGTATACCAAGTGATCTTCGTTCAGGTGTTGATGCAACACCATTTGTTAGTGGAGAAATATTTCGTTTATTAGAAGCTAAACCTATTAATGAACACATTGCACCTGAAGATGAACAAATTTTACCATTAGAGGTTCTTGTACCATTAAAATTAGCTGTTGCACAAGAAGGACAGCCAGTTATATTAACAACAAAAATACGTGGAAGACCAGTACCACAAGTAAATAAATGAATAAAACAAACAAAAAGGATAGTCTAATGAGAGAATTTTCTTTTGTTTTTATAGTTTACTTGGCTTCGTAATAATCAACCATTGTTAGAATCAAATCGTTTTCAAACACATTATGATTTTCCATCGGAAACACTTGTATTAGAAATTAGTGATATATGGCCACATGATGCAGGTAAAATTTCATAAAGAATGAATGAACTAAAATTTGATCTTGCAAGTGATTTTATCGTTTTTTGTTTGTTTGATGAATTATTAATCGGTAATAGTTTAAAACATATGAATTAATTGATCTAAGACTGATATAAGGAGCATGTCAGACAAAGCGCAACATACATATCTTTCATTTGATTTTGATTTTTAACGAGAGTTACTTTTCTAAATAAAGTCTTTTAGCATAGACATATGTAAAAGTGTTGACTCGCTCAACTGACTATAGTTCGGCAGTTCCCAAAATATCACGTTGAATTGAAGCCATTAAATTATCAAATATATACGAGAGTTTTGAATTGTTGAGACTATAGACACCACTGAGAGTTTTGTATCTATCTCATGATTCAACTGATTCGGTATCAGTTGGACTCTCGATTTCAGTTTTTGGAACCACCCAACTCTAAATAAGGAAGAACGAAGAATGCCTCTGTCTTACGATATGGAGTACTGCCAAGTGATAGATTCATTAGCCCGATATCTTTCTTGGAACCAAGAGTAGCTGTAGTTCGTGGCAGGATATCCAGCTGACATAGAATTCTTGTACCCAAGTGCTGAAACTCCCCAAATACAATTACTAACCAAATGACAGACACAAGAGTAGATGTATGTCACAATATAGTCAGCAGGTCATTAGATGGATGATCTGAGAAAGACAGTCGCTAGTGACTTATCCAGGGTCATGTCATAGCTACTGATATCGTGGTTTGCACACAGTACCTTGCGGATACCTGCCGAAACATGTACACACTCAACTATGGCGGTTCCTCTAAACAAAGATCTCTAGCGCTGATTTTTTAGGATATCTAGAGTAACTTAACGTACATGCAACACATAAAAATCAGCTCTAGGAAAGTTTATTATCTCAAACATACGTGTTGAAGTTTCGTGAGATCACGTCGCTAATGAATGATTTTGCTCATATACATTCTAAACAAAACTCATATTATAAAAAGCAGAAAACATAGAATTTCTGAAACTCTCTTTTTTCGGATTTCTTACAATAGAGATTTTTTAGAATATATTTATCTTGAATTTTATCATCAATTGTCATTATTGATAAATAGTATGTTCTTAAAAATGATCTCTAATCTAATCTTATCATTTTGTTTATTATCACAGAAAAATAAACATTGCAATTAAATTTAATCACCCCTTATTTATCTTTTGTTTTTTTTTTACTTACAGGAACCTATACAGTGATTGCTCACAATCCGAAAACAGGTGAACGAGCTCAAACATCAGCTCCATTAATCGTACGCAGTGATGCAACACCTGTTGATTATACAGCATTTGTAGCACCAGATGCATTTCGAACATTAGAAGCAGGACCAAATTTACGTACAGTTTTTGTCGAACCAGGTGTTGATACACATAGTTTTCTTGCTCCTGATGTTTTAAAAACATTAGATCAAGTTAAACCAAAACCAATGGAAGTAGACGAAAAGGAGCAACCACGTATAGCACCCAAAGTTATTGTTCCTTTACAGCCAATTCAATGTAGTGAAGGACAACCAATTAATTTTATAGCTAAAGTGGAAGGAAATCCACACCCAGTGGTAAGACATAATCCAAAAAAATTGAATAAAAATTTAGTTTCTTATTTTTTCCCAATTGTTTTTAGTTTACATGGTTTAAAAATAAACAACCACTTCAAGAATCAAATCGATTTTGGTCACATTATGATGTACCAACAAAAACAGTTCTTCTACAAATTAATGGTGCCCGACCAGATGATACTGGTACATATTTTCTTGTTGCTAAAAATCCACTTGGCCAAGACCAAACACAAACAACCGTCAATGTGACATTTGGTCCAGCTATTGATACAAATGGTTCGAAAATATTTAAAATTTTAACATTGCTAAAAAAAATTTACCTTTTCTTTTTTTTCAGCATTTGTTTCACCAGAAAAATTTGCTGCATTTGATATACCCTATAGACGGCATGTTCCATTACAAGCAGGTGTTGATACAACTCCATTTGTACAACCAGAACGTTTTACACAATTAGAACTTAAAGCACCAGCTCCGACAAAAGAGGATATGGAACATATGGAAGCACCGAAAATTATTACACCTTTACAAAGTGTACAAGTTAATGAAGGAACACATGCTCTTCTTCAAGCAACAATTGTTGGAACACCAAGACCTAATGTATGACTTCATTACAGGAAAAGAAAATCTTCATATTTCCTTTCTTTTTTGTTTAGTTTGTTTGGTTGAAAGATAATAAACCATTGGTAGCATCAAATCGTCTTCGTACTCGATATGATATTGGCACTAAACAAGTTTTATTACAAATTAATGATGTTCGCCCACATGATATTGGTGAATACGTAGTCCTTGCAACAAATCCTGCTGGTGAAGATTCAACAATATGCTCGTTAAGTGTTGTGCCAGATAAAACACGTGTTGATGAACGAGCTTTTGTTCCACAAGATAAATTCCGTAATTTGGAAGCTCCTGAAGGAAAAGGACGACGACCATTAGAAATCATCCCTGGTGTTGATGTTCAACCATTTGTTTCACCAGAAAAATTCCGTAAATTGGATCATGTTGAACCATCGGAAAGACCCGAAACAGAATTACAAGAACCTAAACGAGCACCACGTGTCCTTGCACCATTAAGTAATTGTAATCTAGAAGAACTCATGCCTGTACTACTTACAACAACGATTGACGCTGGAATGCCAATGGCTACAGTACGTATTGATTTGTTTTATTGCGAGGTCAGACTTTGATGGCATCAATATAAGAAAATGTGTTTTGTAAAGAAAAAATAGATTTTTGATTGAGGAAAATTCCATGCCTAATTGTCCTCACCACGAGAATGTTTTATTCAACTATCCGATCTACACTAAGAGATGTTTTTATACTTATGAAATTCGTTGAGGAAAATGAAATATCTTCACGGCTGTTAAAATATCATAGTTCCTTGAGAGCTAGTAAAAGTTAGTGTTGTATGAGTGCTCGATTTTTATCGCAAACATATATATATAACAACTCACTAGTAGAAAAGAAAAATCTATTTTACTCGACAATTTAAAATCAACAATTCTTTAACTAAACTCACGTGCAAATTTCCGTCTTAGAACGTTTTCAAGAGAAAGTACTTCGCAAACATTTTCACAAAAGAACCAGCTGAATTGTTCTGTTACAATATTCTGATCTGAATATGTATCAACATATAAGTCTAACATTTCCTGCTGATATTATTAGAGATCAAAGCGTATTATCTTTTATCGAATATTTTCTGTTTGCCATCAGCCGTCCAAGTATGACAGTGTAATCGAATTCAATTTTCTCTATTTTTAGTTTACTTGGTATAAAAATAGTCAACCACTTCTTGAAGGCAATCGATTCACCACTAAATATGACATTTATACAAAAACTTTAACATTACAAGTACTTGCTGCACGACCTGATGATCAAGGAACTTATACAGTTCGAGTAACAAATCCAACTGGTACTGATGAAACAACATGTAAACTAACAATTCGACCAGTAGCATCGATTGATACACGACCATTTGTACAACCGGAACGTTTTACACAATTGGAACTTAAAGCTCCAGCTCCAACAAAAGAAGATATGAAACAAATGGAAGCGCCAAAAGTTATTGTGCCTTTACAAAGTTTACAAGCTAATGAAGGATCACCTGTTCTTCTTCAAGCAACGATTATTGGAAAACCAAGACCTAATGTAAGATTTCATTATTGAAAAAGAAAATCTTCACGTCTTCTTTTTTGCTTAGTTTGTTTGGTTGAAAGATAATAAACCATTGGTAGCATCAAATCGTCTTCGTACTCGATATGATATTGCTACAAAACAAGTTTTATTACAAATTAATGATGTTCGCCCACAAGATATTGGTGAATACGTAGTCCTTGCAACAAATCCTGCTGGTGAAGAGTCAACAATATGTTCATTAAACGTTCTACCAGATAAACCAGGTGTTGATGATCGAGCCTTTGTACCACAAGATAAATTCCGTAATTTGGAATATCCAGAAGGCAAAGGACGACGACCATTAGAAATCATTCCTGGTGTTGATGTTCAACCATTTGTTTCACCAGAGAAGTTTCGTAAATTGGATCATGTTGAAGCAGTGGAAAGACCGGAGAGAGAGTTGCAAGAACCTAAACGAGCACCACGTGTCCTTGCACCATTAAGTAATTATGATATAGAAGAACTTTTTCCTGTACTACTTACAACTACAATTGATGCTGGTGTCCCAATGGCTACAGTAAGGATTCTTTTTTAGTTCTCTCGTGAATTAGTAACAGTTCGAAAAAGTGTAGACAGATCATGTAAGAATTACTCACCAGTGGAGCGCCGTCAGATATGATTTTTTTTTGCAATTGACTTAGTGAAATCTGATTTTCATGTAACGTTGAGGCCTATGTCGACTGTATGCAAGAAACTTTTCTAGTGATTGAGAATTGCGGTAAACATGCAGACAGAGACTAGTACTTATTTTTTGCTGTTCGACTTTTGACTAATATGGCAGTCATTGAAGGATTGATAGACCGAACATCAACACGATCTTCAGTCAACGAGATACTCAATTCGTTGTGAAAATGAATGTATGATGCTAAAGATATTTTTTCGATAATACGTCTCATTAGAAGGAATGATTATTAGTAGTCGTTATTTGTTAATTAATGATAATATCTGATATGAACCAGAGAAAATGCGGCCCGACAATAATATCACTGATAAAAACAGCCAAACATTTCAATATCATTGAAAAACAATGGCCAATACGATTCGTTCAAGAAAGTGAAAGTTTGTAACTCCAGTGAAGCCAATCAAGATAAAATAACATGGAATACATTGAGATATAAAAATAAGGAAAAGACGAGAATATATCAAAAGTATCATTCTAATAGTTGCGAATGAGTTGCATAATATTTGTGTATTTTATCTGATACAGTAGTTGTCTTTCGTATTCAAAAAGATACAAGAGAGCATCATCATACAGGTATAGCTCACAATATGATAAACACACGCATAACTTACTATCCATTATGATCATGTGTGCGAAACGTTCTTCAGGAAGAATTCTGCTACCAAAAGAATTTAACATGTGAATTTGTATATATAACTTTTCTGATTATCAAATACAATACTACTGCATAAAGTACTCGACGCTGCTGACATAATTCTTCACTTTCGAAAACATCAAATTTCAATTTCTCTGTATTGACAAAAAAACAAGAATTTCATTTTTCACAACTTTCCATTCACTTTAATACTCATTTAATCTTTTTCCATATCCTCTTTCCTGTTATGCCATTAAAAACTAAATCTTTATTTTAAGTTCACTTGGTATAAAAATGGTCAACCACTTCTTGAAGGCAATCGATTTACTACTAAATATGACATTTATACAAAAACATTAACCTTACAAGTACTTGCTGCACGACCTGATGATCAAGGAACTTATACAGTTCGTGTAACAAATCCATCTGGTACTGATGAAACAACATGCAAACTAACAATTCGACCAGTTGCTTCAATTGATACACGACCATTTATACAACCAGAATATTTTACACAATTGGAACTTAAAGCTCCACCTCCAACAAAAGAAGATATGAAACAAATGGAAGCACCAAAAGTTGTCCTACCATTGAAAAGTGTACAAGTTAATGAAGGATCACCTATTCTTCTTCAAGCTAAAATTGTTGGAAAACCTACACCTAATGTAAGACTTTGCTATAACGAAAGAAAATATTTATTTCTTATGTCTGTTTTTTTCTTAGTTTATTTGGTTGAAAGATAATAAACCATTGGCTGCATCAAATCGTCTTCGTACACGTTATGATATTGGCACTAAACAAGTTTTATTACAAATCGATGATGTTCGTCCACATGATATCGGCGAATACGTTGTTATTGCAACAAATCCTGCTGGTGAAGATTCAACAATATGTTCATTAAGTGTTCTACCGGATAAAACACGTGTTGATGATCGAGCTTTTATTCCACAAGATAAATTCCGTAGCTTGGACGCTCCTGAAGGAAAAGGACGACGACCATTAGAAATCATCCCTGGTGTTGATGTTCAACCATTTGTTTCACCAGAGAAGTTCCGTAAATTGGATCATGTTGAACCATCGGAAAGACCCGAAAGAGAATTACAAGAACCAAAACGAGCACCACGTGTCATTTCACCATTAAGTAATTGTGACCTAGAAGAACTTATGCCTGTATTACTTACAACTACAATTGATGCTGGTGTTCCAATGGCTTCGGTAAGAATTTTTTCTTTGTTCTCTGGTGACCGATTATAAATTAGATCAAGTTTAATTTTACAATAATAATGACATCGAAAGATTAGATTTAAACTTGGCGGTTGTGAACGATGGGACATGAGAAAAGCATTGTTATAAGTTTCTTTGAATTCATGAGATTGTTTTCCTTTTATAGCATTTGCTGAACTGAAAAATTTCAATTATTTCAGCAGTGTTTTTTTCATGAACGCTGATGTCTACAATGACAAACCGAAAGCAAATCTCTATAGCTTAGGGTTTAAAATGAATGTACGGACAAATATTAGCGTTTGGTTTTTAACTGTTTGAGTTAGAACTGGTATAACGACCGCTTAGGTATCGACTTATTGCTTTTTGTGTATATTCGTACGATTTTCAACCAACAAAAAACCCAGTCTTTTACGAAGCGATGTGTACTATGGTAAACATTTTTTCTGAAATCACACGTCTCATAAGAAGGAAAAGTGATCGTCAATCTTTGGATGTAAAGTAATTTGAACAGCTAAAATAAACCACAGTAATCGTAGCAAAAATATAGAACATGAATAAAATCTGTCTCATTTTTTAACATCGCAGAACCTCAATGAAATAGCTGATTGATTCGACATAGTGAAGAAATAGAAATACAACAGTGCTTATCGAAATAAAGTAATATAATTTTAACCAAAAATAACATGAGGTAGAATTCCTTTTTCGGATGAATATGATGCAAGAAACACATCAAAAGCATTCCTCCTACAATTCCGTATCTACTGCAAAAAGAATTTTGTTAATTTGTATATAAATAAGTTCTAAAAAAATAAAACCGATTTCGGACTTTCATGGAAATTGGTTGCAGTCACAGTTTGTGACTACCATAACTACAACAACAAAAAAATTCTCGACGCCAAGTGTTACTTCTCATGCAGAACTATCCATTGGATGGATGGTCAACATCAAACATACGTGATATACAGAAAAGGAAAAATTCGATCATATTTTCCAGACCGAATAACAAAAATATCAAAAATATTTTAAGTGTGTTACAGAGAATTCCCAACAAGAAAAGAAATGGAAAGCTTCAATAAAGAACAAACAAGAGAACAATAATACATTTACCAAACAGCTACAGAAAGTGCCAGTCGAATAGAATTTCGATAGGAAACAATTTTAACATCTACACTTGTATTTATAACTTCTCGAAGTACTAAATATCCAGAACTTTCCATTGGCTTTAGTATTTACATCAATTTTCTCCATATTCTCTTTTGTTACATGTACATAAAAGTTGAATCTCTTTTGATTTTTAGTTCACATGGTACAAAAATAATAAACCACTTCTTGAAGGCAATCGATTTACTACTAAATATGACATTCTTACAAAAGTATTAACATTACAAGTACTCGCTGCTCGTCCTGATGATCAAGGAACTTATACAGTTCGTGCAACAAATCCATCTGGTAGTGATGAAGCAACATGTAAACTAACAATTCGACCAGTGGCCTCAATTGATACACGACCATTCGTACAACCAGAACGTTTTGCACAGTTAGAACTTCAAGCTCCAGCTCCAACAAAAGAAGATATGGAACACATGGAAGCACCAAAAGTTATTGTACCTTTGAAACCTGTACAAGTCCATGAAGGAGCACCTGTTCTTCTTCAAGCTAAAATTGTTGGAAAACCTACACCTAATGTAAAACTTTCGTACAAACAAAGCAAATATTTATTTCTTGTGTCTGTTTTTTTTTTAGTTTGTTTGGTTGAAAGATAATGCACCATTGGCAGCATCGAATCGTCTTCGTACACGTTATGATATTGGCACGAAACAAGTTTTATTACAAATCGATGATGTTCGTCCACATGATACGGGTGAATATCATGTCATTGCAACAAATCCGGTTGGTGAAGATTCAACAATATGTGCAGTAAATGTTGTACCGGATAAGCCAGGTGTTGATGACCGGGCTTTTGTTCCACAAGATAAGTTCCGTAATTTGGATGCTCCTGAAGGAAAAGGACGACGACCATTGGAAATTATCCCTGGTGTTGATATTCAACCATTTGTTCCACCAGAGAAGTTCCGTAAATTGGATCATGTTGAACCAGTGGAGAGACCGGAAAGAGAATCATTGGAACCAAAACGACCACCACGTGTCATTGCTCCATTAAATAATTGTGAGCTAGAAGAACTTTTCCCTGTACTACTTACAACTACAATTGATGCTGGCGTCCCAATGGCTTCAGTAAGGATTCTTTTTTTGTTTTCTTCTAAGCGAGTAACAGTTCAAAATAGTATAGAAAGATCAGAATTGTATCTTTTATTAGTGAAATACATTCGAATTAGAATGTATCCTCAAAAGCTTCACCGAGCTATACGATTTCTGTTGTTTCAAAAGGGTGTGGTGACCGGAAAGCTTTTCAGTGATTTCAGTTATTTTATTCTCCAATAATTTCCTGTATTTTTATTGTCAATGAACATTGATGTGCAATCATGACAGACTAAAAAGCATCTCTAAAACCGATCGATTGCAATAATGTTATCCACATTCTTAGAAGCTCCTATCCATCCATCGTGCTAAAAAGGTTTTTCTCTGTATAAGTTTCATAGTACATTTCACTATGTGTGAATAGTCGAATATAAAATAATGATAATAAGTAATATAAATCAAACTGATTGAGGCCAAACAAATGCACCACCAGTAAAGACTCTAATTTTTCAACATTATTTACTCTTGATATACAAGGTGATTATTTCAGAATAGTGCATGAAAAGAAATTCTACAACGTCAAACTAGCTAATATAACACAACTTTAACCAAGTTAAAAGGATATATAAGCTTTTATTAGCACGAGTCAGAGACGGAAAAAGGCATCTCTCTGACAATTCCATATGANGGTGTTGTACCTGATAAAACACGTGTTGATGATCGACCTTTTGTACCAGCAGATAAGTTCCGTAGCTTGGAAGCTCCTGAAGGAAAAGGACCACGACCATTAGAAATAGTACCTGGTGTTGATATTCAACCATTTGTTTCACCAGATAAATTCAGAAAACTGGATCATGTTGAACCATCGGCAAAAGAAATCGAAGAAGTACCAGAACCAAAACGACCACCACGTGTCATTGTACCATTAGTTAATTGTGAACTGGAAGAACTCATGCCTGTGATACTAACAACGACAATTGATGCTGGTGTCCCAATGGCTACAGTAAGGAGTTTTTTTCATTCTCTCGTCAACGATTACTGTTTCTATTTAACTGAATTTTACTAAAAGAAAAATATAGATAGATCGGATAAGAATTTCTGATGAACGACACACTTTCAGATAAGAGTACATTGATATTATCGATTGTTTTTTGTTTCAAAGCACTCTAAGTGGCCTTATAGATTTTAAATGTTTTGCAGTTTTGTGTTTTTTTCGATGAATGTTGATGTCTCTATTCATAGTCTCAGGAAACATCGCTGCTGTCTACGGAGTACAATAAATATAGCAAGAGATAACTATGTATTTTTTGACTGTTCATGATACACCTACCTTAAGATCGTTGAAGCTTACATAACCCTATAGAGCTTTTCATCATGTTCATAGAGCATTTCTGAAGTTGAAACATTCAAACTTATATTTATAACTGGCACCAACATCGAATAAAATACCACTGGATTTAGTATCCGATATTACAGACAAAATCTTCCGTTGCAAAATTATGGAATTCCATATTTACAACTTTCATTTCGCTTTAGTATTCATATACATTAGTTTTACTCCAATTTTTCTTTTGTTACATGTTAATAAAAACTTAATCTCTCTTTTTTAGTTTACATGGTACAAAAATAATAAACCACTTCTTGAAGGCAATCGATTTACTACTAAATATGACATTTTAACAAAAGTATTAACATTACAAATTCTTACAACTCGTCCTGATGATCAAGGAACCTATACAGTTCGTGCAACGAATCCATCTGGTAGTGATGAAACAACATGTAAATTAACAATTCGACCAGTAGCCTCAATTGACACACGACCATTCGTAGAACCGGAACGTTTTGCACAACTGGAACTTCAAGCTCCACCTCCAACGAAAGAAGACATGGACCACATGGAACCACCAAAAGTAATTGTACCATTAAAGAGTTTACGAGTTAAGGAAGGATCACCTGTTCTCCTTCAAGCAACTATTACTGGAAAACCAAGACCTACTGTAAGACCTTAATATAGAGCAATAAAATTTGTATTTGTGTTTTTTCTTTCAGTTCGTTTGGTTGAAAGATAATGGACCATTGGCAGCATCAAATCGTCTTCGCACACGTTATGATATTCCGACAAAACAAGTTTTATTACAAATTGATGATATTCGACCACACGATATTGGTGATTATCGTGTCATTGCAACAAATCCAGCTGGTGAAGATTCAACATTATGTTCGTTAAGTATTTTACCTGATAAACTAGGTGTTGATGAACGACCTTTTGTACCAGCAGATAAGTTCCGTGATTTGGAACATCCAGAAGGAAAAGGACGACGACCATTAGAAATCATCCCTGGTGTTGATATTCAACCATTTGTTCCACCAGAGAAATTCCGTAAATTAGATCACGTTCCACCAATGACAAGACCCGAAGAAGGAGAAACTCCAGAAGCAATGCGACCACCACGTGTTATTGTACCATTAAATGATTGTGTATTAGAAGAATTAATGCCTGTCATACTTACAGCTATAATCGATGCTGGAGTACCAATGGCATCAGTAAGTATCTTTCGGAAATGTACACTAAAGTTTCATTTGCTAATGAAATTCCAGGATAGATATATATTCATAATATTTTTTTTTAGTTTACCTGGCATAAAAATGGTCAACCACTTTTTGAAGGTAATCGATTTACTACAAAATATGATATTGTAAATCGAACAATAACATTGCAAATTCTTACTTCACGTCCTGATGATCAAGGTACTTATACAGTTCGTGCAGTAAATCCAGTTGGTAGTGATGAAACATCATGTAAATTAACAATTCGACCAGTAGCATCAATTGATACACGACCATTTGTTGATGCTGAACATTTCCGTCCGTTAGAACATCGACCTGCAATAACTGACAATATTGAAGATGAAAGTCAATTACTTCGTCCACCAAAAGTTCTTGTACCGATGAATAATGTTCGTTTAACAGAATTTGAACCAATTGTATTGAAAAGTATTATTGATGCCGGTTATCCAATGGGTAGATTTACATGGCTTAAAGATAATCGTCCATTAGCTGAATCAAATCGATATCGTGCTAATTTTGATATTAATACACGTACTGCTATATTAATTATTGATAATGCGCGTCCAACAACTGATACAGGACGATATACAGTACATGTTGAAAATATTGTTGGTAAAGATCAAACAACTGGTGAAGTACATGTTGAAGGTACACCATCAATTGATGAACGACCATTTGTTGAACCAAGTAAATTCGGTAAATTTGACGCACCATTACGTGTACCAGGTTTTAGTCCTCGTGGACCAATTCTTCAACCTGATGATTCATTAAGAAATCGTGAAAATCTTTCACCATGGATACGATTAGTTAAAGAACTTGAAGATCAAATAATTGATGAAACAAAAGTTGTACAACTTATTTGTGCTGTTGATGCATATCCAGCAGCAACTGTAAGTAATAAAAGTTGTTTTGAGCAAACTTTCTCCTTTGCAGCGTTTCTGTAAAATGTCTCGAGATATTTCCTTTACGAAGATATGATGGTCTCAAAAATTATAAATAGTCACAAGTTCCCCCTCACGCAAAACTCTATATTTCATTTTTCGAGTTGCCAACTTTCGTATGTTACTTATAAAAAAAGCTATAATTCATTTAGATAAGTTGGCTTAAAGATGATCAACCACTTGTTGTATCTCAACGTTTTATGCCTGATTATGATACTAAAACAGGTATTGTTCGTTTAACTATATATCCTGTTTATGCAGCAGATTCTGGTCGATATAAAATGGTTGCACGAAATATTGCTGGTGAAGTTTCAACAAAATGTATATTACGTATTCAACCAACAGCTAATATCGAAGATCATCCACTTGCTAAATTTGCTGGACTTCGAAAAACACCACAACAACCATCTGGTCTGGAATCTACACATAAACCAACTGATTTAACTGATGGGCAAAAACCATATTTCATTAAAATTCCTGTTGATCAAGAAGTACCAGAAGGACAATTAGTACGTTTAGATTATATACCAGCTGGACGTCCTGAACCTACTTTATCATGGTATCGTAATGATAAACCATTACAACCAGATGATGCTGATCATCGTGATGTTGTTAATGAAGGTGTTGTTTATTCACTGCTTATACGTAATCCACAATTAGGACCACCTGTTCAATATACATGTGTAGCTAGAAATAAGTATGGTGAAGCATCATTTACTGTTAATCTGAATGTTGTTGGTATGTTTTATTTTTGTATTTGAAGAAAACAACTTTATATTAAAATTTTCTTATAGAACGTGGTGCAAATATTGCTCCTTATTTTATTGAACAACTTTATCATATAATTATTCTTGAAGGTCAAGATACACGTTTAGATGCTTGTGCACTTGGCTTTCCTGAACCAAAAGTTACTTGGGAGAAGGAGAATCGTCCTCTTACTCCTAATAAAGAATACAAGTAACATTTATTTATTTATTTGCTTATTTATTTATTTATTTATTTATTTATCTGTTTTTAGAGTTGAATTCGAAGGAGCTAAAACTACATTATATATACGTGAAGCTAAATTGACCGATGCTGGTTGGTATCAATGTACAGCAACTAGTATTGCTGGAACAGCTATTACAAAATGCAAAGTGACTGTTATTCGTATGTATTAAATTTATATTTCTCAAATACTAGTCTTGATTAACATATTTAAACAACATAAACAGTCGGTTTTTGCAGAAATTTTAATGTTCACAATAGCTTCAAAAATTTATCTTACAGATTTTACATATTTTTCTTTCCATAATGGCAACAGCTATATAAACAAAAAAAACTATACTTGAGCGTTTCTTAATAACGATGGGGTTCCGTCAAAAAATATCGCAGAGAACTCAGAGGCGTGTCAGTTTATACAGAATTGGTTGCTCTATTCGTCTGTATAAACCTGAAAAACTTCTTTTTTTAATTTTCGACTTTCGATGGCTGAAAATTTAAGCTTGGAATTTTCTATAAATTCTGGCTTTTAAGATTACTATGAAGATTTTATAATTGTAAACTTGCACGCAGTATAATCTCGATAGGAACAAATAGAGTTTTCTACATCGTAATAACTTCAAAGTTATTGGTTTTAAAGAAGTATTCTGGCAAGATCGAATATTTAATTCTACATAGTTCTTGACAAAAGTTCAGTAGTGATTTCTTTTGTTTTTCTTCGTCTAGCATTATTCGAAGCTGGTCAATATGTTAAAGACTTACCACAACTTGGACCTGAAAGTCTTGCTAGATTACCAACGTATGTATAACGAAAAATTTGTTTTTTTCTTAATTTCATAATTATTTGATTTTAGATTACCGGACGAAGATATTCGATCGAAATACATGACTGTTCCAATTAAACCACCTGACGTTAAACCTGAAGATTTATATAAATTACCAAGACGTATTAAAAGACCGGATTATCCTGATGAAGAGGGCAAGAGGTAAAAATATGAATGAACGAAAAAAACAAAAACAAATTTCTAAATTTTATATTTCTTTGTTGAATATAGACGTGGTGGTGGAGTATTACCTGATGAAGTTTTAGCAGCACTTCAAATGAATTTAGAAGAATTTCCTGAAGAAGAAATGTATAGTAAAGATCGTCCACAACCACCGAAATTCAAAGTTCACATTAAATCTCAATTAAACTTAAATGAAGATGATCCATGTTCATTTGAAGCTAAATTAATACCTGTACGAGATCCAATGATGCGTGTACAATGGTTTAAAAATGGAAAAATTCTTCATCATGGTAAAAAAAAGCTAGTTATTTCTTCACCATGCTTTTACATAGACTTCCAGAAATGCATTAAGTTCTTCCCCATTTCAAAAGTCGATTGTGGCCCAAGGATATTCAAATCGCATGAAACTTACAGGATATATTGAGATTGTACTAAAGAGATTATGATAGAATTCTTATCCCTATATCATGATATTTTCGGGAGATATTCAACAAACTAAGGCCAAAAATAGTTGATTTGACAACTCACCATTCCTCGTAAGACTTCATTCAATAGACTTAATCCTTTTTTTGTTTGCGAGAGCATGACCGAGCTATTTTGTCATTACTTTTTGTAAGAGGAAAAAGCTCATTGTCTCAAGAAAGAAATACTCGTTTATATAATCGTAACATAAATTCATTAAAAAATCAGTTATGTCGTGCCTTACATCTTGACATGGTCTCTTAAACAAAAAAAAGCCATTCGTTGCACTGAAGTTCTTTCTAGAATTAAGGAATACGCGATCAAAAAAGAACGCAAACAAAGAAAAATTGAACCAGATTTTTCAGTTTAGACGAAAAACGAGGTTTTTATGTTTTTCATAAAAATTGACTTTTTTTAAGGGAGAGAGGGGGTCTCTGAGGAAGTAGTTCAAAAACTGTGAATAAAAAGTTTAGAAGTGAAATATTTTTATCTTTTTTTCTTAAAGCTGGCAGCTAAAAAAAGGAGAAGATCCTAATCAAGAGCAATACTTGTTAAATTCTCATGAACAAGTTTTCAGGTATTCTATTAAAAATGTTTTGCAAACAAGTTCATCTAACAGAGAAAATATTTATCATTAAAATAACGTGTCTCCGAGCTGTTTGCGATCTATATTCAGCAAACCACGATCAATATATGATAGACTTACAAGGCTGTTTTTTATGAAAATTCATATGAATTCATAGTTTGAAATTTTTCGTAGAACGTTCGGTGAAATATTTTCTTTATTAAATAAACTTGTTATCAAAACATTTTTTGACAGAATTTAAAAAATTGTTCTTTTGGACTCATGATTTTTCAGAGATCTTTCAATGAAATCCGTTAATGGGAACTTGACAAGTATCTCTCCTAATAGGAATTTGCTTCTGCAACCTAATTTATTTTTTTAACTATTACCATTAAAAAAAATGTGAGAAATACCACGTTTCTAAATTTTGTGCTTTCACTGTGTATGAAAATGAGACATTATTAATATGATTTATTTTTGAAAAATATTGTAGCATCAAGAATGATTCCTCGATATGATTTTGCTGATGTCTCACTTGAATTTCTTTGGACATTTGCTGAAGATGATGGAATCTATGAATGTGTTGCAACAAATCCATATGGTGAAGATCGTACACGTGCTGAATTAAAATGTCGTCCTAAACGATCTATTATTTATAATACACAATTACCAGAAGGTATGGAAGGTGTATCAAAATTACAAATGTTAGAAGATGAAATAAGGTAATAAAAAACGTTTTGTTTTGTTAAATAAAATTTTAATGTTTTTCTTTTATCTTAATAGATATACAGCAAGTATGATTGGATTAGAAGAAAAAGTTCAAGACAAAGAACCAAAAGTACCTGAATTTATTATGCCATTAGAAGATGTATCTGTTGATGAAGGTGATAATGCGAAATTTATTGCTAAAGTTGATGGACATCCACGTCCAAGAGTAACATGGACAATTAATAATGCTGATATTGCAAATGTAATTACAGAAAAACAAAACATTACTTTTTTTTCTTAAATATTTATTATTTTATTTAAATAGGGAAGTCGATATAAATTAGTTTATGATGGTCTTGTTCATTATCTTGATATACCAAGAACAAGACAATATGATGCTGGAACAGTTTGTTGTATAGCGAAAAATGCTCTTGGTCAAACTGAAAGTGTTGCTACACTTACTTTAAGACCTCGACTAGATTATCGTTCTGCTCTATCGAAAACACCAGGTGGTATTGAAACTGGTTTAGATGATTCATTTGATGTTGATATTGAAGAACGATTAAGATTACGTTCACAACTTCGACAAAGAGAATCAGGTTGGTTAATAACATAATGATATTTTTTTTAAATCGAATAGAATAATTTAAGGATTCGTTTCTAGGTAAAAGTCCGTCGATATAGAATTCTGATTGATTTTATGGTTGTTTAAAGCCAACACCATTTGATTAATTTCGATTCTTTCTCAGACAGATGATTTCATTTCTTAGAGCTAGGGACTTTCGGCGAGAAGATGCCGTTTCCAGTTAGAAAACTTCAAAATATGGTAGTCAAGATTTTGTGTATTCAAAACAAAAAACCGGACTTGTTCGAATCTTTTGTGAGAAATCAACGGTTTTACAGCTCTTCTCTATTGACACAGAAGCATTCAGTTTTTAAGAAATATTCAAAATATAATAGGAGTTATGAGATTTAATTTCGGAAACAATTTCAGACTGAAATTCTTTCATTTCATCTTCTTCATAATATTCTGTGATAAACCGAAAATTCAATAAAATGATCATAAATCAAGAAGAGAGTTCTAATGCCACAAATCCTCGTAGGACTTTTATCTGTACCATAGACTAACAATCAGCTATATATGAATTCGAATGAGAGATTATCAGTTGGAAAGGTGCCCTCACGAGATGTTTATATCCATCTTCAAGTAGTAGCGTAAGAAATTGTCGAGGCAAATTTCCAGCTGTGACGAACATATCGGATTGTTTACATTCTACCAAAAGTTCTTTGATTAGAAAAAAAGAGTTAAACATAATGCTGTTCTGACTAATAGATTAATTATTGTTTTGTTTATATATATCTTATAGTCGACGAACGAGTACGTCGTCCATCAAGTGATAAACTATATCCATTACATTCAAAAGCTGCTGATCGTATGGCATGGCGTCAAACTGTTGAAAAAGCTGGTGAAGCACCAAATTTTACAAGATCATTATTACCATTAAAAGCTAAAGGTTCCATTTCATATTAATTCTTCTTCCAAAAGTAATAAAAAAACAAATTCTTTTTCTTTTCTTTTAAATATAGAGGGATCAAAAGTAGTTGTTAGTGTTGAATTTACTGGTGATCCAGCACCAACAGTATCATGGTATCGTGATAGTTTTATGGTTGAAGATTCTGAAGATTTTAAAATTCATACAACAGCTACAAAAAGTACACTTACAATTAAACATGCTTTTATTATTGATTCAGGCTTATATACTGTTAAATTATTTAATCCAATTGGTATACGACAATGTCAAGCTGCTATACGTATTATGCCAAGTAAATTTTAATTTAAATATTTTTGTTTTATTGATACATTTTTATATAATATACTATTTTATTTCTAGTTATTGCTGAAGATCAAACACCAAGATTTCTTGATGTTCCACAAGATACTGAAATTCTTGCCGGTGATCCAGTTCGTTTTCAATGTCGTGTTGAAGGTGAACCATTTCCAACAGTTGCCTTCTATCGAGTAAAGACAAAAGCATTTTTTTTTTAAATATTTTTTTATCTTATTAAATAAAAACTTTCTAGGAAGATGAACCAGTTAATCTTAATGACAGACGTTTTCGTGCTATACAAGAAGCTGATGTATTCACATTACTTCTATTCGAAGCTTTACCAGCTGATAGTGGTCAATATGAAGCCGTTGCTGAAAATTCAGCTGGAAAAGCTAATACTCGTTTTACATTGATTGTAACACCACGTGGACCTGGTGGCAAAAAAGCATCAATCATTGATGATCCTAAATTAATTCATAAAGTACCTTATCTAGAAAAACCATTAGAAGATTTGCAAGTTAAAGAAGGACAATCAGCGACATTTGAATGTATTATACCAGCTAGTTTTGGTATGAAAATAAAAGAATATAAACAAAATTCATAATAATAATTCTTGTTTTTTTATTTAAAAGGATCGGATGTTAAATGGTATAAAGGAACATCAGAATGGCCAATCAAACCATCGAAATTCTTTAAACCAAAATCTGACGGAACGAAACATCAATTATTTATTCTAGAAGCATATGCAGAAGATGCCGGTTGGAACTTTTGTCTCTTTTTTTCTCTGTACAAACAAATCATATTTATTTTTAGGACACTACAAATGTGTTGTTTCAAATCCAGTTGGAACAACAGCTACTACAGCTACATTGAAAGTTGATCGTAAGTTTTGTTTTATTGAATAATTACTAAGGTGAATTTTATTTTTAAAATAGATGCAATGCAAGTACCAGAATTCGTTCGTGGTTTTAGTAATTTAACTACATATGAAGGTGAACAAGTTCGTTTTGAAGTTGAAGTACGTGGTGATCCACTTCCGACTCTATCATGGTATCGTGGTGGAGAACTTATACGAGATTCACCCGACTTTCAAGTAAATAGATTTTTCTTTTCAACGGAAAAAAAATAAAATCTTTTTGTTTTTTTATTTATAATAATAGATCTTTACTGAACGTAATCGTAGTTTACTTTATATATCAGAAGTATTTATGGAAGATCAAGGTTTATTTACATGTACGGCTTCAAATTCAGCTGGCTCATCGGATTGTTCAGCTCGTCTTATTGTTGAACCACGACCACAACTTTAATACAAAAACAAATAAACATATTGATTAATTGCCCTTTTTTCACTTCTTTTCTCCTTTTTTACACTTCTGTAATGCTTTGTTGTATCACGTAAAATTCTTTTTGTTTCATTTTTTTTTTCTTTTTGTTTTTGCACGCATATAAAATTTGCCGCCGTCCCCTAAAACAATGCGCTTCTCTTAGAACAATATGCCATATAGAAAAAAAAACTACAATAATATGAAATTATTATTATAAAACAAAAATTAAATTAAGCTTTAAAAATAAATGTTTATCTGCATAATAATATAAATTCATTTTTCTTTAAATTGTCATTTTAAAACTATTCATCTCTGTTCGTCATTAATGGCAATAAAAGAAAAGGACTGATCAGTACAACTATGTCGGGACTAAAATGTGGAATTCATATGTATTGTTTAGCGTCATTATACTAATAAAAAACATGTTAAGTAATAGATCACAATTGTTCTTCAAGGATAATCGTTTGCTAGTAAAACGATTTTTCTCATTTATTTTTACATTTCGAATAGATTCTTTTTCTACTATTTTTTGTTTATCTTATTGATATTCACTCGTTGTTTTTCATTTCCATACTAAACTTTTCTTAATTTAACATTATTATTATTATTATTATTATTGCCATTGATTTAGCTATCAAATAAGCCTGTTGTACATATTCGTTATATCTAGAACAAGTCTCAATGCGCTACTATAAATCTCAATAAACTCCAAAAACACTGATATTGATTATTTTTCAATGTTATAACTTGATTAGTTTAGGTTGTTTATGTTGATCATATGATGACAGTGGTAAAGCAATGCATCATTATTCATCATCATTTTAATATCTTGAATATAAATTTTATCTATGCAAAACTAAAAAACTGTACTATGTAGAATATTCATAAACGTATTCCAGTCCATTAATTTTCGAATAAGGCTTTGACATGTTGTAGAATAGTCTAAATTTTGTTATTAATGCTGAATTAAGAAACATAGTTGATTGAAAAGTTGATTCAGATTTAATGCACTTTTCGAAACCCAAACTAAATTTAATGCATCAATCGTGAAAGAACTGGATCCCATAATTAAAACAATGAATGTGCCTCGATAAAGTCGCTGTATATCATCTTTTCAATAAACTATAGAGATTGAAGAGAAAGACAGAAGCGACTTTCTTTTTTCTTGCTAAAATTATACACTTCAACTACATTATAGTGGCCATTTCTCAACTCTGATTGATGCATTAAATTCATAAGTATAGATGCATGTAAAATTTAATTCGAAATTAATACCAAATTATTTTTCTAGTGCAGACAAGGCCTTAGCTGCTAAAGAGTGGTGCTGTAAAATTTGAACTTAACACTTACACTCACTCTATTCCATATATAATAATCGAACAATAAAAGATATTAATTAATCGATAGTGGACGGTCACAGCTGCACTCTTTATTATTATTTCATATAGTGTATTTATATTACTTCTCACAAATATAGACAACAGATTTTATAACGATGTTCGTTCGTTGGTTGATACTGATATCAATTATTGGTACAATTTATTTTCAATGTATTTATTCCGATCTGGTTATGGGTGGATTGCAAGAATGTTTTAACAATACATTAAAGACTCAAATGGTGAATTTAGCACGTCAACAATTACGTTCAAAAACTCATTTAGCTTCTAAACCTATTCGAGTGCTTGGTTTTTATTCACAAATAGTTGCTGGTACCAATTATTGGTTAATATTTATCGTTGGTGAAGAAAAAAAATGCACATTAATAGTTTCCGAACCATTACCTTATACTCATAAACCAATGCAAGTATCATCTTTTGAATGTAATAGTATCACATCTATTAATCAAGCTACTAAAAATAATCATTAAATCGATATTTCATAAAAAATACCTTTTTTTTTTTATGTAAACTATTCTTATTATGTGAATAAATATCGATTGTCATTTATGTGAAATATCTACATGTTACAAGTTTATGAATAAATTTTGAATTTCGTGCAGAAAATGTTCTTTTCTTTTCTATTGCCAATGGAGAAATGCTAAAAGTTCAATAACTAGTTGCTTATAACATAAGAATTATTATTCTTAATTCTTATATTTTTTTAATTCTACTACTAAAGAACATGTCGGTTCGTAATATATAACAGCAAATTTTTTCCCTATCTCCAAAACCATGAATATCAAAAGATTTATGTTGAATATATATATTAGATTGAAAGATTAATTAGATACCTTTAGTACCGAGATTAATTTGATAATTATTTTGGCAAGGCTAAAAGTGAAGTACTGTGTAATGATGAAATATTCCATTATTCTGAGAGAGCTAAAAATGAAAATAAAGTTAAAATATAGTTTTCGTCTTATTTCAAACAAAACTTTTCATGATATTATCATTTATTGTCCCGAAAACAATTGAAATAAAGTAAGGAAAAAATCATGAATGTTTATGAAAAATATGATCACCATTATGTTGTTCAACTGCATGAACTTTTTGGAGAAAAGAGCCGATCACCTTGCGAACATAACTCACACCAATCTTTTGGCATCCTCTTTTTATTTATTTCTTCGAATCTTCTCGTGTTTTAACCTTGTCATAATCAATGTTTTTATTGACACTATTCGAAACAGAGCAATCTAATGCACTCAAGTCGGGTGAGTAAGAAGGCCACTGATCTTTAGATATAAACGACTTGAAGTTCTTTTTGCATCATTCATCAGTATGTGATGTTGCTCTATTTTGTTGCAAACACAAGTTTTGATGATCAAATAATCCATTACCATCGGTCTGATAAAATAGTAACAATTTTTATCGTGATATACTATGCGAAATAATCAATGTTATTTTCATTTTTGTTTCTCTCAGAATAGCGACACACTTCACCATCACACAATACTTCACTTGTAGCATTATCAGATAATCATCAAATTAATTCCATAGAATTTCTCAGTATCATTCTTGCAGACACTTTCACGGTGCATCTTTAAAAAAAATCATGATTATACAATTTATCTGTGCTGAGATATTTTCAAAGTATTAGATATTGTAATCATTATGTCTTGCCCGGTATAAATATTTAGTCATATTTGTTCCACACTTTAATCGTTAGAATCCAAATATGTTGCGAGTCATTAAAAAAAGACTTCAGCCATTAAAGAAATAATGATGTGAAACAAAAGTTCACCGAACGCCAAGGAATCATTAAAGAAAAATCGGTGAAAACATCTACCGAAAAAATCTATGCGTTACCGCTAGTTTTACAGAATTGTGTAGATCCATTTCTTCAATAGTTTGTCGAAGTATCTTTAATACACTAATGGGAACAGAATTTGATGCTGTATCAGTAGAACAAACAATTTCATCCAGCAACGATTTGCGCTACCGAAAACCCTTAAAAACATGCTAACTCTCATCGAAAACTCCCTATCAGCACCTATGCATTCGATGGTCAGAACATGATTCATGCGTCGATCAATGCAGAATTCCGTGAGTTTCCAATTGATGAGGTTATTTCGTCCAGAAAAACACTCGATCTGTTTGAGAATCCGAAAATCTGGTTAAATTTCTTCAAAGTTCTGAAGGGTATCATGATAAATATATGTCTGTTCAATGCATTCGTGTTCAAGTTTGTATATGCTGCTCTATTTGTCTCAGCATCATTTCTACTAACACTCACTCATGAAATTCTTACTTAACAAATGGCCGCAACGGAAGAAAATTTACTACCCACACCCACACCCCGATCTTTTTGAATCTTTCTTCAGAAATTGCTTGGCATTTCTCGTTAGATAAAAACAGACTTTTTTAGATAGTACTGAGAAAGGCTTTTATGCAAGAAAAATAAATAGTTTTTAAAGCATAACGTAGAACAACGGTAAATTGAAGAGGGAATAAGTAACCTTTACACTAAGTTCTAGAATGAANTGAAATTCTTACTTAACAAATGGTCGCAACGGAAGAAAATTTACTACCCACACCCACACCCCGATCTTTTTGAATCTTTCTTCAGAAATTGCTTGGCATTTCTCGTTAGATAAAAACAGACTTTTTTAGATAGTACTGAGAAAGGCTTTTATGCAAGAAAAATAAATAGTTTTTAAAGCATAACGTAGAACAACGGTAAATTCAAGAGGGAATAAGTAACCTTTACACTAAGTTCTAGAATGAAAAATTCCTTCAAAAATCGTGTGTTGCTCAATCTTGTACAATTTTTGATAGAAAAATTATAAAAGTTTTATAGAAGTTTCTATTGTTGAAAACTCGACTGTTTCTCATTTTCACATTGTCTATAGAATATGACTATGTCATAGAAAACTGTGAAACGAGCAGATTTGTAGATAATTGTTTGAGCTGCAATAAGAATATGATAGTAAAAACTCATTCAGAATTTTCTTGAGTGCAGTGCACTCAAAGAAAGTCTGTAATTTCTAAAGAAAAATCCTAGACTATATCTGACAACGGATTTCAAAAGATGATATAATGCATATTTTATAGCATATGTTCCAATTCGAAAACAAATCGTTTTCCAAAACTAAGTAATATACGTTTTAATCTTTTGTCAAGACTTATTGTGCACAGGTTATTCATTATGTTAAAAAATATTTCATGGTATACATGCATTTCAAGATGATCCTATGAAAGAAAAAAAAAACTAAAATTCATTCCGTATTAACATGTCTTTTACAGTAAAATTTTTTCATTTCTCCAAACTTGCTATAATAAATTCTTTCAAGACAAAAACTATTTATAGGAATGTTAATACAGTATACGCGTTGTGATAAGTTGTATTTAAATTAAATACTAGAAAAAACTAGAATCTGATAATGGTTAAATAATCGAAACAAAATCACAAACATGTGAATGTGGGTTTATGTTTGATGGGCTGAATAATTGAAGAGAAGAGCCACAGGAACACACATATCTATATTCACACTGACATCAGCACACGTATCAACATGCAAACCTAGACCCAAACATGCATGAAGCTGCATACATATATTTGATATTAGTGTCGATTGAGCCTGTAAAACGGTTAGTTATACAGAAAGGGTTGAACGTATTCAAGTAGCATGTCATTGACATGAAATGAATACTGATTGGATGTAGCATGTCTCTATGATCATTCTAAATGATTTTGAGTCGGTTGGTACTTATCTTACGTTTGAATAATGTTCGTTTAAGAAAATAAAACAAGATGAGTTAGAATTAAAAAATTCATCTATTCATCCATTAAATAAAGAACATGATTGTAAAAAGTGTAAAAGAATAAACATTTTGATTCTTTTTTTCGATGCTTGAATTGCTTAGACCTTTCGAATTGTATCTTGATTTCTTCTTTTATATTCAAAATTTTTTTATTAAACGATGATGAAACTGTAGACTACGAAATATTTATAAGAATGGATGTTCATTATTTTTGTTGATATTTATTAGATCTATCAGATTTTGAAAAAATGTTTATAAATGATCATAGAATTTAATAAACTGAAGAAAAAAATAGTTAGCTTGTCTTATCATATAATTCAGTGCTATTTCACTTATCTATAGTTGATTATTTAATATTGTTAATAAATTAAAAAATCTGTTTTGTTTTGCTTAGAAACTTAATAATAGATCGGTTATTTTTTTCATGTATCAATATACATAAAAAAAATCTGATTTGATGACAGTTAAGTAAACAAACAAAAAGAAAGAAGTACTCATAGATCAATAATTTGTATGTCCAATTGAAGAATGTAATAAAGAAATTGTTCAGAGAATTGTCTAATAATGTAAGCAATGAATGTAAATGTTCATCTGATTTTGTTAATTTAAATCTTTTGATCTCTTCATGTTCTCGAAATAAATATAGTTTACATTCTTATTTTCTTTTTCATTAATTTGAATTTTTAGTATAATTCTTAGCTTAGTACAGATAAACTATATTTTCAATTAGTTTATCAAAAGCAGTAAGTATGATTTCATCGAGTCTAATAATTATTTCATCGTTGCATGAAAAGATTGAACAGTTCCAAAACATGTGATATGCAATCAGGTGATATATACGTGTAGTTTTTCATGTTGATCATCAGTTGGCATGAGATTAAAAAACAATCTAAAAATGAATTTTTAGAACTATTTTTATAAATGCTTAAGAAGTAGAATACAAAATGGATCAATTTTATGTAGTATATGTATTCAAAATGAGGTATTTCAAAAGACAATTGTTCGATAATACATGAGTTTCTATTGCTATTGTTCTTTTATCTTATCAGTTTTTATTTTGAAGATTTATTTGAACAGGAAAGAATTATGTGAATATATAAAAGAAATCGAAACAAAATAAGTTTTCCCACTACTAATCTAGAAAATTTAATTGTGAAAATTTATAGTAGCTTGTGATGATAGTTATGAATTAATCGAATAAGATAATAACAACGGAATTGTTATAGATTAGAGTAGGTGTAAGTGTAGGCATGCGTGTGGTGATGTGGATGGTAATGAAAAATCCTCACTAACACACACAACGAAATCCCAACCAACAACTGACTGTTTATCGAACAATAGAAGCCATTAAAATATCGACCAGCTGATTTCTTTTTGAAAAAAATTTAATTTTACTTTCAAAACAGTCAGTGAGAGAGGTGTGAGACAGTTGTTTTTTTATTGTTACTGCGCAGAAAAGCAATGAGACACATTCGATTTTTCATTTCACGACAAATGTGTGCTTGTGTAACGTGAATAGATGTAAGTAAGTATTCAAAGCATAACACAACATGTTAGAGTAAGAAGGATGAATGCGTACAAAAATGTATAGTTTTTTCATTTTTGGATATTTCAAAAAACTTTCTTGCCAAACCAGATACAGTGGACGTCAAAAGTCTTGCACCACTTTTTTGTTTTGATTGGTATTTCAAAAATACACGACATAGATTTGAATTTCTTTTTACCTTCGAATAGCGGAGCTCGAGTACTATATGTATGCATATTTTTGAAATGGATAACTATTGAATGGAAAACATACGGGAAAAAAACAAACTTCAGTGCTACAACAAAAACTACCCAAAAAAAAAGACAAAATGGTATAATTGTTATGAGTTTAAGTAAGATCCTAGTAATGTGAAAATCGAATAATTTTTTATTTGATATTTTTACATGAATCGATAGATCACAATGAGCTCTACAAAACTGTCTATATTAAAAATTTTTAGAATTCTCTTTTGGGACAAAAAAGATTACAAAATAATTGCATGCTTCGTTTGTTCTATATGAAAAGTCAAGAATCTTTTTTATACTATAAAAGGATAAATATCACAATTTTATTACAAATTTTAGTCCCAGAAAATGGTTCTAAAAAATTTAAATACAGACAGTTTTGTAGAACTCGTTGGGATCTACCAATTCATGTAAAAATATCAAACAAAGTCTTACTCGACTCTCGTATTACTTCAACTTTAGTGAAACTTCTATAACTCATAACAATCGTACCATTTTGTCTTTTTTTGGGTATTTTTTTTCTGTAGTACTGAAGTTTGTTTTTTTTCGTATGTTTTCGATTCAAGAGTTATTCATTTCAAAAATACGCGTACACATAGCACTCGAGCTTCGCTATCCGAAGGTAAAAAGAAATTTAAATTTATGTCGTGTATTTTTGAAATGCCAACCAAAACAAAACAGTGGTGCGAGACTTTTAACATCTACTGTAGATTAATCATTCCTCTATCGATCAGTGAAATTTGTATTTCGAAATCACCTCGTGACACTGATTCATGAAGAATTTTCTACGACCTGCTTCTTAATTTCACAATCGTCTCATTCAGAGTGAATGAGTAATTCCAGCCAAAATGGCTAGAACTAACTTTGTAAGCGTTCCTGATTTTTGTTTGAAAAATTTTTTTTCACTAATCTATTGCTTTGAGTCTTAGCTATCATGCTAGAGCAGTTACAATATTTATATTCAACATCCGGATTTTAGATATATGTTACGCTAAGAGTTCTAAAATAAAGTTTGTTACGTATTTATCTCACATGGGAATGAATATGTTATGCCATTTCCTTGATTTAATGACCGAGAATAACTACTTTAAAGGTGCGTAACATAGAAATATACATTCGAACAATGCAATAGATTTATCTTGTTATTTTTAGATTCTTCTTTTATTGAGTCAAAAGTACTGCTTGAATTTTATGGCTGTAGAAAAATCTCTAGAAGTAGATTTCCGAGATCCTGCTCATGATCCTCGTATTGTACCAGGTAATACTGTAACTTATTTAAGAACAATTCAAGGTTTTTATAAAGAAATATTGGACTATCCTGTAAAATATAATCATGTTAATGCACAACAATCAATTCGTGAAGTACTAAATAAATATGGTGAAACATATAGTAAATTAAGTGAGTTATATGATAACGAACATCATCTCAGTTATAATGAAGTATCAATTAAAATATATACGTTTCAGTCATGTATATACGCACAGTTAAATAATGCTTTAAGAAATGATGAAAAAGAAGTTTTATTATTATTTTCGCCGTATATATATAGCTTATTAGGAGGTTTACAAGAGCCTAAAAGACATTATCATGGTGTCGTGTATCGTGGCATGGGTTTGGAATCTGTAGCATCATCGGCATATAAAAAAGGATTATTATTTTATTGGTCAGGTTTTACATCCTGTACTAAAGAGTTAAAAATCGCAACTAAATGGAATGAATGTACTGCTGTCTTTTTTATTAATATACCACAAAGATTTTCTCATGCATGCTCCAACATAGAAGATATATCTAAGTTTCCATCTGAAAAAGAAGTACTATTGCAACCGTATACATGTTTTCGTGTTCTAAATGATCCTATTCAATTTAAAGACAGTGGAAAAGATGTAAAAAAAATAGAACTAGTGATTGAAGGTACTGCATGTAATTTATCTGGTGTGTGGACATGTGATGACAATGATCATAATGTAAAAGATGCTGGCACATATTGTATAAGTCAATACGGACAAAAGGTATTCTGGTTTGGACAACAAAATAAAGCACGATGGAATTTTGCCAATGTCGGTTATGGTACAATAAATAATGATCACGAACTGACAATACAATGGGGTGATCTTCCACTTGCACATGATAAATATTCTGGTATATTAATACTTAAACTATCACCAGATTATCAAAGTATGCTAAAAACATATGACAGTAATAAAATATTTTGGGGTACAGAATTTCGTCGAATATCAAACGAATATTTAGATAAATTTGAAATTGATAAAAATATGAAATGGAAAACGGCAGATGATATGAGCGGATGTTGGGACGGTGATGATGGATCATGTTATATCATTGGTACTTGTCAAAATCAAATATATTGGTTAGCAATCGATAAAAATAATAGATGGTCACATATTGGTGTAGGTACACACAAAAATAATATTATTAATATGAATTGGGGTGATTTAATAATTGGTCAAGATAGATTTCATGGTGAAATAGAATGCAGAATTATATCAAGTAATAAAATATTGATCATAAAATGTATTCATGCTCAATTTTTAACGAAGGAATTAACAAAAAGAAGTTAATTGTGATAATTTATTTTGCATTATTTTTACTGTAATTTTCTACGAATGCTCGGACACATGAACTTACCTTTTCGGTAAACTACAAAATAAAGTTCATCATTTCATATCTATATATCCCGTAGAAACATTGATATCGTGTAATAGATTCAACACTGCGTTACTATCTTTTCATTTGAAGCTTTTCTGAGGCATTAGAATGGCTGCGTGTAGTATGATCTGAACAGCAAATAAGTCCAAGGCTCTCCCACATATACAGTGATACTGTGACCTGTCGTCTTGTAATTACTTCAGTGAAGAAGGGAGTAAAGAATTAGCAGTTATTCCTTACTAGGAGTGTTTCTTGATGTATTGGCTTAAGGTAGTAAAAGATAGAATCAATTGTTGTACTATTGGCCTAAAACAACAAGTAACGCTCGTCGTTGAAGCTCGCTTGACCCTCGACTGAATAATCAACTCTCTCTGTACCATACACTACTTTACAAGACCTATTGATATTAATACCAAATGCATGTCTAAGCGGAGCTGTGAGTGTGGAAATTGGTATAGGTTTAATTATGAGTGTCAGCATGCGCTTTAGTTTCACTGTTGGTCAGGATGTCCGTTTGGATGCTATCCAGTGCTTCTCTTCACCTATTTAACCAAACACGTTTATACCCACAAGATACCAACGCACAGCATCATACATCGCATTTCAGAATTGTAACCAGATTAGTTAAGTCAGTTGGATCGGTCGGTTTTTACCGGTTTCAGAAAATTGAGCATAGTGATCCATTTTTGCATCGGGAAGTAATTATGTATCTCATCTTTTTACTTTTTTAAAATAAAGAAAAGAACTACAATTTTATTTTAATGGACATATGAAAATCAAAGTGAAATTTTATACAAGATTTAGATATTCTTTATCTATGACAATTAGAGGGCTGCAGGGTGCAGGATTTTTATAACCTGTAACCTGCCCTGTAAATTTTTTGTAACCTGATCCTGCCCTGCCCTGTGAATATTTTTGCGGACCCTGCCCTAAAACTTTCTAATGTAACCTGTAACCTGCCCTGCCCTGCCCTGCTAATTTTAAAATAGAGGAATATCCAAAATTTCCTATCAGTATTTATAGTACATTTAATTGTGTGTACTTCNAACTCAATTTATAAAGTTATTTTATCAGTGGCTCTTCTGGAACCGCTATGGGGGGTAAAGGGTTAATATTAATATATCATTACTTTAATACTACTGCTCACAAACAATGTATTAAATAATGCCAATCCGATGCTACTTATAATTTAATACTAATACCAAATTTTTATATAATATTTTTAACACTAATGCAAAAGCATTAAAATATTTTCGTAATTCTAATAGAAAAGCGTTATTGTTTTCTTAATACTCATGCTAAACTGACTCCCCTATGCAGCATATTCATTTTCACAGTTACCAAAGTTTTTGAAGAAACACTAATGAACTGCTTTGAAGCGATAGGTGGGTGGATGTGGGTGCAAATAAAGAAAATACTAACACCAACACTCTTATTCAGCCACCTCGATCTCCCTGATATCATAATATTCATTCGTTTCAAGATACTCAAGCGCAGTAGTTCTAAAACATCAATATCTCTTGAACTTCTTACACTTCTTGGATTCCTTGATTTCCATGAGTCTCTCAATTTGTTGTTACATCAAATATGAAAGTGTTGTGAATTCCTATATTTCCCTTGGTTAACGAGAATTCCTAGATTTTCTTCAAAAAATCTTGATTTCCATAGTTTCCTCGATACTCAGAAATTCCTACATTTTCCTTGAATTGCGAATTCTTGGATCGTGGAGATTGCTGGTTTAAATATTTCTAATGAGATAACATTAGAAAACGTTTTTTTCTGCTAAAGATTTTTTATGGATGATATAATGATAAAATGAAAGCAAACCAAAATAATTTTTAATTCATCATAAAAATAACATCATTTTTCAAATAGATGTAGTAGAAAATATTTAACTTCAACTATAACTTGATTGTCCTCAAAATTCTTCTTTCATCTTTTGATGATTTAGCTAAAACACATATAACTGATATAGTAGTACTTGATACATTTCATCAAAGCCAAATTCAACATCTGCTGCTTGTTGGTCGATATGGACTAATTCAAGTATTATCATTTATTATAAAAGAACCTTGTGAACTTACTTAATTGATGTACAACCAATGTTAAATAACAAAGATTTTAATCGAATTAACCACAATATGATTGATAAATTAGAAAGAGCAAGAAAGCAGTTCGGATAAGTTTGTATCTTTGCAATCTATTATTATTTATTAGGAAAAATATTTTATCTAGGACAATTGAAGACAATGCACATATTGAAAATACAACTTAAGACTACAGAAATAATATCATGTATTCTTGTCATTGAAACTATAGGTCAGTATGGTATCCAAGTAAGGAGGAAGATAATTCTTTTTCTTCCACCACGAATTCTACAATGCGGTAGCATGAAATGAATTATCTGTATAGAAGGAGCTTAGAAATGGACAAGATGATCCTGATTCTAGTATAACCTAGATCAAAAACGACTGGTTTCTATCGTGTCTCAAAGAGTCACAATGAATGATAGTCATCGCATATGTGAAAGATAGTATGTTCGAATCTAGATCCCATTATTCCTTGTACTACGTAGCCTTGGACAAATTATATACAACCAGGATCTTCGTTCATTTATCGAATAGTGCACTTACGAGGGAAGGTCCACAAATGTGAATCATCGTTTCGAATGGGAGCTATTCCGGTTTGTAGAGCTCGACGAGCCGATTCTAGTGGCATAAAACGCTTTTCCCGACGCAGCTGGAAGCTAGAAAAACAGTTGGTGTAATTATGAAAGATCATAGAGGAAACATTGGGATTTTAACGATATTGTAGTTCGAGAGAGTTATATATAACCATTGATTTCGTCACTTTTGGCTGTCAACTCAGAGATGTCATAAAATCCATAAGCTGGGTATCCGTGAGTTACTAGTCATGATATCCAGTTAAATGGATACCCTATCTTTAAAAAGTGAGAAATTTTAGTGAGCTTGAAGTAACTACGCGGTTCTCGATAGAAACTAACTTTGAATCATTCTGCAAGACTTCTGGTTGAACTGAAAACTAAATAAAAAATACTGGAGTGTGCGGAGAATCTTACCCTGCGGCGACACTGCGGTGTATTTAATATATCTTTGATGAAACAATGTATTCAATTTATTCCTCCGCAGTTAGAGGAGTAGAGTTAAGCGTTTTGACTTTGCTACCAAACAGACATATCCAAGCTGGATTCCACGTAAAGCACCGTAACGCAAGTCGATAATAAACTTCAAATAGCAAAAAGTTTTTAAAGAATTTCTTTCATATAATCTTGGAGTACAGTGAAGTACGCTCAAGTACAGCACTTTCACTTTCCCCGCCCCTGGGCACCAGTACACGACAACACACAAACAGCACAGCATCTGGTGTGGGTGCCGCGAAAGAACTGATACACGCGGCAGTAAACACACAGTACAGCACCTCCTGTAGGTATTGGTGCATGCATGTTAGTCTTCTACGCTTCAGGAACCTCACTCGCACAAACCACCGTCCACACTCCCACCGACACCCACTTTTCGCCTATCCATCTCCTAACACCAAATTCACTCAAATCCCTCAGCTTTTAAAGACTGGGTATCCATTTTGGATATCCATTTCGTTACACCAAATTCACTCAAATTCCTCGCTATTCTAGTTTATATCGATGTGTCAAAATCTCGATACCCGAGTTCCGGATATTATGATATCCCTCTCAGTTTAGTAATCTTTATGCACAGTAATTTAGGTTCGGACAAAATGGATAGAGTATTGAGTTAAATATAGAACATAAAAAATCTTCGTCTTGTGAAGAATTTAATGTAGTTGACAAAAACATAGGATATATGAAGCGCTCCGCGTTCGTGACTGACTTCCAGTCACGGTCATGATCAAGAGCTTTTACAAAATATTGGTCACGATCATGATCCTGATCGTGACTGCCGTGAGTCACAGCGGTCACACCGAGCACTAGTCATAACATTAATCATTGGAATATTTTTCTTATCCACTTCTGATTTAAACAAAAGCCTATATGGAGATATTTCTTTTCTTTTACTAAATTAATATCTATTAAAATGATTTTATTAGTCTTTTTAAAACTATTTATTATCATAAATAGTATAAAATGATCAATAAATTTTTCTTTAATTTGTAGTAAAGCTATAATTAAACTTTTATTTAATTGTGAAAAACATAAACCTGTTCATGGCAATTGATTTCCAACAAAAATATGTTTCTTTTTGGCTATCAGCTTTTTTAACGAGGGATGTTATAATACCCATAACTTGGGTATCGAGATTCAAAACATGGTAATTAGGATAGTCACTGAATGAATTCACAGTATCCATATGCTGCTAAATTAACGATTTTGAGTGACTTTAGAGTAACGAGGCGGGTATCTGCTTTGCTGAATATCGTGATTTGTGCTGGTCGTTACATAGCGTATAGATATTAAGTTGTTTATTCAAATCAAACTTAACATCTTCATAGGATCAATCAACAGCTGCTCATATAAATCGAACAAATTCAACATATCCTTTTCCATTAAAATAATAAAGTTTGAGATTACTGCTACTTATGATTATAGTTCAGCAATCAGTACAACGATGAGTGTCTATGCTTATATTCTTTGAATATACATTTGCTTGTTTTCGAATATAAATAAACGCCCTCATATAATGAAAATTGCCTCAGTTTGAATGATTAATCACATATCATCCTTGATCTTCCATACACGGTATAAGTCACGATTCTTTGACGATTTCATGACAACAAGAATGAATGAATGATTAAGTAAACTTTTTTATTGGTACTTTTTTTTTGTTTTCAGAGATTAAAGTAACTGATTCTCAAAAAGAATAATTCCAAAACTATTTTGAAAAATATATAGTTTATTATATCCTAAACATTTGTACTAAATATGTATTAGTGAAATTCTTTTCAGTTAATATAAAATAACGGAAGACAAATCTCTGTCTGTTGCACACACAATTCATCTCATTTTACTGCAGAGGCTATTCAAAAATGTACAATATGATTTTATATGTCAGGTATGCTTCTCTTTTCTCTTGGTAAATCAATAAAAATTGAAGTATGTTAGAAAAGCTGCAACATCAAGTTCGTAATTGTCAACGAAATGCAAACAATACAGTAATTGATACTTATCTTTAAAATTCTGTCTAAATTTTTGCTTGGTTTATTTCGCTGGACAAGCGCTTTTCTTTATATATAATATTGTACAATATTCTGTTTCATTTCTTCAAAATAGATTGAATAACTACATGATTGTTATATCTATATGCATGAAATTTATTACATGTTAAAATGATAATATTCGTTAGTTAAATACATCTATCGAAAGGCGTTTAATTACCATATAGATAATGAATCATAAAACATTATTAATGAATTGCGGTTTTCAATAAAAATCGAGAAGAAATCGATTAAAATCATCTTTTTGAATGATATCATCTGAAAATTAATCAGACTAATAAATCATAATAAAATCATCAATTTCAAGGCAATTTTCACCACATGTGTCTATTCAAATCTCCCAGGGCAGAAAATGATACCATACAAGGAAAGGCATATAAATATGAGTCAATGACCTTATATGAGGTAAAGATAATGTTGTCCATAGAGAATATCATATCAAAATATATTCTGCCTTTTTTTTTCAAGTTCAAACAAACTACCAGAATGATAATACAACGTCTACAGAAATAATTTGTCAGACGTAATGGAAATCAGAGGTAATTAACTTATAACGTTTATTCTGTTCAACGCAATAAAAAAGAAATTATACTAAAGAAGGATAAGTATGCTATATCCAATATTAATTAATACCGTCTCACATGTTGCTGAGTTTCTTCATCCTATAGAATAACTATAACTCACTATTTGATAGAAGGATTGTATTAAAATCATACTTATATTAATATAAATTCATATAGTACTCATAAGAGTGAGAGATATCTCATTTTATAATCCATGATTCATTTTATTTGCTGTTTTACTTCTTATTTACCCATATTTCTACTGATAATCAATTTGACCTAACGTTACTTATGCATGTTATCATTAAAGCTGAGATAGTTTGTACTGGCTACTATTCATTTGTTTATTGATGTCTCACTGACTGTTCTTTTTGCAAGACAATTTTTATCTTGTCAATTAATGACAATCTTTGATCACATAGATCAAAAGATCTTCTAATCTATTTTGATATCATTCCTATTCTTTTTATTGGAAAATTATTTTTTCCAGATGATTTCCTATTAAATACAAAAGAAAATCGAAAGACACAATTTTATAGTTTATACGTTTATGACTATTTTAGTACGGAATTTGAAGGTCTTTCTTACAACGCTATATGATCTACTATAGCCTTAGGAGACAGTTATCTTTATCATACCACTAAGATAACTATGAGTCTTTGACTTTGATGTCTTGACACATGAATCATTCAAATAAATTCATTTATTAGTTTTTACTGTCTGATATAAATAACTAAATAACATAATATTGCTGACTTTTGCTAATACATCTATCTAATTATGTAAATAATTGGTTTATTAACTTGAGATTGTCAATCATATGAAGAATTTCTCGTCCTTGACATGTACTACTACACATACGTGATGTATGGATATGTTTCGAACAAACATAAGTCTATATTGCGTAAAGTTTATTTAGGTTTATCTCTAGGTTTATTTCATTCAAACAAATATGTAAGATAAATATTGATCTCTCTATGTTTTTAGTACTTAACTACTTAGTTGCTAGTTTTTTCGTGTAATTTATCTACGAGCACATAATATTCATATGCTCAAATAGTTTGTCAAAAATGCTAAATAAAAGAAATTTTTACATAGAAGAAAAGAAAAGAGTAACTTCTATTACAAATACTTTTAATTCATATACTTCATTATTGACAGATGACTTTCTAACCTTTTTTTTTTCTTTTGGTACATTATTCTTTGACTGCATAACTCAGCCGATAGTTATTTAGATTGAATAAAGATTACATAATACATGTGAATATACGTTATATTATAAAATATTCTTTTATATCGAAAGAAAGCCAATCCTGCTGTGATATTGACCTCGGTATGACATTAAATACTATTGAACTTGTCGATAAAGCAAAATATAATATAGTATTTTGATCAGTTAATTGTAGCATAGATGAAAGAAACAATACTTGTCTAATTGACCATATGTAATCGTTTAATCAACAAAACAATGATCTAATTATTTTTTCTATATGTACACACACAGACGCATATATATATGGGTACTATTCATTTTATCAGAAAAAAGAAAAGGTTATGTTAACAGACACACATTGTACAGGTCATATATATGTCGAAATGGGCAGACATCAACAGTGAATGTATGCATAGATGTTCGAATTTACATTAAGAAGAAAAAAGAAAGAGAAAAAAACTGCGAAAGAGAGAGAGAGAGGGAGAGGGAGAGAGAGAGGAGGGAGAGTAAAGGAGATTTGAATAGTATAAAGTGTTGCTTTGTTGGTTGTTAGGGTGAACAAACAGGTACGGCTGATTAGAAGAATAAGCGGTCAAAGATTCTTTTCTTTTTAAAAGAAATTTTTCTTTTAGATATGACAATTATTTCAATAGAATTTTGTTTTATTACTATTCTTATTTTGCTTATATTTGTTATTAATATTTGTCATGTATTATATTTAATTATATGTAAAGATGATAAAAAAAATAAATATTTTCGTTTCATACTCTTCAATTTTTCTTTTTCATCATTAATTATTGTTATTTGGCTGTTACCATTTTTTTATTTTCGTATTATATGGTCATCAGAATCATTTATTTGGCGTATATGGTCATTCATATTTCATATTGTTGATGCTGTTCAACTTTATTCTCTTCTTTTACTCATCACCAATACAAATATCATGAATTTTTCTGTACAACGATTCTGTATTTTTCTTAGTTGGATAGCACCTTTAGTTACTTATTCACCAATCTTATGGTTATCATCACCACATGATAAAATTGATTATTTTCCATATCGTAGATTATCTACTGATGTACCTTGGTGGATATTACCAACATTATATTCTTGTACGTATCTTGTTCCCATATTTATTTCATTGATTTTAACTGGTTTAACACTTTGTTGGCCATGGATTTATAAGCAATATAAAAAAAGAGAAAATGCTTCTCAAAGACAAGCAAATGAACATCGTGAAAATATGGCAGAATTGACAAGTCTTGTTGAAACGGTTTTAAATTTCGAATTAGATCAATCAACAATAAGTACACTCAATGTAAGAAATATTGAATTTTTATTCTCTTTTGATTTTATATTGTCGATTATTAATATTTTCAGACATGGGTTCCATCAGTATCTTCACTTACAAGTCCATCATCGAGCTCAGATCATAAGTCTCTATCATATATTTCAAATACATTGAATCGATCATTATCATATAAAGCTTCACAAGACAATTCATTTCTTATATTCGATTATCTTTCATCATCAATACAATTAAACGATTATATTCAAAACCAACAATCGCAAGTTAATTATCGTCTATTATTTATTGTTACATGTCTTTTATTTCTCGTTCATTTACCATATGTACTCTTTTCTCTTATGGATATATACATGTCGCAATTACCAATATTTATTTATATACATTGGTTCGGAACAATGTTCATACCAATAGTACATTTTCAAAAAAACTAATAATGTTCTCTCCAATTCATATCATGTGTTGTAGCATATTGTGTATTTTGTTTAGCAAAATCAGGATTGAATTGTGAATTATATCGTCGTTTACGATCATCTGTTTCAATAGGAGTTTGTTCAGGTGTAGTTGATGTTTGATCGGTACCAGTAAAAGCTCGTGATAAATAAGCAGCTGTTTTTGTACGTTCTTCTGATTCACGTTTTAATCTAAGAATAAATTAAAATTACTGTTAAAATAGAGAATAATCAAAAAAAGAAATTTACCTTGCTGCTCTTAATTGTTCAATACGAGAAGATGAAGATGAAGACGATGATGATAAAGAGACAGATGATATTGTTTTTTTAGTACTAGGAGAAGATGATTTATTTTCATCATCACGTTTTCGTTTTAAATCATCGACATATTTTGACATAGAATTAAGAGGATCTTGTTTTTGAATACGTAAACGATCACGTTCTTCCCTATAAAATAAAAAAAAAATTATTTTAATTTCTTTTTCCTAAATTATCAATCCATTAAGAGAAATATTCATCACAGTATTAGATTTGAAACAACATACAAAAAAAGTACTTGTGTCCCTTTTGAATTTATTAAATAATTAGATAAAACAATCATAGTGGACAGTTTTCGAAATGCACATAGGTTATCTTAAGGATACTTTCCTGTTTTTCGATCGAAAATTTCGAAATTTTTAGTTTTTTGGTTGCTTTTTTTCTCTACATATACTTCAAGAACCCATATGTATAACTATAAAAGCCGAAAAAGATGGAACACTTTCACTGAGATTTACATTTTATTTTCCTGTCTTTCAAAAATAAATTTTTTGACAGAAAGAGAATCGTTTGCCGTTTCTCAGCCACAATACAACCGATCGAGTTGAAACTTTCTTCTACGTATACTAGAAATTCTTTAGAGTGTTTGTAGTCTCTTTGTTTCAAAATATGATATATTGTTGACATTTTTCAGGACCTACAAAATAAGCTTCGGTGACAACAAAACATGGGTTTTTAAGGATACGTTTGCTATTTCGACCTTTTATTCTAATGGAAGATAAGAACTGAAAAACAGAACTAGACATCACAACCAGCGTCTAGTATCAGAAAAAAATATCCACTCTATTACACGTATTGTAGTTCACACAGCGACGAGATTAGACGAGAAGATAAGGCAACACATAACTTTTCCGACTTCGATATCTTTTAGAAGGAAACATTTAGAAATTTTGGGTCCATGACAACTCTTCCTCTACTCATTAAGATCTTTTAGCTCTGAAAGTTTCAAAATTTTCTGATCGACTGTTCTTCAAAACTGTTAAAAAAGGTTGCCGAGTTCTCTTCAAGAATTAATACATTTCCAACTGGCATAATCTATACTAATAAAAATTTTATTTAATCTAACTTTAAAGAATCCACACATCACCGATTCATACATATGAAGAGAGCCGAACAATTAGTCGCGCGTGTAGGTATGGGTCTTCTATCCTCCCAGATTTTCACGCTCATAACTACACCGATGTCAGTCAATGTCCTACCGAGCAAGTGTCTTGGTGAGTAACTGCCCTAGACTCAAATAATTATTATGAAAAGGATTTATATTTAAATAATAACTCCAGCAAAATTAGAGTATGTTCTTACCGATCAGCTTTAGATGATTCTTTCGATAATAATTGTTTGCTTCCTCCTCGTTCCAAATACCATGGAACAGTTCCTAAACAAATCATTTTTTGTATCAATGTTACGAAAAAAGACAACAAATATCTATCTTACCTTTACTTTCTACAACACTGCCACCAAGATAAGTTAATAATCCAATCTTTTTCTCAAATTCTTCTGTTTCAGCTTTTTTCTCTTTTTCATGTTCAGCGTTAGTAGCATCACTGGTTTTTAACTAAATATTGACGAATAAATAAATAAATAAATAAATATTTTCAATTATTAGATTTCTACATACTCCTTGTTCTTCAAGTTTAAATAAATTTACATGTTCTGTTGGTGTCGGTGTTGATGATGATGCATCTTCAGAACCTTGAAATTGTATCAAATGATCACCACGTTTAGCTCTTAAATAATTAAGACGAGCTTCTTGTTCCTTAAAAATAAATTCATAATAATTGAAAAAAAAACAACCAAACAAATTTGATTGTTAACTTACAGCTAAAGTTTTTCTTCGAAGTGCTTCTTCTTCTTCTTCTGCTGCTTTCTTTTCATCACGTAAAACCCGAGCAATATTATCTTTATTTCGAACATGCCATCGTTTTTTTGGTAAGATATTCATCTCTAAAGAATTAAAAGATTTTTCATATTACGCATGTATTTATTTATAGTTATTAGATGGAATTTTTTTTATGTAGTAATTAAGAAGAAATGAAAGAAACACTTCACAGATAAAAATTAAAAAAAATGTAAGATCACTGTGATAATTGTTTTTTTTCTCAAGTTGATGATGAAGTTATTTCTGTTGATGAAGACTTTTTGGTTTGATCTTCATGTAATTGTACATCATGTTGAGGAGAATGACTACCATCGAGACGACCTTGTGATTTACGTAAATTCCAATGAAGTATATCAGCTAATGATTCAAACCAATCACCTAATTGATCAAATCGGCATATAGATGGTACTGGATAAACACTTGTTGTTATGTGCACACTAAAATATTATCAAATATAAACACAAACATTATACTTTCTTTTTCTCGATCTTATTACCAATCTTGTTGGTGTAGTTCATGTCGATTTCTTCCATCAACTGACAGCCATGCTGTAAGACGAGTTTCTTCTGAAACTTTTACTTTTAATTCAATACCAGCTGGAACAACAATTGGCCGAAATGATAAAGAATGTGGGCAGATAGGACATATGACCATAGCAGGAACATTGGGATGAACCATAGAAGAACCGGCTACCAAAAATCTCCAATTATTAGATGATAGAAATAGACAACGATAGAAACATACCTGCCATTGCATAAGCTGTAGAACCAGTAGGAGTCGAAACAATCAAACCTTAAACAAACAAAAAAATCGTTTACTATTTTTTTCAATGCAATGTGACAAAAGCATTGAGTTCATACTGAACAAATAGATGAGACTAAGAAATAAGATTGTCCAATAACTTCAACAAAATATAAAACTCTAATGTTGAATAATAATCTGCCATCTTTAGAGTGATATATACAGTTTTCGGATAAAAGTAACTGCCGTCCATGAAGTGCTACTATTCTTTTGGGATTGAGCTGATATTTTGAGTGCATACGGGATTCTCTTATGATTAATTTATTTCAATCATGTTGACACAAATATTTTCGTCAAATCCTTCATTAAAAAAGTCGGTGCCGTAGCCATCTCTGGCCCAAGTTTTGAAATAACTAAGATATTGTCTTCTCATTAGGAATGTTTATCGCAGAGCAAATTCTTTTTTGGAATAAGATGGATCTTTTCTACAACAAATTCGACCAATCTATCTGAAAATCCTATTAGAAAGTTTCCATGAGACGACAAATCTGCTTTAAACTTTTTAGAGCTGCAGAGCTGAATAAAGTCAAGTTAGAACTATGAAATGGATTCGCTATTTAAAAGTGTGCTAATTACTAAGATCTTGAAAAAGACTTTAGGGATAATAAATTAAATATTTGAAACTGGTTTTAATGCTCGAAAATCATAGTAGCAACTTTTAAAATAGAAAATTGACAAACAAAAACTTTTTGAACACATATTTTCGTTGAATATGTTTTTCACAAGGAAAAGAGAAGATATGTCAATTATAACTTCAGTACATATGAAACCAATGGAAAGCGAGTTGGTATTGGCGATCAGGCTTCATTGCCTGCATGTATGCACTCAAACTATCAATTCAATTTTACAAAGAATAGTGACACTTTATAGGAGACAGCTATTTGTATCCAGTGCTATATACATAATAAAATCTGGATTAAGTAATGTCTTAACTTCTCAATATAAATAATTCGATTATTTAAATATTTTCATTTTTAATAGATGGACTATCTCAAATTTCATTGAACTAAAATATTCATTATCGTTTAGTTAAATAATACTATTATTTTTACTTACCATCACCTTGTACCTTTGTAATAAATCGATCATTAATATATAAATCAAGATTTGATAAATATGAATTTGGTCCACGATCAATAACAACTTCATTTAATGCTAAATGTGATATTTTATCATCTTTATTCGTATGTTTATTAGTTTCTTCGTTTGTTGTATCGTCAGATGATGTCGAAAGAAGTGATGCTGCTGACAATGATTGTCTTTTTAAACCTTTAACAATTGAGCATTTTAAACGTGTACGTAATAGAACAGCAACATTGCCTGATACAACTTCATTTAAAATTTTTTCATGATGTTTAAAATCAAATGGAGTTAAAAATCCAAGTGAACCCATTGAGAATGATAAGACAGGTGGACAACTTTTTTGAAATATATTTGATACATGTAATAGTGTACCATCACCACCCATACAAATTATTAAATCGATTTTAAAGAAATCATTCTCTAGAATAAAAGACATAAACAAAACGAAAAAAAACACTAATTAATATCAAAACCGTGATCAAAGGCATGACATCGTTCAGCATGTTCCTTTAATTCAATATCAGTTGCAAATGGTAGATGCATATGTTCAGATATTTCAATATAAACATTAAGACGCCGCTAAAACAATATATGAAAAATAAATAGAAGAATTAATATTGAATTGCAATGTTGGTCTAATAACAGGGTTTCATAAAAAAAAAGACGAGTGTTATGACGAATTTATAGCTTAAATTACTTCAATTTTGATAAATGTTGCCGTTTTTCCTTGTTAATTTAAAATATGCATCGTCTCGGAATAACTATCATTGAGATGGTGAATAGATGTGCAACATTTTTGACTAAATGTTTACTGCCTTGGAGGAAGAAAATGTTTACTCATAATTCAACCGTACTAGGAAACAAAACGAAGGGATACATCAGTTTTGAATGCATAGGTTGAGCATATAAGAGAGAACATCCTAGATTAGAATAGCTTCAAAATGATTCGGCTCATATGTCTTCACTCCAGAGTTACGATGCCTTTACTTTCATCGGATGATATATTGGTAGGAAAACGTAAAAAAAGATTTTCCATCTAAAATGTTTTCTATAAGAAAGTTTTATTAATTCTGAAAATGTTCGAAAAGTTTTAGTCAAAATAATTGATTGCTTCATGATATATTCAATGTTCCACAAATGATTAGATCTTAGAAAACTCGAAAATCTCGAATATTTCAAATAAAAACATTCCTTTGTTCTACATTCCCTCTAATATTCTGTTCGTCAGTAAATATTTAGTAGAACTCAATCAATCACTTCAGACGTTTTGTTCTTTAGTCCTAAAGTTAGTATTAAAAATCTTTTTCTTTTTAAAAAATAACAGCGAATTAACGTTGATATTTCTATGATTGATGAATACAGTATTATAGATAAAAGAGATTCTTCACAAAATTTGAATTCCCAAATAAAACTATTTTGATCTTTTCATAAATATGTTTTTAAAAAATGGTACCAGTTTGTTTTAATGTATGACAGAAAAATTCTAAATCCCTTATTGATTTCAATAGAGAAAAAATTTAAATACTTCTTTTAATGTAAGTTTCTAGGAAATAAATGTTGATAACCATTAATCGTTCACAAGTTACCAACATAGGACAATTAGGTTTTCGGCTGCTCTTCATGTTTTAAACTTATTTCTCGAAAAAATTGATTAGCTAATTGATATACTAAGCGCAGCAGATTTTTGCTGATTAAGTCAAGATTCTCAACCGACCGATGGATTTTTAAGTATTCTGCACGAAATTTTCAAAAAAGCAACTTCTTCGAATTCTATGTAATATAATATAGGAATAAATCATAAAGAAAACAGTCATTTTGAGTAAATCGGCTCTTGTAAAAAAAGACTTTGGAAACTAGATATTTTCCAACACAGAAGAGAAACAATGAAAAAGTGCGATTTTTCCTTGGATGTGAACATCTTTTTTGGTGGACTATGAACAGATCTTTTTAGCTAAATATTTACTAATTCATCAATATTAATTTAGGAAATTCAATGTTGAAATTAGTTTTTTCGTTTAAAATGTTTCATGAGTGTTCTTCAGTAAACAATACATTTTAAGAGAAAAATGATAAATGATATGTCTACTATCTCTGTCGCCAATGATTTCTAATTTTAATAGTTTTTCTTCAATATTTACTTTAAGAAGTTTTAAAATTAGTTCTCGGAATTCTGGCATTGTTTGTGGACCTGGTTTACGGATGATAAGAATATTGTACGGTGGAGAAATCCAATGTAAACGTTGGCTAGATGGGTCTTGAATAACACTACGAATAGAAAAAGAGCTTTCCTATCTAATAATAATCAGAATTTCAATAATACGAACATAAGTTGATCATTATTTTGTACTTTTTTAAGTGTGCCTTTGGGTCCAAAATTAGATTTTGGCGACGGAGCAAATGCTGAACGAGCACGCCTAAAGAATCAAATCACGAAAAGAAACAGAAAAAAAAATAACTATTTGAAGAATAAATAATTATTTTATGAATAAAATTTTGTATATTTTATGAGAATTTACCTCGTTTTACTACTATCGGCTGACATCGAGATTGATCGTCTCGGTGTTGTATTAGAAAATGGTGATGTCATTATTTTAGTTAAAGAAATTTCGCGCCGCAGGCAAATAATAGGATTTAAATGTACAAGAGTACGTCGATAAAAGAACATTTTCTCACGCACATAGAGGCAGAGAAAACATAAAAAAAAAAAAAAAAGATAAAGTAGAAAAACAGCAATTGTTTAAATGTGAAAGCCAAATGTTTTTTTTTATCTATAATAGAAAGAATAATTTAAATCGATATTTCTTCTACATAAAACTCTCTTTCCTAATCTAGAGTATTATTCTACAAAAGAAACATCTTATAATAGGAAAGGCGTTATCTGACGATGAAAATGTTAAAAACTAACCAGCATGTTTTTGCTGTCGGTTGATTGTTACTTCGCGGTAAAGGAGCACAAATATAGTCATTCTCGTCCAATTGTTCTATATTTAAAGCATATTTTGTAGTTTGATTCTCACCACAAATTTCAAATCCATCATCTAGACACGTTTGAAGTGAGGATTCACCAACACTAACGGATCGTCGTTGATAATTAACGGTTCGTTGGGGTGAGTGATAATTAACATTATCATTCATCTTAATTTAGTGTTAAAATGAATTATCGTAGTGTACATAATACGCAAAATTAAATCAAATTTGTTTTTTCTATACGTAGTTAGATAAAGCTTGGCGAATTGGCTAAGAATTTCTTTTGTCAGGCTTTTGATTAACAAAATTCATGAATTTTTATATTCTTGTACAGTTGATTTTTTTCAATTTAAAAAAACACTCAGTTTTATATGAATTGTAAAACTGATATATTTAAATTCGTCATAAAAATCTGAATCTGCTAGACTAATTTTTGATACTATTGAAGTATGTTATTATCATAAAATGAACGGTACGTAACATTTCAACTATGCAATCAGTGAAACTTTTTGTAAAGCTATCTAGTTTTTTTCTATATCATAGCACATCTAACTTTCATATATCATTGGAATCGGCAGACATTACACTTCAAAAATAGAACTTTCGTTGTCGAAAATATTATTTTATTAGAGAAAAACACCGTTTAACTCTGGTTCGGGATCACGAACCCGTGTTAAGTAATCTTATTATCTAATAAAATCATATTTTGGAAAACAAAAACCATAATTCTGAAGTGCATTGCCTGACAATTCCAGTGATATATAAAAGTTAGACATAACATGACATAGAAGAAAACTAGATAGCTTTACAAAAAGTTTCACTGGTTAGTTGAAATGCCACTCAGTGTTCATTTTATGATGACAGCATACTTGAATAGTACCAACAATTTTCAAAAGAAATTTAAAAAAAAACATATTTTTAGTCACCTAATCAAGCCATATCTAACTACGTACAAAAAACGAAGGGGAAAAACAAATTTCCTTTAATTTTGCATTTTGTGCGAATTAATTTAAAGAAAAATAATTTTGTTTTTGGTTATGTTAGCAAAAAACAGAATCAAACAAACAATCATCAAAGTCGATTATTTAGTCTATAGCTTTTCAAGAGGTAATGCAATTTGTTCTTTAAAGATTATTATGCAAAAAAATCAATTTGTTAGAATATCATTGCAGTTCAAATATTGATCTCATTTTTCCTATAGAATAAATGATTTTTTGTTTTTGATCTGTAAAAAGAAAGCATAAATTATTTTAATTTCTTCTACATAGTCGTCGAAATAAATAAATAAAACAAAAGACAGAGATTTATCTCGATGTATTTTTTTTTCTTCTTTCTTAGTTTATTAGTATGATTTTTAATCTACTACAATTGATCAATTTTCATTTTTCCAGCAATGCGTTTTTTATTTTGTCCTAAACGATATTCATTATCTACACGTTTTGCTGTACCCAATCGTCGAGCATGAAAATTGAGTGCACCTCGTGAACATACAACAGGCAATTGATGATGTTGAGTATTGGCTTCTTCATTACTAACAACACTCATTGATGGACATTGAGCAAATGTTCGTGCAGATCGAAGTGCATGTGTTGGTAATTGAAGACGAGTTTTCGGTAAAAGACGAGCTATTTGAACTTTATTTGCTTTTGTTCGTGAATAAATTTTATCATCTTCTTTGATAGTATTTGTTGGAAGAATAGGAAGTTTTGGTTCAGTTTTCGTGATGTTTTTTTGATTAAGTTCACGAAGAAATGGATCCTTGAAAAGTTTTTTCTTTTTCGACAGCTTTTTCGTTAAAATTTTCTTTTTCTTCTTCTTGTCATTTATTATTTGTTTCATCGTACGTAAAACCGGCCAGATAATGAAAATCTGAAATAAAGAGTTTATTTCTTCAATAAAATTTACAATTTACACTCGGTTTTTTCTAGCAACATATAACAAAAAAAAAGAGCGTGCCTATCAGAAGCAATGGTTAATCTGGACATTTTGCGTCTGATTAGTATACATGCTGTTGGAAATACTGACGAAAATTTTATTTGTCAATTGTCATCATGAATTTGATTGGTAAGTAAGAAATCTTAGCATTTGGAATGGTTATGTTCGCTAGCAATAAGAACGAAGAATAGCCACTTAAATTTCAGCTGCAGTAGAGGGTGCTAAGTTACACATCAGATTTATTTTTCTGTTAGAATTTAAATTATTCTAATTGAAAAGAAAAACATTTCAATAATACTATTAAAACAGCACTCTTAAATATTAGAGAGTAATAACATGACTTTTACTGAAGCTAATTTAGTATAAGATGATTTCTATATTACTATATTGTGGAAAAAACGGAATTTGAAAAAATGCAAGATACTTTGAAATAAAGAGTTGTTTCAAAAACTTTGAGCATGATTTCACCAGTCTGCAACAAAAGTTTCTTCTTAATTACTAATTTTTGAATTCGTTTATCAACAGTGGAGAAGAGTTGACTTTAAGTCTTCATTACAATTAATAATGATATCATGAGATTCATAAAAACACATGACTTGTTCGAAAGACACAAGAGAAGAAAGTCTTCACATAACTTGTGAACATTAACAAGGAATAGAAGATTACGGATCTTTGAATGCACGAAGAATTTTCAATATCCGTAACTATATTGAGAAACACTTATTTTAATAGAGTGAGAGAAAAATAGAATTCTGTCACAGCTTTTTAGAGTAGAATTTCTGAAACATTCTATTCTATACAAATTTTGACCTTGCCTATCTTTCTCAATATGCATCTAAGTTCATATTATCTGACATCACAAAGAGAGTGAGGGATATGTATAGTGCAGTTGATTTTGAGACACTTTCCTACACTCAGCATCCATACCCACTCTAGTACCTTCAGCAGTGAAAATTTTTGACTTCGAAAACTTATTTTGGCTAGCACATATACTTCTTTTCGTGCTGCTGGTAAATGAGAATATCTCTCTGATGATTTTTATGTTCAAACTTATTCATGAATCGATAAAGTAGTGCGTTTTTGTTCATTACATAAGTATGAAGCCTAAAATTCCTATTTCATAATAGTAAAAATGCGTCATTTTTTATAGGCGTAACTGCCCAGGACGAAGAATCCGACAGTCGGATCCGATCGGATTCCCTGGAGATTCCGACAACTTCCGATAGGATCCTATCGGAAGTTGTCGGGGTGTGGGTGTGGATGCGGGATGTGGGGCGTGGGTGGATGTGGGGTGTGGGTGTGAGTGCGGTTGTGAGTGTGGGTGGGTTTGAGTGTGGGTCGTCTGTTTACCCACCCCACTCACATCCCCACCCCGACACCCAGCCACACTATACCCACGCACCCACATCCTAATCTTTATTGTAGTTTCGGTTTCGACAATTTCTTGAACTAAAAATAATACTATCATTTTTGTTTTTGTTCTCTAGGTGTTAAATTCAATGTTGACAATGGTGAAAATTCAAAATGAAATGGTTGAAACATATCAAAGTGTACGAGTAATAATTCCTTGTGTATTAAAAGAGAATGTAATTGTATTTGGATTCAACACTACCTGACGATGAACAATCAGCTATAGAAAGAGTTACTTTCTTAAAATTTCAATAAAATAAAATGTATTTTTTGTTTATTTAAATGTATATTTGTTTTAATGAAATATAATTCAAATTCTATTTTGTTTTGATCAAAATATTTTTGAATGCAAATCATAATATATTATATGCTTATGTTAATGCTTGAAGAACATGACGAGGAGAGTTATTTCTTTTTGTTTTCGTGTTTTACCAAAGTATTCGTACTTATTGCTTTAGTTGCCAGTAATGTTGTTAATATTGTTGAATGTGCAATTGATGATGTTATTATCAGTCGTAGATTTGTTGTTTTAAGAAATATTTTCGATTCAATTACCTTACCTTCATTTCTGGCAAATATGTACGTTTATTTTCCGATAAATAGAAATTCATAACATAGGAATTTAGGTTATAGGTAACAAAAAAAAGAAAAGCAAAGACAAAATTATGGAATTCGTTTTATACAACATAAATATTCAAATGTGAATCAGTTTTTTGTTGTTGCTGAAGATCTTCATATTAGCTTGGTAGTTGAAGAAGGATAATACCACTTATCCAAGATGTAAATTTTTCAGCAAATCGTACACTTTGTACACATAATTGCCAACTATTTAATTGAGATTTTGGTCCATGAATACCAGCTTGTACTTGACGAATATTGTTACAAATATGTCCTTCAATTCCATCATAAGATTTAACTAATGGTAGAGGATAACGTTGATCATGACATAAATGTACAAATTTGTCCCATTTGAAAATTTCATTTTCTTCTATATCCTGACTAATTAACGGTTGTCTAAATTAAAGAAAAACAAACGAAGTTTTTTCTTTTTTCATATTAAAAACAATAAAAGTTTGAAAATCTCATCTAATTCAATTTCTTTTCATTGTACAACAATAAACAAATTTCAAGAATCATTCAGAATTTCTCAATACATATTTCAGATTGCCTTTAGATCTAGAAATTACTGGGTTGGTGTAGGTATTTCATGTCAAAGAGACAACGACTAATTGTCGATTGTAATCAAAATAAATATTATACAATAATGATTAGATATTGAAAATAATAAAATCTTTATCTAATCATCTCAATAAATCAATTTAAACGAAATTTGACTATCTATTGTCAAAAGGATACAGTCTAGTGCGATGTGAAAACATTGTTTTCTTGGAATTAGTTTTATTTTTCGTTTTTTTTTATAAATAATAAGTTTCGAAATGAATGAATTTCTCATAAATAATATTAATTAATTTAGCAAAAACAAAAATATTCTCACCGATCAGCACTTAGATCAAGATTATTGACTTCAAGTTTAAGTATTGAAAAAGTATCAAATTCTTCTTTTGGACATTGAAATATGATACAAGCTGGTCGATTTTGTTCTTCATCAAATTTGGAACTAGATGGTTGATATAAACTTCTTCTTTTAGCAACACACAATGCATCAAAAAGATTACGTGTAACATAAACACCAGGACCAAAATCAGTACCTTTGGGATAATTCCAATGTAGTCCAAGATCATTAAGACATATAGAATGAGCCGCATACTCAAGACAACCATGATAAAACGTATAATATTCTTTATTATTATTATTGGTATCATTAGATAAAAATTGTAATAATTTGTTTTCACTTGCTTGCCATAGATCTTCATTAAGTAAAAGAACATTTATTAAACGAGATTGATTACGATATGTAGGATAATTTTGTTTTATCCATGTTTGTGTTTTTGTTTCAAACCGACGATAACGTGACATAGTGAAGCTATTATCTCGAATTGAACCTTCAATAAGTTGTTTATAACCATATCCATGAATATTAAGTTCCGTATTTAACAGAATATTTTTTATTTTTTCTTCATAATCAGGCATGAGAACTTGAGGAATATCATCATCATTCATTGAATTGAGATAAATAGATAAAAGATCATCAATGCTATACTCATATTCTTTAATTTTTTGAAATTTTTCACTATTGTTCTTGTACCAACTGTTGAATAAACTATCGATGAATCCAAATCGAGTGACATCAACTAGAACAAGAAAAAATATATGTGTTATGAACAAGAAATAGAAGAAAAGAAAAACGAATTGAATTTTAGAGAAAAGATTTGATTGCAACTTGTCATTAATTACTGCACTCACCCCTAATAGTCAAAATTTAGAATTGATCAAAGAAAAATGAGATTTTTATAGAATTATTTGTTTTATAATCTCTTGAATTTTAATTGTTTCGATGTCATAAGTATGAAAAGAAGAGAAAAAAATCTATTCAAAATATAGAAACTATGAAAAACTTTGTATTTTTATGAGCTCTAATTAAACGAAATTACAAGTAATCTACTTGTTCTGCAAGATGATTTGATATTTTGACTAATGTAAAATACAAAGAAGAAAAATAGCATTGAAGATAACTTTTTATTTTATTGAATCAAATCATAACAAGAGAAACAATGATATAGAACGTAGAAACGTGTCATTCAATGTTTCTATTGTCAAAGAATGATCACAAACAAAATAAATTTATTGTATCAGTAAAAATAACATTCAATATCAGATTACGGAAAATCGAATTATTTTCTCGTTTTCTTTCTCAAATTTAAAAAAAAAAAAAACTATAAATCTTATACCAATGTTTGGACAAAACAATACTATTGATTGACTTTTCTTTCTAGAATCTTTGAAAACAGGATAAAAATTTGAATGAAAAAGAAATATATACCAGGAAGTGATTTTTTTCAAAATCAATATCATCTTTTTTTTGTTTTCTATTTCTTACATGAATCAGATATTGACGAATTGCTTGTACGTTCACCTATTGACTGTTGTCTAAGAGGTGATTGTAGAAGATCAGTTCGATGGTCTAATATCAATGCATCATCATGATCGATATCATTCTAAAAAAACACGAAAATATCTCGATCACAGATATACATTTTTATCATTAGCCAAAATCAAAATTGCTACTATCGACTAGAGATAATCGAATTGATTTCAGACTCGATCACATTCATATGTGAGTAGAAAATATTTCTACTCATCATATCCGACTTGATAGATATAACATAAACAATCGAAGGCATGTTAGCTCTTATATACAAATAATTGAAAAATAATATTCTTAATTTTCTAATTTACTTTCAAATAGAAAGAAGAAAATATTATTAATACGAATCTATGTCGATGAATTTCTATACATTTAGTTTGCGACAACAGAAATTTTAATCAGTGTTGAAGTGATTGATTCCATGAATGAATTTTAAAATCTTCATAGGATTGATTCTAAAATGTGAAAGTCAACGAAAACGATGTTTCAACAATGCATTCTATTGCACTCTATGCCTGTATGTTATCCAAGAAAAGTTTGTCAAAATTTTCTTACATATTAGCTAACAGACAACTTATTTCAATGAAAATTCAACGTAAGAAAACCTTATTTAATGGAAAACATCCTTCTACAAACATTATATTTTCGAAATATCTACATAATAAGAAAAAAAGATAAACGTAACAGGCTCAATTTTGAACTGATTATACAACTTTAGGAAATGGAATTCAAGTAAAACTTTGACTGAAAATAAAAGAAGTTTTGACGAGTAATGAGCGAGGTTGTTTTGAAAAAGTCGATCTGGAAAGTGAATGAAACTCGAACTGAAAGAAAAACAAAATAATTTTGTTTTACATGAAAACGTAACTCGTTCAGAAGAAGTTTTTCTTTATCAAATTGTTTTCCGAAAAACAACTGATTCTTTCGTTTGAATGCCTTTGGTTTTCTTTCAACTTATAGAAGAGCAAAGACCATGAAGAAGAAAATAATCTTGATCTACATGAAAATGTCTCCCGTACATAACTGGGACGGATGAACATGTTTACAAAAGGAGAGGAATACGAAACATAGATCATTCCTAAAATATATACATGTATATATCAGCCTCGACAAAAATAAATTATTCGTTATCTGTTGTTTTATTCTTTTGATTTTTCGAAAGGTTTCATTTTCCTATCGCATTTCTCTATTGAATTAAATTTTTTCACAATAAAAATGACTTAAATCACTGGCAATACCAACTAAGAAGCTGAAATTTCATGTGACAGTCAAACATCTCGAGAGAAGTAACTCATGAGTAAATATTTTAATAGATCAAGAAGAAAAGTTATTTGTGACATACAACGAAAATTTCAATAGTACCAAAACGTGACCATTTACTCACATATATTATTAACACAGGAGAAACATTCGATAAATTCCTACTTGGGAGTTTTTCTTTTGTTTCGTCAGTCTCAAAAATTTCCTCTTTTAAATCAACTCTTCCTAGAATTAATCAACAGTCATTTAATTCTTAAACAACGAGACTAGTACATAAGCTGGATTCTATTTACTTTAACATATAACAATAATTATCAGAGACTAGTAAAAAAAAGAAATCTTTCAATTTACAATGAGAATAATATTTCAATATAGTTTAATAAACATTTTATTTAATCGACCCTATGGAATACTTTATATATGTAAATGTCACATTTGAATTTATTCTAGTCTTGATGAGATAAAATGTAAAACATTTATTCTATAATAAAAATGGAAACATTTCGTTTCACTAAAATTATTTAATTTCTTATGAAAAATAAAACTATGAATGTTTTCCAGCAAAAAGAAATTCTGTTTTCGATTAAACAATAATTGTTTATAAAAGTAAAACTAGATGAAAGTTTTTCTCCTTTAAGAAAATTTCATTCATGACATGATTTCTTCGACTGTAACTTGCCTTATGAGTTCGATTAGGGTCTACGAGAAGGTTCCCATGAGACTAGGAAAAGCCTAAAAAAAAAGTTCTTTTCTATAGATCTTTTCTTTCGAGTCACACTATAAACATTCTAGTGAAATCTTCTTTGTAGACAGTTCTAATGTAATCAGTAGAATATTCTCAGAATTTCAGTCGAAATCAATGTTTCTTTGACAAGATATTCAACGTAAAAAAGAAAAACAAAAACGAAGACACTCTTTTCCTGTAGATATATGTTACGAAAATCGAGTTGAAATTTTAGTGTCACGATAAAGAAAAATTATTTTCAAATCAAAACTTTCAGACTATTCTAAGAGTCACTAGATCCGTCAATTGATAAAAATATTCTTATTTCATTTTCCAGTATTTATTAAAAATTCGAGTTGAAATTTGATTATAGTTCACCTTCAAATATCGATCAAACGAATCACTTATCGTGCTTGTCTCAATCTTAATATGATCTAATTAAGAGATCAAACAAGGAGAAATGTCTATGTCTATGTAGGAATAAAACATAAGTAGTTCATATTAAAATAAAATTTTTATATCAGTGATGTTCGTGAAATATTCGACCTTTATTACGGGAAGGATTTATACAGACTACATAGACATATTATCTGGTCTATGGATAATTCCAAAATAGTCGGAAAAAAAAACTCAATATCCATATTGAAAATTTGTTTTATTGCCAAAATCGGAATGAGATCACAAGAAACATCAGCAATCTTCTACAGTTGCATAATTTTTGGTAAATCATTTTTAATATAAAATTTTCAATAGAACAAAAAAAAACATACATAGGAATCAAACAAGGGGGGAAAAGGTCATTCCGAGCCATTCGAATGGCTCGGGTTGGATTGGAATGGCTCGGGATGGATTGGAATGTAGTGCCCTGTGGTTCCTAACATTACCCGGGAACCGAACCGGAACCGGCGGTTCCGGTTCCCGAAAACGAAAAAAAGCGGTTCCTTTTTCGGTTCCTAAAATTTTCTCGGAACCGAAAAGGAACCGCTTTTTTCGATTTACTGGAACATATAAAATAGCAAGTCATTGATTTACGGTTCCGGTTCCCATTTCGATTCTACCCGTTTTTTTTCGCGGTTCCGGGTAATAGAAACAGAAAAATTCGGTTCTCGGTTCCAAAAAAAATGGAACCGCAGGGCTTTATTGGAATGGCTCGGAATGGTTGGGAATGAACTGGAATGGCTCGGAATGGCCGAATGAGTTTTTTCCTCCTTGGAATCAAAACAGTTTCGGTCTCGAATAGAACCGAACTTGATATTTGACGAACGATCGGTAGAATACGAATGCGAATGATTTCAACTCAATGAGGTCTAATATTGGCGAAAAAATCTTTCGACTACCCTAGTCATCGAATAGAAAAATAAACTATCTGGTAACTTACCAGTAACCATACAAATTCAATTAGAAAATTTCCTTAAGAATGTCAACGTACTGTTCGACTGCTTTCGACAGCCAAAAAAAAAAGTTTTAATCAAATCGAATGAAAGTTCGAACTTTTTCTCAATCTCATTATGTATGTCTACTCACGAATTAGACCTATCTAATCTCTCGTAGAATTTATTTTAAAATAATTTATTATTTTACAAAGTTTTATCTCGTTAGTCTCTAGTCGAATAATATATTGTCGAATTCAGTAAAACATATAATCCTCAATTAAACAAAAAATATTTTGTTGCTACTTACTGGTGAACCAATCAATAATTGTCCTTGTTGAATATCTTGATCGTTTGAATCTTGATCATTAATATAGATGCTCTTTGACAATGCATTATTTGCCATTCTATTTATGTAATGAAACAAGTGCTTTTTCAACAAAACAATATTTAAAACAGTTCGAGTATCTTTAAAGAGATATATTGAATAAATTTAAAATTTTCAACGAATAAAAAGAAAAAAGCAAAAGGCAATAATATCAAAAGAAAAACAATTCAAGTTCATATTTAATCATATTTGAGAAAAAAATAATAACTAATCTTGAATTTATCATAGATATTCATAGATAATTGATCCAGTTTTAGATCATATCAATATTTTGATGATCAGAATAAATATTAAATTACTGTTGATTACAAAATTACATTAAATGAACAGACA